TACGTTGTGAGGTCCTTCAACTCGTCCTAGAGGCGCCTGATGGGGGTAAACATCGGAGGCAGACCCTGTTGAGAGCCGGCTAGTCAGGCACCGTCATTTCTTCAGGGTCACATTCTCGGAGCTGATTGAAGCAGTGGCGCCTGGCCGAATGCCGGTACGATAGAAAATGGTAACATTGGTCGTACTTTTGCAAGTGGCATGATGCAGTTGATCTTTTCTTGATCTCCGAATATTCATTTCGCGGTTCTTAATCCTTAATACACCTCACATCGATGCACTCGAGTACGTTATACGTTGTAAAGCTGGACGTGGTTGGAGTGGAGGGAGCCTCAGATGGTCTCTTTTTCCTAATCTTGCAATGTCAGTGTCGATCTCCCCATTGAGTGAATTGAGAGATTGACCGAAATGGAAAGGAGCAACGGCTCCGAGATGCGGGCCTCGCCACTTGGCAAGGGTTCATTTCGTATTGATTGAAAGTGGGCAAAGCAATGCCATAACGACGTGGCTCGAGAGTCGCCGAGTCGACATGGCCAAGTGCATCGAGACGGACAAGCTTGACGATCAAGTAGAGACAAGCTTTGATAGACGTTCACGTTCCAGAGTGATGGGAATAGATCGTCAGCAGTGGTGCTGAACGAAGAGGTATTGATACGTTGATCCGTTGATCTGTTGATCTTCGCACAGGGAGGATCAAGGCAGAACATATGATAATTCGGGGGTAAGGCTTAGTGTTAGTCGTGGTATCAGGGTCCTTGGGAAGAGAGGGAAACGATAATGATCCTCCGCATCATCCACTGGCTTCTTCGCTTCGTCTCTCATTTGGACGACGGGGGCGAAGGCGCGGTAACTGAGCGCCAAGCTCCGGATATCCGAGTGGCAATGAGTTAATAACGCCCGGGATTGCCAACAATATGGCACTCGTGTCTACATGAACAGAAGACATGGTCATAAAATGGGTATATGTAAGCAGAAAGTCTGAAAGAGTGGATGGGCGAATTGGGGAAGACGGGGAATCAACGGAGAGTGGGAAAGAGGGGAAAGAGGCCGAAATGCAGAATCGCGACATTTCTCTTGGATGGCTCGGCAGATGGTTGGGGTTTGTGCTCCGACAAGCCAAATCATGTGACCCCACTTTCCATTTCGGATGACATGAAAATGCCCCGTTGAGCGTTAGGTAATCAGGGATTACGCGTACCTTCTCCGCACTGATTACCTAACTCAACATGAAACCATCTTTGAATGCATTGGATAATCTAATCTACAACCCTCACCGCCTTGGACCATATCCACCCTCGAGTCGCGGCAGAATCTCCTCCCCCCTGACAGCTGACCGACCGACCGACCGACCGAACGAGACGACAACGGCTTCGATGCACGAATAACCCGCCTCCACCCCTCCCGGCGCCGCCCACCACGTCTTGCCGGTCCTCTCGGTCAGATGCCGATACATTTTTCCTCCCCGCCTAAACCTCGGCTTCCCGGTCTCCCGTCTCCCTCCCCCTCCCCGTCCCCGTCCCCGTCCCCGTCCCCGTCCCCGTCCCCGTCCCCGTCCCCGTTCCTGTGAGACCCCCCCCCGGTGGTCTCACACCCTTCCAGGGCCTAGGCAAAGATGCTCTCCGGCATCCTCGTCTTCAACCAAAAAGGCGAGAACCTCATCTTCCGAGCCTTTCGCAACGACTGCCGCCCTCGCCTCGCCGACGTCTTCCGCATCCAGGTCATCTCTAACCCCCAAGTCCGGTCGCCGATCCTGACGCTGGGGAGCACCACCTTTAGCCATGTCAGGCACGAGAACATCTACCTGGTGGCCATCACCAAGAGCAACGCCAATGCCGCCTTGGTCTTTGAGTTTCTCTATCGCCTCATCGCCCTAGGGAAGGGTTATTTCGGCAAGTTTGATGAGGAGGCCGTTAAGAACAACTTTGTCCTCGTCTACGAGCTGCTCGATGGTCTGTCCTCACTATCCGCTCTGTTCTTCCCTTGTGTCCGGGCCTGTCTAAAAAGAAGAAGGAAAAAAAAAAGGAAAGAAAAAAAGGTCCAAGTCCCCAGCTAACACGCCACGTCCTCCCAGAGATCATCGATTTCGGCTACCCACAAAATACCGAGACCGACACACTTAAGATGTACATCACAACCGAAGGCGTCAAGTCCGAACGTGCCGCCGAAGACTCGGCCAAGATCACAATGCAGGCCACGGGGGCGCTCTCATGGCGCAAAGCGGACGTCAAGTACCGCAAGAACGAGGCCTTTGTAGACGTCATCGAAGACGTCAACCTCCTCATGTCGGCTACGGGAGCCGTCCTCCGCGCCGACGTGACCGGCCATATCGTCATGCGCGCCTACCTCTCCGGCACGCCCGAGTGCAAGTTCGGCCTCAACGACCGCCTCCTGCTCGACCACGACGGCCTGCACAGCCTCCCCTCGGGCAACCGCATGGGCACCAAGGCCACCAAAGCGGCGGCCGGCAGCGTCAGCCTGGAGGACTGCCAGTTCCACCAGTGCGTCAAGCTGGGCAAGTTCGACAGCGACCGCATCATCTCGTTCGTGCCCCCCGACGGCGAGTTCGAGCTGATGCGCTACCGCGCCACCGAGAACGTCAACCTGCCGTTCAAGGTGCACGCCATCGTCAACGAGGTGGGGCGCACCAAGGTCGAGTACAGCATCGGCATCAAGGCCAACTTCGGCACCAAGCTCTTCGCCACCAACGTCGTCGTCCGCATCCCCACCCCGCTCAACACCGCCAAGACCACCGAGCGCTGCACCCAGGGCAAGGCCAAGTACGAGCCCTCCGACAACGCCATCGTCTGGAAGGTCGGCCGTTTTCCCGGCCAGAGCGAGTACGTCCTCAGCGCCGAGGCCCACCTCACCAGCATGACCAACCAGCGCGCCTGGAGCCGGCCGCCGCTCAGCCTCGACTTTAGCCTGCTCATGTTCACCAGCAGCGGCTTGCTGGTGCGGTACCTGAAGGTGTTTGAGAAGAGCAACTATCCCAGTGTCAAGTGGGTGCGGTACATGACCAGGGCTGGGTCTTACGAGATACGGTGGGTTTTGTTGCCTTTCCTTTCCTTTCCTTTCCTTTCCTTTCCTTTTTTTTTTGTTTCTTTGTCCTTTCTTCGAGCTTGACTGACCACCTCTCGTCCACCAGATTCTAGCGTGTTCATATCCTTATAATGAAGGGGCGGTGGGGGAGGGGTGGGAAAAAATGTATCATCATGCATTGTATGGCGTCCAAGGAAATTCAGATTCCCAATGGCGAAGAGCGTCTGCCATGCTCCTGTCGAAAATTTTATTCGCCCTTTTTCTTTTTTTCGTCTGTGCTGGACCGTCAGCTTCGCCACATCGGCTATGCGGTGCTTACGATGTTGGTAGTTTGGCGTGTACAGACCGTAACACAGCATCAGGGCATCTTCCACCTCTTAACTTGGAGTGTGCCACTGCATGAAGCCGCAGGCCCGCACGTGCTTGCCTACTCGCCTGCGCATGCCGAAATCCGATGGGTTTCCATATTGGTGGACTGTCAAGTCAAATACGAGTCTTCTAATCTAGTTGGTCTGATGTCCACCGGTCACTCTGTTGCGCAGTGGGATCAAGAGGAACACGATGAAGATAGTTATAATCACGCTTCGACTCTAAAAGACTAAAGATTAAAACAACCCCGTATAGCGAGACAAAACGAAAAGTAATCCAACGCTGTCCGACCTCTGGTATCATAATAGTACTGGTATCGCATGAAGTTGATTCCCCTGATTCCTCAACAGTCTTCCTAGTCACACGTCGTCCTGCGGCGAAAGGGACCGGCGCAGAGGTGATGGATCCCGAACCTGATGAGACGCCCCCGCACGTCTTGGCGAAGAACGGTTTGCAGAGTCGACGAGTCTAACGGCTTTTTCGACCGTTATGGTGTTCCAATACCGAGCACCCCGCTCAAAGTTGACATCCTCCAGGCGCCTGTTCCGGTACCTCGTCCGGATAGGAGGTGAGGTGCTCAGTCTGTCCCTGAAGCCGGCGAGTCTGGTTTGCCAATGCTTCGACTGCGGCGTTTGGGACGGCATGTCCGGGTCCTGTCTAATGGGAGCACCCATCGTCTCTTTTCCATCCAGGTGTGACTCGTGAGCAGGGGATCTCAAAAGAAAGGGTAAGGGGGTAGGGGGGAGTAGGGAGTCACAAACGTGAATGGCCGTAGTCAAAGTAAACGTTGTCGCTGCCGGCATCTTCATGTTCGTCATCGGCGTCATTGCCACTGCCATTGGTACTGTGGCTGCCATTGCCGTTGCCGCTGTCATGGTCGTAGTCCAGGTAAACGTTCTCGCTGCCGGCATCTTCATGTTCGCCGTCAGCGTCGTTGCCACTGTTCTTGCCAGTGCCATTGGTGTAGCCACTATCAATACCATTGGTGTAGCCACTACCACTACCAATGCTATTGGTATGGCCACTGTCATTGCCATTGACATTGCCATTGACCTGGCCGTTGGTATCGTCAATGCCATTGGTGTAGCCACTACCACTACCAATGCTATTAGTATGGCCACTGTCATTGCCATTGACATTGCCATTGACGTGGCCGTTGGTATCGTCAATGCCATTGGGAACCGCGGCATCGCCAACGACATGGCCAGTAACCTTGTCAAGAATATCGTCCATGACCTCGCCAACGACATTGCGAATAGCGTGGTTGTTGACGACCGATGCGAAGAAGCGCAGGGGGTGTAGTAGGCGATGACGCGAGCCAGCATGATGGCCGCTCTGTACTCGTTTCAAGCTCTTCTCGTTGACCTACTTGAGATTCATGTTGTTGTAATCGAATACTGGTTGACGTTGTTCTGGTCCCGGTGTTCGTCCCCTTTTCAGTGCGTCCTGTGTCTTCTCTGCTTCGGGCTTGTCATGCGGCTCATGCCCTTGGGTCGTCTCGCCTTGGGAATCCGGTTCGACGTCCGCACGGTAGCCAGAGGACGAAGCGCTGCCCATGTCACTGCGGCGGGGGTCGTTGCCCATGTCGGACAGATAGTAGTCATTCTCGTTCGAGTCAGACTCGGACGGGGTGTCCACATCCGAATCCGAATCATCTGAACCACTGCATGCAGACCGTAGGGCTAGCAGCGAGGCTGTATTGATGCTGAGCTCGACCCTCATCTTGCTCACTTGAGCGCGATATCGCAGGACCTTCAGCCCAACGTCGCTGGGAAGATCTCGACCGTCGTTGGAACGGGTAAGAAGCCGATAGACTAGGATCGTCTGGAGGTCCAAGTCGATGCCCGGTTTGCGTTCAAGGTATTGGTCGATGAGACCCCGGCCAAGCAAGTCGGACATGACCACATGGTTACTCTGTGATAAGGAATGCAGAAGATTGTTTGAATATGCTTAAGGTAGGGCCCAGGACCCAGGGGGGAAGAAAGGGGAGCAGAAGGGAAGAGTGAAGAGTCCGAAGAGATGGAGAAAAAGAGGGAAGTTAATCAGAGGAGACAGGTCACAGACTCACAAGGGATTGGGAAGTGTGGGAAGTGGGGAGCATGGAAGGGCCAGGAGGGCCGATTTGAGTTTGGTTCTCGAGTCCAGGTCGTGCTTTCCTTCATGTAATGCGGCTCATTGTTCGATTGATTTGGTGAAAGTCGTAGACTCGTAATCCTCAATGGCGAGACGCAAATGGCGGACAGAACAGGGACTACGATCATTGCAGTCCGTTTTCTGGGCTCCGTTCCAAGCCACTGTATTATGTCAGAGATGATTTGCTTCGTGTTATTGCTTACATGGCGAAGTATTCTCAAGGAACTGGCAGAATTTATGTCTACCTTGTAGATACCAAAATAGTCATGCACAAGCGAGCGACGAGGGTCGGAGTGCTTGACAAGTTGACGGTTGAGGTTGCAGTAGGGATAATAGCGATGGTTGGTCAGTTGCTTGCATCACGTGAGGCAGGATGGCCGAGTTGGTTATGGCGCCAGGTTAAGGTTAACCTTGACATCTCTTCCTGGTGGGGCAACCCTCGTGGGTTCAAATCCCACTCCTGTCATTACATTTTTGCATTTCTGTACTTTTTTCTCTCTCCTTTTTTCCTCTGCACTAATTTGATGCTCGCAGACATTGCGATACATGTGTAGGTGTCTGGTTCGGGATGTTTAAAGTCAAAGTCGATCCTCCATGAAGGTACATGTACTTTGTCTGGGATGTAATTAGTAATCACAATATCAGGGCGTCGAAGGGTCGACGCGTCGACGCCCTGACCATCAGTCTCCTGGTCAGAGCAAAAGTCAATTCCCTTCTCTCCCTCATCACCACCAACACCAATATCCTACTATTTCCAGCACCAAAACCCCAGAATTGCAATCGATGACCACACAGTTAAAGCAACCCCTTATGTGAGACAGATGGTTACCTTATACACCACAAAGCCAGATAAATACTGCGTATATGCAAGGGCACCAACCGTACCGAAAGTTATCAAAAGCATCAAAAATATCCACCCGCTTTCATGGAATATTCCGCCACCTATTTCCTCTCCTCTGTTGGACTTACATCGCTTGAATGCGATGATTAGGAACAAGATAAACACTAGAAGACAAAATCTGTCGACTCCCTTGGATAAGGGCTTGGCTTTTGGCCCCCTTCTCGCTAACGATGCCTTATCTGACTTCACGAATAACATTCGAATGGAACAACACACAATGCTCACTTGGCAAGTGGCTGCTGGCCTGCCGCCTGGACCCCGGACATAGTCGTGAGTCCGACGCCTTATACGACGGACAGACGATATCTTACTGGACAAAGATCAAGATTCGGTTACGATACATGCATCTGTGCAAACTTGTCTCTGTCCTTGTTCTACTTATTAACTTGTCAGACCTGCTAACACCAGATGCATCATGCAACCCCCGAGTCGCCTGCATGCCTCCCCCCCCCCAAACCTCACAGAACCGCTCCCGTGTCCTTATACTATATAACTTGCCCTACTTCTTATTTTCTTCCATGAATGCATGTGCCTTTAGGCTGCTTCTACATGAACAATCAAGCATCATACTCCTGTGTCACAAGACGCAGACACATGTTCTCATAATCGTCGATTTCTATCTGACTGACCTTCAACCTCTCCCGCATCTCCAGCCATGGATCAACACTCGACCGCCGTGTATCGCATCGCAGAGAAGGTCAAGATCTTCTACCACAAGGGCATTGCCTTCCGAATCTACCATGGCAGCACCAACAGCACCCGCCTGAGCAACCGCAAGGCCGGTGAGGTTGTCGACACCAGCAGCCTCAACCGCGTCCTCGATATCGACCCCCAACGCCAAGTCGTCCTCGTCGAGCCAAACGTCCCCATGGACCAACTCGTCGCAGCCACCACCGCCCGCGGCCTCATCCCAGAAGTCGTTCCCGAGTTCCCCGGCATCACCGTAGGGGGCGCATTCGCCGGCGCCGCCGCCGAGAGCTCCTCCTTCCGCTACGGCGTCTTCGAACGCTCCGTCAACTGGATCGAACTCGTCCTCGCCAACGGCCACGTCGTGCGCGCCTCGGCCGACGAAAACGAAAACGAAAACCCGGACCTCTTCCGCGCCGCCGCCGGGGCCTGCGGCACCCTCGGCATCGGCACCTTGTTCGAGATTCGCCTCGTCAAGGTCGACCGCTTCGTCGAGGTCGAGTACCACCCCGTCTACTCCTCCGCCGAGGGTCTCGCCCTCGTCGATACGCTCGCTGCCGACCCTTCCATCGACTTCCTCGACGGTATCCTCTTTTCGGCCTCCTCGGGCGTCATTGTCACCGGACGCCTTGCCCCGTCTCACTCTCATCCGCCCACACCGGACAGCGACGACGACGAGTCGGCCAAGACGACGCACAACAAGAAGAAGCCGGCCCCCATCGTCCGCTTCACCCGCGCCCAAGACCCCTGGTTCTGGCTGCACGCCCACGCCTCCGTCCCGCACGCCCGCCACACCCACTGCGACACCTGCCCCTTCGCCCCCTCTCGCGATCCCAAAGAGGCCATCGAGCACGGCCGCGTCATCAACCGCGTACCCGTCGCCGATTACCTTTTTCGTTACGACCGCGGCGCCTTCTGGATGGCCATCTACGGCCAACCACCTTGGTTCGCCGGCCCTCTCACTCGTTTCCTCTTCGACAAGGCCATGCACACCCGCACCATGTACAAGGCCATGCACCACAGCGGCCGCTCCCAGAGCTTCATAGTCCAGGACCTCGCCGTCCCGCGGCAGAACGCCCAGGAATTCCTAGAATGGTCCCACAAGAAACTCTGGATCTACCCTCTCTGGCTCTGTCCCATCAAAACCCCCGACGGTGCCCGTGCGCCTATCAACTTCGCCAAGCTGCCCCCTCTTCCCTCCGACGACGACGATTCTTCTTCTCCTCCGGCTTCTTCTGGGCCGGACGCCTCCTCGCCTCCCCCGAACCGCCAACATTGTCGTCGTCGTCGTCGTCGTCGTCGTCGGTATCGTCGGGCGACATGTGGATGAACATCGGCCTCTGGGGCATCAAGAGCGCCAACTGGCCCTACAACACCCCCCAGCTCGGCCTGGACGCCTTCAAGGTCTTCGTCCAGGACAACCGCGCCATCGAGGCCAAGATGAGGGACCTCGGCGGGTACAAGTGGCTGTACGCCCACTGCTACTACACCGAGGACGAGTTCTGGGACGTCTTCGACAAAACCACGTACGAGGACGTCCGCCGCCGATGGGGCGCGCAGGGGTTGCCCAGCCTGTGGGACAAGGTGAAGCGCGAGGAGACTGAGTACGTTGACAAGGGGCCGTTCTGGAAGGCTTGGCTCTGGACGTTTCTGGGGAGGGAGCACCTATTGCGGCGGTAAGTCTTTCGTAGGGGTAGTAGGTAGGTGGGGTGGGTTGACCGGGGTGTTCCGGGGGCCGGATTCGTGTTGTCTTTGTTCTGTTTGACAGGGACAGGGACAACAATATCAAGCCGGATAGGCACGTTATTTCTTAATACAACAAACTTGACCGAATTGGTACGACCAATAACACGCTTCCTGTCCTTTCAGCTTGTAATTACGAGGCAATCATACGCGAATGACGATATCCAATTTGCGACCAAGGGTGGAAGTGCGTCAGATGACGGCTCTAACCGAGTCCATAAAGATCTCAAAAGGTCCGGTGGCTTTTTACATTCCGGCTGTAGATCGCGGGAGATAGACAAAAATGCACAAGCTGTTATTATTAGCATCCAGGGTTCCTCCAGGAAATCAACTGCCCAAAAGCGCCATACATTCCTGGCAGAATTATGTCTTCCTGCACACAGCTACCACGGGACCATCGCCTCACACAGCCTCGGGAAGAAACAAAAAGACAAAAAGGAACAAAAAAAAAAGAAATGTCATGTCATCGTTCTTCTTTGACTTGGTTTCATTTTGTATTCGGGACGACCGACGTTGTCTCTGTTATGACACAAACATTTTCAGCGTCCGTCCTCCCATGACCACCCAGCCCTTGCTGCCCACTGGCAAAAATGATGATGAGTGGTTATTTTCCCTTCGTGAACCGCCACGCCAATCTCTAAATGTCGGAAGAAAAAACGCGTAGAAAAATGGGACCGTGGAAAACACACGCGAGAATCCACCCCAGCCGGACTCCGATAACCTAGGTTTGTGTTCGCAAGGCGGGTGGGAAACCGGCCGCGGGATGGGGAGGGCCAATGTTCTTTTGGGGTTTGTTGTCGAAAAAGATTCGCGTCGGGGGGGGAGTGGGAGTCTAGTAGCCGAAGGACTCGAGGGCCTTCGCCGTGCTCTCGTCCACCTTGGCGCTCTTCTTGGCATCGGCCAATTGTCGCTGGGCCACCTTCTTGCGCTCGTAGTAAGCAGCACCCTTGGCCTTGCGACGCTCCTCCAGTCTGTTGAACCCCATGTCAGTTACCGTCGTCTCACCCACAATTTCTGATTCATTCTCTTCGTCACTTCGCAGCCCAGGGAATAGAACGCACCTCGCGACAACATCCTGGTACTTCCAGCCGACCTCGTGGCTGAGACGGCCGACAGTGCAGTACTTGCGGCCGGGCTGCAGCCGAAGAACGCGGAGAGCCTGGGGAACAACCATCTTCTTCTGCTTGTCGTAGGGGGGAGGGACACCCTCGAACACCTTGAGGCGCTCAAGGGCGGCGGCACCGCGAGCAGTCTTGTGGGGCATCATGCCGCGGACAGCCTTGTAGAAGATTCGGGAAGGAGCACGGAAGTGGAAGGGACCTGTCGGCGGGTCAGAACTCTCGTCCGTCCATCCCCGGCATTGGGGTTACTCGGCTGTGGCCGCGGCCGTGGCCGTCGTCGTGGCCGTCAGGTTGGAGGAATGTACTCACCACCGCGTGTCGGGTTGAATCGAGTGGCCTTGCGCAGGTAGGCGTGGTACTTGACTGCAAAGCCGGAAATGTCAGCCATTATCCCATTCTGTCCACCAGATTCCCTCTTATTCCATTCCGACAACGAGCCACCCAATCCCATCCAAAATTCCCAGCCTGCTCTTGCATTCCTGGCTCCGTGTCCTCCGGTGAAATCGATGGTAGTGGGGAGAGAGTGTGAGAGAATCGACGTACGCTTGGCGCGGAAGAACTCGCCGGAGATGTTCAGGGCCTCGGCGCGGACGATGACAATCTTCTGGCCGTTGAGGAGTTGCTTGGCGACAATGGAGGCCAGACGGCCAAGGAGGTGACCCTTGCCGTCAATGACGACCTGCAAGTTGCGAGCTGTCAGTCAAAATACTTGGGATGTTGCTGGTGGTCGGCAATGTGAAGCGACGGCGAGGTGCCAGCGCATGACAAAAGGCGGCTGAGCAACGAAAACCCGATGGCGACCCCTGTCCATCCATGCAATCTGTCGTCGACGCATCCTTTCTTGTCCCCCTTAACCTTCACCGTGCATCCTGCCCATCGCCATCGGTGTGCATCGCCAACCCAAAACTGAAGGAGGGGAGGGGGGCTCTGAGAACCAACTCACCACCTGCTCGAAGGACGACATCGTATCCGAACCGTCACCGCAGAATGAAAATGAACAAGAAAACAATCAGCTCGTGAACAAACCTCTAGGCCCTGGTGCCTCGCGGAGATTTGTGCTGTTGAGCTGGGTCGTTAGTAAGGTCGTTGGTGGAAGGGTGGGAGGAAAAGAGGGTTCGCGACAACTTGACGTCCGGCCGAAATTTGCTTCCCACGCTGGCCCCAAAGGTGGACGGTGATTGTGCCTTGTGGTGGGAAATCGCCCTAGCCGCTTCGGGAATGGTGGTGTCCGGAACAAGCGAGAGGGCTGGTCGCCCTTTTCTGGCGAGTTAGGGTTGCAGACCTAGGAACTGTGTCACGTGCGCACACCGTTTTGTCACTTATGCCGACCGGCGGCGGCGTTCACTCCGCATTGTACGTTGTATGAGGCACGACCCGTACTCCGTTCTTCGTACTCCCTACTGCGTTTGTTGCTTATTAATCGCATTAACGACCAGCTGATATACGAAGTACGAGCTGCGGATATCAATTGGAATTTGCTGCGAACTCGAGCAGATCCAGAGGCACAGAGAGGTTCCCTCGCCCATTTCCGCCCAACAGCCATAAGATCACGGCCGGTCAGTGTCACGAGGCCACGATTTCGCCATTTTTTGCTGTTGATTTGAAGCCTTGTCAGAGAGGACTGGATAATCTTTTGGATTCCAATGTCACATTCCCATGACTGGTCCTATCGAGTGATGGTCGTCTAGTCCACTGCCTTCCCCTTTGACAACTCAACTCCCTCGACTACAAACTCCTTCAAGACAGTTCTCCTCGTTCTCAGACAGTGATGAAGATCTATTTCGATACTCCGCCAAACAGGGAAAGTCGACATCGCCACGGCGCTTAGCTCATCACATTTCCCAAGCAAATCGAAGTGGATGCAAGTCGATGCAATCCGCCACTGACAAACTGGTGAGCAAGTGCACATCTCCTCAGGGGCCACGCAGTATATGAACGGAAAACCGAACAACTCATTCTGGACCCCATTACGCCTTGCTAAAACGACAAGTTGTCGTGGGTCAATAACCCCGACTATCCGTTTAGTCTAGTGTCTAGCTCCTTTAGAATGCGCTGTACCTTCATGATGATGTCCTTCCTCCATCTCTTAGCCTCCTGGTCTCCGTTCATTTCCACCTCGTCGAGCTTCAGAATGATATGCTGCATCACCGTCTCGGTGATCCGCCGATGGTCGTCCTCCCGCTTCTTCTTGTCGGCGGGGGGCTCGCGGATGAAAGCCTCGCAGAGAGGATACAGCTTGGTCACGAAATAGGTTTCAATCTCGTTGAGTTTAGCCATGGGCCCCGAAACCGGGTGTCTCAAGCTCGGGGACGACGGAGACGCGTCGGAATCGCGGCTCAGCACGGAGAAAGAAGAGGCGCTGTCGTGCGGGCTCGTGGCCATGTCGTTGGGGTGGTGCGTCTTTTTGGACTTCTTGGACTTTCTCTTGCGGCGTTTCCTCGCGTCGTCTGCATCGCGGGGGGGTGCATCGACGACAACCATCTCCTCGCCCGACAGGTCGTCGCCCTCATCCGCAGCCCCCTCCGGTAACACGACTAGGACCTCACTATTGTTCTTCACGCCGTAGTCCCGGATGGGCGCGGCCGGTTCCTTGAGTTGACGGGCCTTGTAGAGGATCTTAGCTCGACGGGCGCGGCGGTCGGAGAGATCGAGCTCCAGTGCGATTCTGTCGCGGATGTCGCGGACGCGAAGCTTGCCGTCACCGATGGAATAAGGGGGGAAATGGGCTGGGTAGGTGGCCCCCTTGTAATTAATGAGGATGACATCGTCTTCCGGTGCCGGGGCGGTCGGGCGCGGTCGCGGCGCGTACCTCGGAGTCGTCGACGATTCCGGGAAGGAATCCTGGAGATCTTGCGATGTGATGTAGCTGTAGTCCTCATCGGTCACGTTGGGCACGCCGCCGGCCCCGAGCGAGGAGCTGTATGGGGATACCGAGCCGCGTCTCGACCAGCCATAGTGTGCCATGGCGAAGGGGACTGCTAATATGATGCAGGCGACGAAGCTGTAGAGAACGATGTCGGGGTGGACGCCAAGGGTAGACGCAAGGCGCTGGGAGGACTCGGTGATGGTAGCAGCGATGGGACCAAGGGACTTGTCCAGGTAGACCTGAACGGAGGCGGGCAGTCGGGCGGTGATGTCGGACAAAACACCGGACGATGCGAGGGGTACGTCGGAAGCCACCTTGGCGGATAGAAGCGGTCCTTAAAACTAAGGACGCGAAGCGAGGGGGGTGGAAGAAGTGGGTAGTTCGGCACTTTTCTTAATGCATCGGGACGCGATTCACAGCATGAGTAGATGGCGGCAGTGTCCAGAGTCGTGAACCAAAGAGAACTCAATCGGGGTTCTCGAAAAACGGCGAGGGACGGACGATGTTTCGTTGCCGATCCAGGTGGGGTGTTGAGTAGGCAGTCCTGGCGTCGGATGGCCACAGTTGAAGAGGAAGTGAGGGTCTACTAACAGAATCGCGAAGTCCAAGGATCTGGGTCGGTTGGGTAGAATTCAGGAATCGACGGCAGGCTGCATTGGGAGGGTAGTGCGGGAGGCCATATGGATCGAGATGCCCGCGGAGTCTTGGGCGTAAAGGACGAAAAAGAGGAAAGAAAAAGGTCGAAGGAAGAAAAAAAGGAAGAAAAAAAAAAGGGAAGAAATGGGGATGTTATGCGTTGTCAGCAGAGAGAGTGAAGAAGGTGTTGGGTGCGGGTATATTGTTTCTTTAATGATAGTGGAGATATACGTGTACCTAGGTCGTGCTTCGTACGACGGCGGGGAAAGGTTGACCCAGTGGGGGGCATTGACAGGCGATTGGGATCCCCTGATTGGGGGGGATGTGGAGAAATTATGTAACCGAAGGTACCCTGGACGGAACACCTAATCATTTCGTACACGGTACACCGCCGTATGTTCGGGATTTGTACCGTGGCCGTGAGAGTACAGCGCGACCAATCGCAGACTCCCTGCAAACCGAATTTCCGAATCATTGGTGCGATGTGGTTCGATACCAGTGTCCTCATTGCTCTCAAGGCCCAAGATGTATCACGAGGCCGTCTCCGCAGATGTCTTACCCTCGGGGACTCTATCATCGGTGGCCTGTTTAGACGTGGTCGAAGTCTTATTTGCTCATTTGCTTCAGGACCAGACGGACTCGCAGTGAGTTCACCCGCTCCGTCCCACTTGATTCGACCTTGGACAGTATAATGATGGGCCGGACTACGAGATCACGTCCGAATTAGTGTACAGGACAATAATATACAAGGCCTTATTATGACTCCCGGAGTACGTGATTTCTCGTCGTCGTCCTCCTCCTCCTACTACATAGTATAAGGCAGCTTCCTTAGTATATCTTATCGCTATAAAGGCGGTTCGTTAATATCTATATGGAAAACACATAAGTACCCATTACTAAAAGAATTAATAAGTATACGTGGCGACTTAATCGGTATATATAAGTTGGGTATCTGTAATTCAAACGCGGTGTCTTCGTAGTCTGGCCCATAGTGATAGGTATTCGAACTTGATTAATGCACGGAGTAGGTACTACTAGGCAAGTACGAATACTTATGTCTATCATGGCCAATGGAGTTTGAGGGTGAAGACAAGTCCACCGTGGCATTGGACAAGTTTTTTGGGCTATGTCCCCGTTTTCCAGGGTCTTGGAAGGTTTGCACCCAGGGAATCCTTTATCTCGTTGAAAAGTAGGTTTGTTATATAGAGGAGACTCGTTATAAAGACACGGGTTTGGGAACGGGCTTCTCTCCAAGTCGAAGACTATAAAAGTTCACCTAATATAGGAACGGTTCTAGGCGAAACGAAAAAGGTGTAGTTGGGAAGACCTTCCTCGACTACCTAAGGTATGCGTTGAAGAGGGATTACGCTGTAGACCTCTTGACGAGGCGGCCTGTTAGTGGCGTGTTTAACGCAAACATTCTCCAGGTTTCAAGATCTACCTACTCCGTAATTATCGGTACATTAGCTAGCTGTTCGTTTTTAACCTTAAGTATCCAGTAGGATAAGGGAGTAATTGGGGTTGGCGACGTGGATAGGAGCTCGGTTTATGACGGTAAGTAAGGTCTGGTTTTATGTAGTGGCCTATGTAATTCGTGTTGAATTAACGGGAGCGTGCTTACAGGGAGCGTTGATTCAGGAAATATATAATTGTATTGTATATAAAAGAGAAAGGAAAAGTGGGCGGGTGTATATGTCCTAAATATATCTACCACCTTCTAAGCGAGGATAGTAGGGCACCTCTAACTAATGGGAGAGTACTATACTATAGCTTATGTGATATAATATAATATACCCCCTAATTATTACGCTATAATTAGCGGAACGATTACTTAGCCTAACCTTAACCTAGCCTTATTTTTAACCTTAAAATAGCCTTAAAGAGTCGTGTAATACCCTTAATATCGAGTTAAAAGGCAGGAATAAAAGCTATAAAATAATAAAAATAATGATAATAGTAGTAAATAATAAAGGAAAAGTGCTATTAATAGTAATAGTAAATAGATGATAGTAGGGCCTTCCGTAGATAAATGAAAGGCGTTGTACCAGCGTTTTAGAGCTTTTAGATCCTCCGTCTTATAACCACTTATTCCGTTATTTCTTAAGGATTTAACGATCTTAAACTAATTTTCCGAATTTTTCTAACAATAGTAATAAAAATAATATTAACAGCGATATAGTAAGTATCGGAGCTTTGTTTTTAGTGGCGCGTGCTAACTGGTAGCTTCGTTTTAGGCCCCTCCTACTCTATCCGCCGTTACCCGTGCCGCCGCCGCTAAGAAGGCTTCGGCTAATAGTATGAAAAAGAATAAGAGTAAGGCCGGTACTAAGAAGGGTGCTTCTGTAAGTTATTCCGGCGTGTTAGTCTACGATATCCCTGCGCTATTCTAGGCTAACTCCTTAAAAGATTGCTAAGGGTAGTAGAAATAGGAATAATAAGGATACCGCCGATGCTTTTATGCCGGTACCGTTTAATCCCCCTTATCTAGAATACGTGAAGGGTATTTATTCCGGTAAATAGCGCTTATTTAACTACTATATTTCCGTCCCTGGCCGCTCTAACCGCTACTAAAAGTATAAGGATAGAAACCATATATACTACCCTCTATAAGTTCTTACCCCTTATCTAAGGTGCTTTATAATCGTGATCGTGTACTCTATTTTGTATTAGCTCGAAGATATATACGCTATTAAGCTTTACGACCGCTAACCTATACTTATAGTTTTTCTGGCCTTATCTTATTAGTTAAAATTCTATTCGACTATATTATAGTCCGTAAAATTAATAAAGAGTCGGATAACGAGGATAAGAAGGTGCGTTTATCGCTTTATTTCTATAGTTAAATACTCTGACTAACCAATTTCGCGTAGTCCTTCGCTAAACTTAAGTAAACGGTGAAGTTTATAATTAAACTAATAGAAGATACCGATTATAAGAAGTTCTTCCGTAAGGAAGAACTTAAGAGAGTATCGAATTAGCTTCCTGCCGCTACTTCGAGTAGCACTTCTACCTCCTAGCTCGCGGGGGTTATAATAGATATTTTACGGGAGAATAGGTTTATCGTTACTCCTCCTACTAGAGGAAATAGTATAGTAGCTAGCGTATCTAGTGTGTAAAATAGTACTCCGGCTAAAGCCGATAAAGCTTAGTAACTTAGCTAGTATACTTCTTTAGTGTTTTAGGATTTGCTTTTAGGGTTTGGTATAGTGTTATAGTATTAAGATAACGATATACCCTTCTTTTTACTAAATTAACTAAACCGCTGGCGCGCAGTATGCCTAAGGCGCGGGAATTTCGACTTTAACTACTTCTTTCTACCCCCTCTATACACTAATCATATTAAGATATACTCGGAAGTTCTCGAATTTTTATTATAGAAGTGCTTTTATTAATCCGTCCGCTAGTATTAAATTCGTAGTAAGATATACGACTCTGAATAATCCTTTTACGTTCTCCTGCCTTACTTAAAAGCGCTATATATCTTTATAGCGAAGCCTAGTCTTAATCCTAAAGCTATTATCGACTATTAGACGTATCGTTTACGTGTTATTATAGTGGATATCCTAAGGAGATTCTGGATTAAAGCGTATTTCGATAAAAAGGCGCTTTAAACCTATTATTTCTTTCGCCACTTACTCTAAAACGAGTAGCTCTGCTTCGGTTATAGACGTTATTACCGTTACTTACCTTATTACTTTCTATATAACTAATCCACTAAATAGGCTAATAAGATAACCCTATAAAGATCTTCGTGTATTTAAATCGTTTATAAAAAAGGCGTCGCTTACGATAACTATCGCCTATAAACTAATACTTAATCTGTACTAAATCGAGAGGTCCCTTATTATAAATAAATAGCGGATAGCTTAGTCTACCGCTTTATAGTGCTTAGGAGAGGGGTTTCTAAGAAAGCGGGAGAGAATAGAGGCGGCGAATACTATATTAGGACGTATTATAACTACTATATAAAGCACTAATACGACCTTTTCTTAATAAGATTTAATCTTTTAAGCGGTAGCTTTATTTTCTCTTTTCCGGTATTCTATAACAGGAATAGGGATTACTAGGTAGGTATTTAGAGCGTTTAATTTAAACCTAACTACGATCTTTTCGATATATAAGTCGTGGGAGAGGAAAACCATACGTTTAGGGCGATCTCGAGTAATCTTAATATCTAAAAACTAATCGGCTTCCCTTTTTCCCGATACCTCGAACCTTATTTCAATCCCTTTAATAATCCTAAGGCCGTTTATAGCACTATCTCTATAAAATAACACGAGAATATCGTCTATAAAGAAGATAACGAATACGTCTTAATCCTTAGTATAGAATAGGCACGGTTCTTCCTTACTAGCCTCTATCCCTAAGTCTATTAGGGTGGCCGCGAAGGTCTAGAACTATAGTCTAGGCGAGTCGCGTAGTCTATATAGTGTTTTATCGAGCTCTAAGCACTTATTAGGCTGCTTAAATCTATCGGGAAGTTCGTATATAATAGGCGTTTCTATTTCACTCCTTTAGGCGTTAATAAAGACGTTAACGATATTAAGTTACTTAATCTCTAGATTAAACTAAATAGCTAGGGCTATAATAATACGAAAAGATCATATAGCGAGCGTTATTATATAGGTTCCCTTAATTATTAAGCTCGAATATATAAGCGTGCCTTATATCGTTTAAGATATCTATCTTAGTCGAACTTATAGATAAAAACCCACTTTAACGGCAAAGGCTTTAACTTCGCCTCTAAGCGCTTAATTTCTCTCTATACACGCTTCTTAATTAGCTTATTTACATCCTTCTACATGGCTTTCTTAAACTATTCACGTATCGGGTAGTTAGTAAGCTTCCGCTAATACCTTAGTATAGCCTTTAGGTAGTCGCGATAAACCCTACCGTTAATTAAGGGCTCTAATAACGTTATAGCCTCTTTTTTAGTATTCGAATAGGTATTTATTTTAGTATCGGCTACTCCGAGGATTATTAAATTAAAGGTTAGAAGCCCTTCTAGCCTATCGTAGCGCTCTTCTTATTAATTAGATAAGAAAAAGGCATAAGTTAAAGGTATATCTGGCTTTACTTACTATATAACGCCGTAGCGCGTACCGTCTATAGTTAGAGCGCTTATAATAGCGTTAAACTCGCGGCCGTATATTAGAAGATCGGAAATCTTATCGCCGCGGACCTCTTTTATTACTAGCTTTTAAAGCTTAGTTTCTGCCTAAATAAGCGTAAACTTCTATCTAACTACTATAAAGAAGTTCCGAATAGTAGTAGGTCCTTTAATCTCGGCTACCTTTTACTAATATACGCGTCTAATAAGGGTATTCTACTCCGTATACTATATAGCTAGTTTAGTGTTAGCTCGACGAGCGTCTTATAGATACTTTTCGTATACTCGTCTTACCTTTTCCTTCGTGTAAATACTACTTGAGCGAAGCTACTCTTAAGTTCTTTTATTACATGGCGTAACGTAAAGTATCTATTTTATTTTTTCTTATTATAGCCGGGATATCTCTTAATAGCTTCTTCGATAGCCTATTAATAAGCAGAGGTCTCCATGGTGGTTTTAAGCAGAACGTAGGAGGGCTCCGTAATACTACAGAAGCATATAAAAATACATATAGATAATTGATTAGCAGGAAGTTACTGGTTACTGCTACTATCCGGGCTTATAACTATTAAATTAACGGGAGCGTGCTTGCAGGGAGCGTTAATTCAGGAAATGTATGATTGTATTATGTATAAAAGAGAAAGGAAAAGGGGGCGGGTGTACGTGTCCTAAATACATCTGCCACCTTCCAAGCGAGGATAGTGGGACACCTCTAACCAATAGGAGAGCACCATACTATAGCTCACGTGATATAATGTGACAATTCGGGAGTGAATAGAGGTTGTATTTGTAGTGGATAGAATGTCGTACCGTAATTCGGCTTACCACTATAACGTCGCCGAGGGTCCTAAGTTCAAGCATATAGCGAAATCGGGAAATAACACGTGGAATAGAGCTAGAGTTCAGACAGATGACCTTGTTTTGTGTTATTTCGGTAGGTATTTTTATTCTTATGAGTAAATGTTTCGTCTGAGCATCAGAATGATTTATGTGATATTGTTCTCCTGGCTTTTTCCTACTCTGTCAACCCAGATATGAGGTTCAAAAGACGTCCTCTTAGCTTACGAAGCACGTCGTGATTACTAACATCTGTTAGTCTAACGGGAAAGAAGAAATTGGTTGCTGAGTGGGGTAGGTATCAAGGTAATTACCTGCACGACATCACTGAAGTAATAAGGTACTTTGCACTCGGTAGTCGGTAGTCGGGATTCCTCTGTACTATTTTCCGCAGTCCCTTCCAGGTTCTCAGCACTCGTCATCTTGCCTGCCCGTGGATCCTCATCACGACATCTCCATTCACATTGCCTCCCGGCGCGCCTCTCGTTCCCTCGACAAATCGCGTTGACGTATATTTTGCACGATTCCAAGCAAATACAATAGTCTACCCCGACCTTCCGACCTTGTCCCGATACGGTTTTCCCCCGCTTCTGCAGCATACGCCATTGCGACCAACTCCGGTTTAACTCCCTTATATAATATAGACGTACGGAGTCCAGATCGCTTTTTTTCCCCCCTCGGCCAGCAAATGTTTTTTTTCCGTCGCCTCTTCTCCTCGTTTTCGTCTGTCCCACCCGTCAACATGGCCCAACACAAGCAAATCGTCGAGTCGTACATCAAGGAGAACAAAGTCGTTGTCTTCTCCAAGACGTATTGCCCTTACTGCAAGAGCACCAAGCAGACCCTCGACGATCTGGGTGCCAAGTATCTCGCGGTTGAGCTTGACAAGAGGGGTACGTTTGTCGATATCCCTTTCCATCAGCTGCTGTGTACCCTGTTGCACCCTTCCACTCTTTTGTCTGTTATCTTGCGAGTGCAGTACAATGGATTTGTGTTCTTTTCGAGTAAAAGTGGGAAGAAGGAAGGGAAAAGGAAGGGGGAAAAATCAATTTGATGCGCAGGGCGCTGACATGCAGTGTTCAGACGACGGTTCCGAGCTTCAGGCCGCCCTCCAGGAAATTTCCAACCAGCGCACCGTTCCCAACACCTTCATCGGCCAGAAACACATTGGCGGCAACTCCGATCTGCAGGCCCTCTTGAAATCGGGCGAACTGCAGACGCTACTGAAGAACGCCGGCGCGCTCGAGGCGTAAGATACATATTGCCGGCATCAGGGTCGAATAAGCTGTTGCTGATGGGTACCGGGGGATTTCTCTTTTCCTACAGGTCTAGACTTTGATTCCGTTGGAGAATATGGAGGTGCCAGTGGCTTTGCGCGCATGCCTACCTAGACCATCCTCGGCCATCAATACCCGGGCCGGCGGGCCAAGCTATCGACAAAGTCTGGTAGCGTTTGGCATGCCGATGGATTCCACCGGGATACCCAAGTGTCTTGTTTGAAACATTCTAATTCGAGTGGCTATTGTGCCATGTTCAGGTGGTGTCCGTCCTGTTCTCGAGATAGCGAGGTGTGATCGTATGTGTATAAGGTATTGTACATAATGTAAAGATCACGAACATTATCACATCGTATGCCTGGCATCTTTCCTCCCACGTCTCTATCTTACACCACCTGTGTCGCGACGGTTCCAATCGGCCGCTCCACAAACTCCATCACCCCGTCAATAATGTTTTTCCTCGCCTCTTCTGAAGCGACCTTTTTTCCCGCCAAGTAGTTGAGCCATAATAGTCTCGACACCCGCTCATCGTCTACCCGGCCGAGGAGCTGTCTTCCCTTGCCGGAGCCGTCCTCATACAGCACCTCCAATCCGCCCTTGGCGTCCCTGCAAAGAATCATCTCCTTCTTCTTGGGGACCTTTCCACGGTTGAACATGGCGCGGAACGCGCGCATGGCCTCGCCAAAGGAGTCGTCCCCAAAGGCGTTCTTGCCGGCGGTGGACCTCGCCTGGATGGCCCGGACGAAGCCGTCACGGAGATGGTGGAAATCGGTGTCGCGGACGGGGACGATACGGATGGCGCTCCGGCAACGGAGGTCGTGCAGGAGCTCGGTCCACGTCGCCTCGCCTTCGGCCGGGTCGAGGAGGGATGCGCGCAGGGCATCGCGCTCGGAGGGAACGAGGGTCGTGGCTATGGGGTTCACCTTGGACACGAGGTGGCGCTGGAGGGCGGCGATGTCGGCGGTCGCGACGTAGAAGCCCACCACGTAGACGTTGATGTGCAGGAACGAGACGGAGCGCAGCCCTAGCCCGACGAGGGTGTACTCGACGCCGGAGGCGTCGTGGAGGGTCGATGCCACGGGGGAGAGGCTGCCGCCTGTCTTGGCTGAGGCCGACACCGCTTCGGCGGGCTCAGAAGACGGAGGAGCCTGGAGTTCGAGAAGGCGAGGGAATTCGGGCACGGTCGAGTTGCCGGTGGGGACGAGCTCCTGGCCGTCCTCGCCGTGGATGACCATCTTGCGCTTGGTGCCCGCTTCGGTGACGAAAGGGCCGGTGCCGCCGGCGGAGTCGAGCTGCGCGACACCCCGCGGCGGCTCCTCGCCGGCTTCGCTTTGACTCCGTTTTTGCTTCTGTTTCTTCTGGAGCGAGATGGCGGTCCAGAGCTTGGATCCGGTGTAGATAATGCCGATGAAACCGGCTATGGCGCCTGCCGCGAGGAAGTACGTCCGGTCGCGGTCATACTCGCTTCGGGCACGGGAGAGCCGGTTGATGTTGTATCGTTCCAGAGGGCGGGACGACGACTGGCGAGGGCTTAGGAAGGTTCGGTGGGGTACCTTCACGCCGCGAGATGCCTGGGACCCTCGGTGGAGGGAGCGAATGGGTGCTGTTCGCAACATTTTGGTGGAATTATGAGAAAGAAATCTTCTCAACTTTGCACAGCGGTAGGTGCGAGGACGGGGGAGGTCCTTTCGTAGGAATAATATGCCGGCCAAACGAACTAGGCTTGGACTAGACAGTGGGACCCGAAGTGCATCGGCGCACCAAGGGTCTGGCGAACAGTGTCGGGCCGCTGAAGCTGAGTGGACAACCTGGATGTTTCGCCTCCAAGTGGATGATACCCAGTCGCCGAGCCAAGTGGTCCCTCAGATGGGCACAAAACCAATTGTTGATTCCTATTTCCAAAGTACTCGAAAGAAGCACAACACGCGGGACTAGGGACTATGTGATGGGTCGATTCAGAGATTCCGCTGAATCCCAGTTCTTTTGCCAGAGCGACGTCACCGATCACATGATGTGGGATTCTATAAGCCAATCAAACGCGATTACTTTTAAGAGAGACTCCACGGAACCATTCCAACATTTCCAAGTTGGCATCTGATTCTTTGCCGACAGCGTTTGTTTCTTATATTCGAAAAAAAACAAAGGAAGAGGGAAAAAGTAGTACACGTGTAAAAGCGAGGTCGGTAATAATTCTGCAAGTATTCATCCTTACCGACATGTACTTTGTACGGTGAACCATCATGTGTCACGTCGGGCCGGTGCCATTTCGACGGGAAAGGCACGGGAAGCATAAGTTTACTTCGTATAAGGTAAGTTTAAGGAACGGAGAGTCCGGCTGAGGTTGTGAGCCCCTGACTTGTATCACCTGCGCTTATTATTTCTTTCCTACCTGATTTCTTCACAAAAGAGATCCCGAGACTCTAAAGGTACCTAAGGATCGCATGGACCAGACCCGTATCAACATGTAATAATTGTAGAATTGGCCACTTACTCCTATAGACATGCTCCCTCGTAATCGTACTCTTAAAAACGCCCTTGCATTCCATCAGTTCTCTAGCATTACGCATATATTGTGCTGGAGGACCTTTACGGGCCTTGTATTCGTAATGTGCAAGAGTAAGCTGCAAGAGCAACCTCTTACTAATTATATCCTCCTGCCTGGGGAATGGGGGAATGAGTGACACACTGGTACGAAACAAGTGGGAGGAAGCGACCCCCAGGTACTTCCTTGGTTTAAGGAACTCATACGATTAATTGCGGTACGTATCCGTACACAAGTATCATCTGACGCAGCCTCCGCGAGCGCTTTGTTCTTCCAAGGTTCCCTTTCTTCCACCACACTCGCACTCGTAGGACACCCGCCCAACTTCCTCCACACACCAAGCCACGATACGCCGTTCTCCTGTTCCTCCCCCTCCCCTTCCTGGGCTTCTCTTGCGATCCCGAGAGCCAGGCACCCCCTTCACCTGTTCTGATTTCCCTTTCTTTTTTGTGCTTTTTTACTTTTTTATCTTTTGAACCGGAACGCTGAGTATTTATTACTTCCTCTTTCTTCCAGAGTCCAGTCGGCGGCTGCCTCCCGCCACACCGACCCAGCAGGCCAAGAGAGAGAGAGAGAGAAAGGCAGAGAGAAAGAGAGAAAGAAATAGACAGAGAGCTTATCGCATACCAAGCCGACACCCGCCGTCCCCTCCACTCGACTTTTGGACGGAACTCCCACGCCTTTTCTCCATTCCATCGGTCGGTCGGTCGGGTGATTTTTTTCGACTCCCTCCCTACGGCCCTGTTCTCGACGATCATTTTTCGATCATTTCTTCTCGCCGCCGTCGTTCGTTGTCTTCTCTCGCCATGAGGCCTTCCGCTCCCTCAATCCACGTCATGGCCACCGACTCCGCTACCAACGGCGGAACCACGCCGCCCGCAATCCCGCCCGAGGATTCCCGGTCATCCTCATCGACAAACTCCCCCATTCAGGCCGACAACGAGGAATCCGACTTTTTCCACGGAGGCAACGACTCCCAGTCGTCGCTCGGTGTCCCCAACATTGAAGACATGCAGGTTTCCGATGGCGCTGAAAACAACGACGAGGATTGCCTTCCTGGTGTCGCCAAGTTGCCCAACGAAATCCTTATCAGCATCTTCGCCAAGCTCAACAGCACCTCTGACCTCTTCCGCTGCATGCTCGTCAGTAAACGATGGGCTAAGAACGCCGTCGATCTCCTCTGGCACCGTCCCGCTTGCAACAACTGGCAGAACTATTCGTCCATCTGCCGGACTCTCCAGCTCGACACGCCCTTCTTCGCCTACCGCGATTTCATCAAACGCCTCAACCTCGCCGCCAGTGGTTTAGCTGATAAAATTAGTGACGGCAGCGTCATCCCTCTCGCCGTCTGCACCCGCGTCGAGCGCCTAACTCTCACCAACTGCCGTCAACTTACCGACCAGGGCTTGGTCCCCCTGGTCACCGATAGCTCGTTCCTGCTGGCCTTGGACGTGTCTGGGGACGAGCACATCACCGACGCATCGATCCGTGCTGTGGCGAGATACTGCAAGAAGCTACAGGGCTTGAACATCTCGGGCTGCAGACAAATTACCAACGAAAGCATGATTCTTTTGGCTCAGAACTGCCGTTACCTAAAGAGGGTGGGTGATGCTGCTTTCATTCCCCTTCTTTCCTACTAACCCCCCGTCTCTTATCATGTTCCGGTTGGCCGGCCATACCGGAGAAAATAAAATGCACGCATATGGCTGACAGCATAACTCGCACCTCCAGCTCAAATTAAACGAATGCGCCCAACTACAGGACGTGGCCGTCCTTGCCTTCGCCGAGCACTGTCCCAACATCCTCGAAATCGACTTGCAGCAGTGCATCCAGATTCAGAACGAACCCATTACGGCGCTGATTTGCAGGAGCCAGTCACTTCGCGAACTGCGGCTGGCCGGCTGCGAGCTGATCGACGACGGGGCCTTTCTCTCGCTCCCTCCGAACAAGACGTACGATCATCTGCGGATCCTTGATCTCACTTCGTGCGCCCGGGTGACGGACGCAACCGTGCTGAAGGTCATCGACGTCGCCCCCCGTCTCCGTAATCTCGTGCTGGCGAAATGCCGCAACATCACCGACGCGGCCGTCTATGCCATCTCCAAGTTGGGCAAGAACCTGCACTATCTGCATCTGGGTCACTGCAGCCAGATTACGGACGAGGCCGTCAAACGGCTCGTCCAGCATTGCAACCGCATCCGCTACATCGACCTCGGCTGCTGCACCCTGCTGACGGACGACTCGGTGGTGCGGCTGGCCCAGCTGCCCAAGCTGAAGCGGATCGGACTGGTCAAGTGCAGCAACATCACGGACGAATCCGTCCTTGCGTTGGCCCGCGCGAACCACCGCCCCCGGGCGCGCCGCGATGCTTTCGGGACCATCATCGGCGAAGAGTATCACAGCTCTCTCGAGCGTGTCCATCTGAGCTACTGCACAAACTTGACTTTGAAGGTAGTCTCTCTCTCTCTCTCTCTCCACCCCGGCCCCGGCCCCGGCATCCCCCAGACCATTCCGACTAACGCGTTGCCGCAGAGTATCATCAAGCTGTTGAAGTATTGCCCGAGACTCACGCATCTGAGCTTGACAGGCGTCGCTGCCTTTCTTCGCGAGGAGTTTGCCGAGTTCTGTCGCCCGCCACCTCCAGGTTCGTCTTGAGCTCTTCCTGTTCCGCCTTGACTTTTTCTTCCGCAATTTTCTTTTTTCCTTGCGGCTAACTGTCCACTCTAGAATTTACCGAACACCAGCGGGGCGTCTTCTGCGTCTTCTCGGGCACGGGGGTGAGCAAACTCCGCGAGTATCTCCATACAGCCCCCGAGTACGAGGCGCTACGCGACTGGTCCCATACGCCACGCTTTGTCCGTACGACACACGATATCGGCCGACTTCAATCACCCAACCTCCAACCTAGAGCAGCTGTGCTGGGCATCGTGAATGGTGGCGTTGGTTTTACGGAAACAGATGAGCCAGAGCCCGAAGTGACCGAGGAGGAGGAGCCTTTCGAAGGTCTTGACGGGAGTGAGATGGTCCTCGATGGGCAACAGCCTGCGATACCAGCCCACCACTTGGTCAACGGCACCGCTTCTGCCGGAGTACCACCAGCACCGCCTATCCACCATGGACCGGCCGGAGGTCTCGCGGCCCCGAATAACGCCAGCGCTCTGCCCAGCAACGGAAACCCGCCAACGGTACACTTCCAGCATCTCACGCACCCCCAGACGCAGTCCGCAAGCCAGGCTCGACAGCCGCCCGTGATTATCTCGGGATTTTATCATGAGGCAGATACAAGCCGGGAGTCAAACTCGCCAGCTACTGCGGTGTCACCCCAAGGCGTGAACATTGGACCTGGCGGCCCATCAGGCAGCGGGCAAAGTCCTCTGGGTGCCAGCACAGCATCCATGCAGGGACAAAATCCACCGAATGGCGCGGCTGAACCATCCGGCACATCGCCCTGAGCTGTGACAGTCCTGTTCTCCTATTAGCATTCGATGCTATGAACGTCTTTGGAGGGTCATATGGTACGGCAAGCGCAATGTATGTTTATTTTAAAGGGGGAAGGGGTTTGGTTTTCCAGGAGTTAACAGCAGCCGCGACAAGGACAGCTACTCCTCGCGGGGTCGGTCGGCTTCACACAAGACACAACAGATACCCGATGGCGATTGTACGGCAAGGTTATATACATGGTATTCGTGGGAACGATGAACGAACATGACGACTTGGGAGAACGTATTTTTGTTTTCTTTTGTTTTGTTTTCTTTCTTTTTTCTTTTTTTCTTGCGTTCCTTTCCTTTTCAGTCGGGTTGTCTTTTTCAGTTACATTTCCCCTTCAAGAGCCAAGAGCAAAGCATACTGCGAATGGATTATAGGCTCGAGTCTTCTTTGAGCAACTGTGAACTTGATTAACCAGCTTTGATACGCGCACCCAGGTGCTGACTCTGTCCTGACAACCAGGACGTGCGCTGCCTATCCCTAGATAGCGACATGTCGGTTCGCTTTTGCCCTCTGTTAGGTTGACTCCGGATTCCTCAGACCACGTTCTGACTTGCCGTCCCAACACATGCGCTGGACGATGAAAGCACTGCACCGACGAGGCACTTGGCAACAGGTCCGTTGGCGAGCGAGAGAGTCTAGCACAGGGCATTGCCACGCAATGTTATGTCTACTCCGCACACCTGATGCAACTGTCTTGCGAAGGGTAGTTGAGTAATGAATAACATTGGGGGAAGGAAGTTGATGGATGAACGTCAGGGTAGTGTGGACTATGGAATGATACCGGTTTTCTCTTAATATAACACACACTTCGCTAGTCTAGAAAAGAAACGCGTGGTTTTGTTGTACTAGTAAGTGTGTTCTTAGAGTATCGGGCCTGCGTCGCGGTATCCCGTATTCCCCCTGTTGTTGTCGTTAACTTATAAAAAAGGCCTAGTAATATTAGGATCTCGCTATATATCCTAGGAGGCCTACTATAGGGCAGAGACGGACGCTAATTTCCTAACTCTACCTTATACTAGAAGGGTTATGTTATATTTACGCGGGATACTAATAAGCGAGGGGGAGACGGGATACGGCGACCTGTTAAAGGTGCCTTTATAGACTTAGCTCCATTTCTATTGAAAGTTCCCTTCTTCCGACTCCACCTCTAGTCTCGACTGTCCGTCACGAAGCTCACGACATTGAACTCTCATGTTAGTAGTATCTGCTCTATTCGTACGTCTTTCATGCCCTTGCCTCGCACATTCTCCTTGGCTACCTAGATACGATTACATTGACCGCAGTACCCGCATTCATCCGAGCAGTAGGTGAAATCGCCGTCGTTCGCAAGGTCCACCCACTCGCTGATCGAGTCTGTCGAGTCCGTCTCATCACTCTCAGAATCACGATGTGCCGCCGTCTCACACAACCAACTCTCCCACCGTAGCGCCACCTTACCCGGCAACGCTGATCGCACGTCGGGCAACTGCTCCAGGATCTTCAGTCGGGGCTGGTCCTCTTCGCCAAGAATCTCCATCTTGCCGTCTTCCCGATCCCGTGCCACGTCGACGATGCGGTGCAGCAGTCTCGCGAACCGCAACAGCGCATCCGCATTTGCCGACTCCCAGGCCCTGACCTCCTCGCGGACGTCCTTGATTTGGATGTCGTTGAAGAAACCGAACTGATGCCTGGCGAGGATGAAGTTGGGGATCTGCGCCAGCCAGAGCCGGGGGAGCTCCTCCGCCACGACCTGCTCTGGGTCTCTCTTGATGGAACGAGTCTTGAGGTCGAACATGGCCTCCTGAGGGACGACGCGGCCGCGGAAACTGACTTGCAGCGAGTTCGAGTTCGCATCAGTTTGGGGGGTCACGGAAGCGACGTGAGCCGTGGCAAGCTTGTCGCTGATGGTTTCCAGCGATGCTGTACTTCTTTCTTCTCCCTTTGCGCCGTCCTGGTCCTGCTTCTTCTTTAAGATGCTCTCGGATTTCTCGGGGAGGTACCCGTCCCCTTCGAAACGCACCAGGCAGCCGAGACCAGCGAATTCGTATCGCAGGATTCGCTGGTGGGAAGCCGAACCACGGACGTCACCGTCCCATTCTGTGTAGGCCTCCGGGAAACTGTGTCCATATCCATGGACGTCGGGGATGATCTCCTTGGGTGAGTTCTCGCGGCGGATGAGGTGGACTGTCGAGCCGACAACCTCCACGAGCATGCGGAACTGACGTCCTTCACCTCTGACGAAACGCAGCAGGTTTCCCAGCGTGCTTCCGCAGGCTACCAAGTCGATGGGCCCGACTTTTTCTCCCTCGATGCAGTTCATCCGCATTACAGCCTCGACTGTCGGCTCCCAGGGATGGTCGGGGTGCCGCGAGGCGTTCTTATCTCGGTAATACGTGCCGGCGTCTTGCTTCAACTTGACGACTTGACGCGGGGGCGCCCATCTTGCGGGGGCACCTGTTTTCCGAAGCCCTTGTCAGCGAAACTGTCTTCTCAACCTTTTCCACCTGGAGCTGTGGTTTCACCATAGACACATCATACCTGGCACGATGATCCATGGATTCGATCTGTCCAGCCAGCTGTACGTTGCGACTAATTTGCAGTTGGTGATGCGGGCGTCGTCTGTTTTCCACCTTGCGTCGGCAGAGAGGACCTCGGTGACTGCAATGGAGTTGCATTCCGGACCAAGTGGAGGGGGCAGAGACAGAGTTGATTCGTCCTTGACGCGTCTGTGCCTTTCCCATTTGTTCGTTTGACCGGACCAACGAGAGGCCATTTCTTTCTTTCCTTCTTTTCTTCCTAAAGAGAGAAAAGAATTATTCGGTAAGTTATCAGGCAATGGTCTGGGAGTGGGAGAGGAAGAATTTGACGACGATTGATCAGACACTTGATGGGAAGCACCCCTTTTATGTCTATGTGGTGAAAGCAATCCAGAAACAAACCCAAGTCGTCTAGGATATTCCACCATGAAGTGTAAATTTTCCAGACGGCTAGGCTAACACATACATTTAGGCATACCGAGCCGTTTGGAAGTACGATGCCTTGCGGCCGCCTTTGACGACCCCCCCCCTTTCTATGCACAGCCTGCAGAGTCAACATGCGGGAGGCTCACCACTTTGTGCGACCAACCGACCAACCCAACAAACGGCCACAAGGCGAAGCCCTCTCTGGGCTCTACCTCTACCGTCTACGCGTCGGCCAGTTATCAGGCCAACGACTTGCCATCATTTTTGGTTTATGCCTTTATGTATCGGGAGGCCTTCCATTCTTTTCTGTTCACGTGCCTGGAAAGCCGACCTAGGGAGCCATTATATAAATCTCTTCGGTTCCTCCTTGGCTCTTGCCTTCTTCAAGCTGCCCTGGTGCTATCCTTCAAGAGTTTCCACTTCTGGAGCATCTTGAAATTAGCACTACTTACGTTCTCAAGGATATTCTCTGAAAATTCCATTCCCGACTGCCTCACTTGGTTCTCTACAGACTACTTCAGAGTTCAGACTTTCCCCGACAAACCAACCCACAGCCTCTCACTTTTGAATCATCCTATTAACTCTGCAACATTGTCAGATTATACCCATACAACCAACAACCCGACATGACCATCAAAGTCACTCCGCAAGACGCCGCCCGCGCCGACCGCCTGGCTCGTATCTTCCGGGAGTTCCTCAAGGAACGCTCTGTCAAGACAGCCAAGGATGCCCAGTTATTCTTGGAAGCCGTTAGAACTGAGGCTTCTTCGACCTCGTGTCTCGAGAGTATTGTTGCCAGTGACTCGGCTTTGCAGGCCGTCAAGTTGAGCGTCCGGATCGATGCCTCCGCCCAGTACATCATCACTCATGTGATCCCATTCCTCGCATACTTCGCCACCCAAGAAGTCAAGGCTATTCAGGGCGGCCAGCTGATGCGCCAACTTCTGATGGTGATCATCCAGCCACCGACTCTTTGGAACGCCATGGTGGAGCTCTATACCAACCGCACTCTCAAAGATGACAACGAGGAAACCTTCGCCTGGATGTGCCTCGAGGTCGCCCGGTTTTCCGGCCCAGAGCTGAATGATCTTGTGACCGGGCTCACTACTGCCTTGGCCCGGCGTCCCTTCTTGGAGAGCACCAATGCCAAGGTTCGCGAGCTTGGTTACAGCATTGGCAAAGTCCTCAATCTCAGACACTCGCTGGACCCTGCGACCGACTCGGCGGAGGACACACCGGGTGGGCGGCACGATAATGATTTTGCCGACTTTCGACGGATTGCCATTTTCCCTACCCGGGACGAGTTCTCGTCGTCCTCTCCGCCCTTTCTCCGGCGAGCGGCCGAGGTGGCGCAAGAGGACCCCTCCAGCAGATGTCGTGTCCACCTGGACAACCAGTTCCGTTTGCTCCGCGAGGATATGAACGGAGAACTTCGCGAGGACTTGCTGCCGGCGACTGGCCAGAAGAAGAAGCCCAGAGCAATTCACGCCCTCGGTGGTCTCGTACCTCGTGGAATATATTCTGGAGACGACAAGCGAGGTCGGCCGTCCGCTCTTCTTGTGTCTTGCACATCCGGCCTCGGTTTCCTGCGTACGCAGCCCGAGAAAGAGCGCAGAAAGTTTCTGGACACGAACAGGGCGGTACTGCGCCACCAGTCCTTTGGTGCTCTCTGTCGAGACAAGGAGATCGTCGGATTTGCTTTCATTGTTCGTGATATCGACCTCCTCGTCCAGGACCCTCCCGTCGTGGGACTGCAGTTCACGACCAGTTCACAGTTCACGAGGGCCGCTATGGCACTCTGCACACATGGCGACGTGCGGTTCGTGCTGGTTGATACACCCGTCTTTGCTTACCGGCCCATTCTTGAGCGACTTCAGAGTATTTCAGAGCTTCCTCTGGAAAGGGAGCTTTTGCGTCTCCCTGCCAACAACACGATCAACCAGCTCCAGGCCTTCCAGCCAAGGCCTGCCATATCGAAACTCATCTCCTTGTGGAACCAACTCGAGCCGCTTGACGGAGAAACGTACAATTGTCGGATCGGGAAGCGCGACTACAGATTTGACGATTCTCAGTTCAAGTCTATTCTGTCTATTCTCGGCACTGGACTCTCTGTCATTCAGGGTCCTCCCGGTAAGGATATCCTGACGACATGGACACAGTTGATTCTATCTTGCAGAAAGTACACAATGGCTGACCGTGCTCCTTCATCCAAATGCAGGAACTGGAAAATCTTTCATCGGTTCCATCGCCGCGAAAATACTCCTCGGGGATCCTTCGACGCGGCTTCTCGTTCTCAGTTATACGAACCATGCGACTGACCAGTTCATCGAAGACCTCCTGGATAAAGGGGTGTCCCCGAGCGACGTGACGCGGCTGGGTTCCAAGTTATCGGAAGTGATCGCTCCATTCTCCTTTGACCGCCAGTTTCGACAGTCCCCGCACAACTCCAACCAACTGGGTAGACAGTCTCGCAGTCGTCTGTTTTCTCGCAAAGATGACATGCGCGACCTCCGTGACCAGATCAACAAGGCCTTTGACAGACTTGTCCGGCACAACGTCACAGCAACCGATATGCTCGAATTCCTGGAATTTTCAGACGAGTGGCAGATTTTTTACAGCGCGTTCCAGGTCCCTGAAGCGGAAAGCGGGTTTACCATGGCTGGCCAGGGAGGTAAACAGCTGAACTCTGCTCACCTCTACGACCAGTGGAAGAAAGGACAGACGCCTGCTAAGCTCGTGAAACTCATGCCGACGGCTTGCCAGAGTGCGTGGAGTATCCCACGTAAGGTAAGACTCGAACACGTCCACTCCTGGACCCAAGCCCTTCGAAAAGAGCAGGCTGAGTTCTTCAGCCGCCTGCTGGACCAGCTCAACGAGGCGCAGAAGGAAGTCGACACCCTTCTCGACGAGGGAAGGCGCTCGTTTATCGAGTCAAAGCGCGTTATAGCATGCACGACCACAGGTGCTGCCATGTACTCTTCCCTCCTCGAAGCTGCGAAACCCAACGTCGTGCTGGTGGAGGAAGCAGGCGAGATCCTCGAGGCCCATGTCCTCTCCGCGCTACAGGCGAACACCAAGCAGCTCGTCCTCATAGGCGATCACAAACAGCTGCGCCCGAAAATCAACAATTACTCCCTCAGTGTCGAGTATGGCGAGGGCTACGACCTCAACATGTCGCTGTTCGAGCGGCTCATCCTCCAGGGCCACCCCCATACCACCCTGCGGATGCAACACCGCATGGCCCCTGAGATCTCCCAGCTCGTTCGAGAGATGACCTATCCCGACCTCGTAGACGGCGACAGGACTTTCGACCGGCCGTCCATCCGCGGCCTTCAGACCAGGGTGGCGTTTGTGAACCACGACAAGCCTGAAGTCGATGCCGCCGCCCTACGTGATCGGCGCGATGCGAGCGTCAAGGCCAGCAAGCAGAATGACTTTGAAGCACGCCTTGTGCTCAAGCTGGTCAGGTACCTGGGTCAGCAGGGGTACAAGACCGATGATATCGTCGTTCTCACCCCTTACCTTGGGCAGCTGCGCATGCTCAAGGATATTTTGAGCCAGGAGAATGACCCGGTGTTGAACGACCTGGACTCGGCCGAGCTTATTCGAGCGGGTTTGAGCACGGCTGCAGCTGGGAAAGCCAGTAACGGGAAGATCAAGCTCTCTACGATTGGTATGTCCCGTCTCCCATTTGGAATCCATTTTCCGCCCGTCCGTTGTTTACTGACATGAGTTTGGCAGACAACTACCAGGGAGAAGAGAGTGATATCGTTATTGCCTCGTTGACACGGAGCAACAACACCGGGGATATCGGATTCATGAAAGCCCCCGAACGACTCAACGTTCTCGTCTCGCGCGCAAGAAATTGTCTCATCATGATCGGGAACATGGAAACATTCATGGCGTCCAACCACGGAAAGCAAGTATGGGTTCCCTTCTTCAATCTTCTCCGCGAGAAAGGCTTCCTACACGACGGGATCCCGGTTTACTGCGAGAGACATCCCGAGAGAAAGGCCATCTTGTCGACCCCGGAAGACTTTGAATTTCATTGTCCCGACGGCGGCTGTGCAGAACCATGCGGCGCAGCGCTCAACTGCGACATACACGTCTGCACGCGCCGGTGCCATCGGATTTCGGATCACAGCAACATCCCCTGCGACCAGTTGGTGGAAAAGACGTGCGAAAAGAAGCACCAGTCCAAGATCCCCTGTAAGAACAGGAACAGCGGATGCAAGCAGTGCCACAAGGAAGCCGAGGACATGAAGAGACGGCTCGAGAGGGACCTCGAACTTGAGAAAAAGAGCCTTGTTCGCCGAACGGAGTACCAAAGGGAGCTTCAGATGATGGACGACGAGATTGCGCACGAGCGCCGACTGATAAAGGATCAGCAAGAGTCCGAAGAGCAACGGCGGATCTTACAGCAGCACCATGCCGACCTTGCGGAACTAAAGAAAGCTCGAGAGGCTCGGGAAACCATGTTGAAGAAGCAAAAGGCTGCCGAGCTTCGCGATCTCGCGAACAAGCAAACCACAGGCATGCGAAGATCGTCCCCAGGCTCAGACAAGGAATCCGAGACGCCCTCCGGCCCGAACATCATTCCGGGAAGTGCCCAAGACGAATGGGAGCAGATGAAGAGGCTCCAGGGCGAGAAAAGCGATGCTTTGGACACGTTGATGGGCATGATAGGCCTGGAAGAGTTGAAACAAGAGTTCTTGTCGATAAAGAACAGGGTAGACACGGCTCTGAGGCAAGGCGTCTCACTCAAGTCGGAGAGATTGGGATGCAGCCTCCTTGGGAACCCTGGAACCGGTACGTCTAGGTCGCGGGAAGTCTTGATGATCCCACATGCATCGTTTGATTACTGAACAGGCTGACAAAAACACTCCCCTTCAGGCAAGACGACGGTCGCGAGACTCTACGCCAAGTTCCTCACCTCCATGGGTCTCCTGCCGGGCAGCTTCTTCAAGGAAACGACAGGATCGAAGCTTGCGAATATGGGAGTATCAGGTTGTCAGGCGATGCTCGACGAAGTCCTAGACCAGGGAGGCGGCGTGATCTTTATTGACGAGGCCTACCAGCTGTCCTCTGGAAACAACCCCGGAGGCCGAGGGGTTCTCGACTTCCTCCTTGCCGAGGTAGAGAACCTCACAGGCAAAGTCGTCTTTGTTCTGGCGGGCTACGCGAAGCAAATGGAGTCGTTTTTTGCTCACAACCCGGGACTCCCCAGTCGGTTTCCCAACGAAATGAAATTTACCGACTATACCGATGACGAGCTAGTACAGATCCTCGAGCGTCAGGTCAAAAAGAGGTTCGGCGGTCGTATGAAGGCCGAAGACGGGCTCCGAGGTCGCTATTGTCGGGTTGCCTGCCGGAGACTGGGACGTGGCCGCGGGAAGGACGGTTTTGGAAATGCCAGGGCCGTCGAGAACCTGTTCTCCAGAATCTGTGCTCGGCAGGCCGGCCGTCTGAGGCGGCAAAGGACTGAGGGGAAGCAGCCAGACGATCTCCTGCTCACTAAGGAGGACCTGATCGGACCAGAACCATCGAATGCGCTGCTCAAGTCGGAAGCCTGGACCAAGTTACAGGAACTCATTGGCCTCGATTCAGTCAAGGAGGGCGTGAAGGTCCTGGTGGACACCATGCAGGCCAACTACCACCGGGAGCTCAAGGAACAACCCATTGTCGAATACGCCCTGAACCGAGTCTTCCTGGGCAACCCGGGGACTGGCAAAACGACGGTGGCCAAGCTCTACGGCCAGGTTCTGGTCGATCTTGGCATGCTGTCCAACGGCGAGGTGGTCATCAAAAACCCAGCCGACTTTGTTGGGGCCGCTTTGGGGCAGTCCGAGCAACAGACGAAGGGCATCCTCGCGGCCACTGCAGGCAAGGTACTGGTCATCGATGAGGCTTACGGCTTATACGGCGGCGGCGGCACGTCTGATCCGTACAAGACGGCCGTTGTCGACACTATTGTCGCCGAGGTCCAGAGCACTCCCGGAGATGACCGTTGCGTCCTCCTCCTCGGATACAAAGCACAAATGGAGGAGATGTTCCAAAACGTGAACCCGGGTCTCAGCAGACGGTTCCCATTAGCGTCCGCCTTTGCCTTTGAGGATTTCGACGACGCAGAGCTGCGAAAGATCCTGGACCTGAAGCTGAAGCAGCAAGGGTTCACAGCCACTGGCCAAGCCAAGAAGGTCGTGTTGGAGATGCTGGACAGGGCGCGGAATCGTCCTCACTTTGGAAACGCGGGTGAGGTTGACATCTTGCTCAATGAGGCCAAGAGCCGTCACCAAAAGCGCCTTTCGACACACCAGACGACCCGTCACAACACCCTGGATGCCGTCGACTTTGACGAGAATTTCGATCGTGTTGAGCGGTCTGATACGAACGTCTCCAAGCTCTTCGAGGGTACTGTGGGCTGCGAGAAGATTATTGCCACTCTCCAGGGTTACCAGCAAGTCGTACGAACGGTGAGAGAGCTGGAGATGGACCCCAAGGAAACCATTCCCTTTAACTTCCTATTCAGAGGGCCCCCTGGGACGGGAAAGACCAGCACGGCGCGGAGGATGGGCAAGGTCTTTTACGACATGGGGTTCCTTGCCAGTGCCGAGGTCATCGACTGCTCTGCTACCGACCTGATTGGGCAGTACGTTGGGCAGACCGGGCCCAAGGTGCAGCAGCTTCTGGACAAGGCACTTGGACGCGTCCTGCTTATCGACGAGGCGTACCGGTTATGTGAAGGCCACTATGCCAAGGAGGCCCTTGACGAGATTGTCGACGCCGTCACCAAGGAGAAGTATTATAAGAAGCTGATCATCATCCTCGCCGGATACGAGGAACACATCAACCGACTACTGAATGTCAACCCGGGTATGACGAGCCGGTTCCCCGAGACCATCGACTTCCACAGCCTGAGCCCCGAGGCTTGCTTCGACCTCCTCACCAAGCTCCTACAGAAGAAGAAGAAGGTGCTCGGCGAGAGGAAAAAATCATTGGATCTATTGTGCCTTGAACAAGCTTCCCCCGGATTCAAAGAACAGGTGACGGCCATCTTCGTCTCGCTCTCGTCGGAACCCAACTGGGCTAGCGCCCGGGATGTCGAGACTCTGGTCAAGAACGTGTTCACGATCGGCCTCCGCTCCAAGGCTCAGAATACCCCCGCCATTGTCATCACCGAGGACGCGATTCTTGGTGAGATGAAGAAGATGCTGGGGGAGAGGGAAAGCCGTGGCAGACAGGCACAGGCTCCGTCAATGGGTCAGCTGATGGAGAAGTTACAGCTGGAAATGGCCCCGGATCAGAGGCAGCCGGTGAACCTTGCCCCCGCGGTGGCCACTAATACCACCTGCACCACTCACCAGGAGGAAGAAGTCGTGCAGGAAGATACCGCCTTCTCTTATGCACCATGCCCCGAGACACCTTCCACAACCACCAGCTCGACCAAGCTGGGTGTTCGGGATCACGGCGTGAGCGACGAGGTGTGGGAGCAGCTGCAGCTGGATGCGCAAGCGGAGGAAGAGAGGGAGAAGCAGTACCAAACTCTTTTAGAGAAGAGGAAACAGGTGAAGGACGATGACGGGATGAAGGAGCGCATCCTGAAGCAGCTGATCGAGGAGGAAGACCGGAGGAAGCGCGAGGCGGAAGCGAAGGCGAGGTTGGAGATGATGGGGTGTTGTCCGGCGGGGTTTCATTGGATCAAGCAAAGCACTGGATATCGCTGTGCTGGTGGTTCGCATTTTATTTCCGACGAGGATGTGGCCAACTTTGTTGTAGGGGGACCACCCGCGGGAGAGGTTTAACGATCAATAGTTGTGTGGATGGCGTTTTTCTTTTCTGTTTGCAGGTTTTCGGTTAGGAAGCTGGAGCATATGGACCATTTCAGAATTCTTTTGCCAAACTGAAGGCTTTGCTTGTGTGCTGAAGTAAAATAATGTTCTTGTCGTACGTTGTTGTTCAGCAACATGAACTCATTAGTAGTACTCCGAATAGGGGCTCGGTGAGAGATCTCGGTGGAGCCAACGCGTTCGGTGTCTGTCGGTGACCCCTAATTTCACACGCGCCTGGATTTTAGTGTGGAAAAACCCCACGAATGAAAAACCCTCCCTCTTATCACTTTTCAGAACGATCACTTCAACAATGTGCCACTCCGAACACTCCGAACACCAGGGGCAGAGAAGACCAAAGCGCGACTTGGTAACCGACTCAGTAACGGTGGTCATCACCACGTCGCCCACCCCCAGCGCGCCATCAACCGATTTGCTCTCAGCCGTGATCGTCTCCTTCGCAAAATATTGCCCCTCTCTGCTGGCCTGCCCCGTAATCGTCGTCTTCGACACTTTTGACCGCGTGTGCGAAATACCCCGTCTTAAGAAGGGACAGGTCACGCCCGAAGGGGCTCGGGCGTACGAGTCGTACAGGGGAAATGTGCAAGAACTCGTCCTCCGCACATGGCGTCTGGGAGGGCGCGGCCGGCACTCTGATCGTTACATATTAAATAAAGACGAGGACGACGACAACGACGACAACGACGACGAGGATGACGGGGTCAACAAAGGGGTAGGGAAATGGTCATGGACAACCCGCCAAGTCGACGCCGAGTTCGGCTCACCCGGTGAACAGAAGGAGGGTAAGAACGCCGTACGAATGACAATCCGACGAGCCACTGGCCGAGGGGACGTGGCCTTCATCGAACCCCACGCGAGGCTGGGTTTCGCACTTGCAGTGCGTTCCGCCTTGCGTGAAGCTCGGACGCCGTACGTGTGGGTGCATCAGCACGACTGGACCCTCGAGCAGGCTGTCCCGCTCTCGGCCATGGTCGGGGTGATGCAGCGGTGCAACCCGCCTCTCCCCGACAAAGACGACGACGAAGAAGAGGACGAGGATGGCTACGAACCGCCTCCCGTGCGGTATATCGCGCTCTTGTCGTCCCGCATGCTGCGCTATGCGGACTCGGGCCACGTGCAGATGTTCCCTGCTCTTCGCGCCCTGACGACTTCGCTGCGGCGGAAGTTCCGAGTCGACGGGGAGCACGACACTGTTGAGGATGGCGATGGTGAGGTGGCAGCGACGGCGATGAGAGGACTACCTCTCACGCCGCTCTTCTTCTGGCATGATAAACCTCATCTTGCGGACCGGAGGCACTATCTTGCGCGCGTCTTCTCGAGCCGGTTGGCGGTTGGGAGGGGCATGTTCATTGAGGACTCGGTCGGCCATCGGGCGAGGGACCAGATGAAGGAGGGACGATGGGCGAGGTGGGGCTCTTGGCTGTACTATCCTTTCGACGGGGAGAAGGTCTGCGTTAAGCACTTGCATGGGCGGTCGTGGAAGGGGGAAGAGAAGATGAGGGTCGATATTGGGCGGTGGAAGAGCGAAGGGAGGAAGATGAGGATCAGGCCGCGGGGCAATCAAGAGAGAACTGGACCAGGGGAAGAAGAAGATGGCGATATTGGGGTTAGGTTCTTGAGGCTCGTTGAAGATTTAGACGACCAAAACCCGCATGGTGGTATGGGTTGTTCTGCTGGTGCGCACGCATGAGTCAAACTCTTGACTGAGGCTGTTAGGGCGACGCTTTGCAGAGAGCCTCGATTATACTATAATATTTTTGGCTAGGGAAGGGCACGTTGATGTGCTGCATTCCTCTGAAAAGAAAGAGGAGTTGTCGGAGACATAGCGAGGACGACCTAAATGATGACAACATGGCATTTTACTCGCAACAGGAGATCAGTTACCAAACAAAACATACGTGTATATAGTATTTCGAACAAAATCTCTTGTCAGTAGTACCTTCACATTCGCCGTACACATGCGCCAGATAGAGAGAAAATCCAGAACCATGGGGCTATACCTATGTTACATGCTGAACATATATAGAAAGAAACCAACAAGCGTCGTTTAATCACTTCCTGTGGACTATCGATCGATAATCGTCAAAATAAGCGTGTTCCGCAAACGACTGACCTCGACTAGTCAGCTTGAAGGTTGTCATAATACGGCGCCGTGTAAGTCGAGCCGGGGGTCCACCGTGTGGGAAACATCTGCGCCGTCCAGAAAGAGGGGTTCTCATAGTCGTCCAAAGCAAGGAGACCTATATGGCAAATGCCCATCAGAAAGTGTCCAAAAGTGATTCATCCTCCGGTTGCACTCGTACCATTTTCCCGTAGATTCGTCATGAAACTCGACGTCTCAGTATAGAGTGCCGTTTGTTCTGGCGTAAGAGGCAGGTTCCGGACGGTGTGAGCCCCGAGAACCTCGTCTTGACCTTTGTAGTAGTGCCAATGGCAGAGCATGACGAGGGCGCTGCGTTGTACTTCCTCTACAAACTGGACCAGATGATAGCGCATAGAAATCTTTTGCGGCGATGACGTACTCTGCGCATACAACTTGACGAACATAAGTCAAGTATCAAAAAGGAGGCTGATGGGGTTGACGCGGTCAAGTTAACCTACATTGGCCTGCCGACGTCGGTCGTCCTGGCACATCTGGGAGACCAGATTGAGCAATATGAAGATGCTGATGTAAACGGTGAAGAAACAGGTCCTGTTTGCCGAATGCACGAGCTTTTCAAGGTCTTTCAGAACGGCCGCGCGGAGGGGCTTGAGAATCTCGAGGGGGTAGAGAAAGTCGAACTGAGCAACTACCATGCGCGGAGTCGGGACGGTGTTAGGACGAGGATAAGATAGATCGGTTTCGGGCTCCATGTCGAGAGTCTCTGGACCGTGTAGCCAAGAGGAGCCGAGTGTGAGTTCTAGATCATCGAAAGTCAGTTCCCATCTGTTTAGCCATTGCCGCAAGATGGAAGAGGAGGGGTGATTGGACCTACGAGTAGCAAACCAGAGACGGAATACGGTGTCGAGAAGTTGCCTTTGATCAGCTGGAAGGTCCTGTCGTAAAAGTCAATGTCTGTTCTATCAGGGGATTGCACGCCAGAGACAGCGCTCTGGCGTGCAAGAAAGGTCGGATTGCGTAGTGCTGCACGTACAGGAGACTGGTGATGCAGCACAGCAGCTTGGTAGTTCTTGGCAATCAGGGGATCCAGGTTGTCATTGCTACCGGTGCAGTATTTCTGAAAGGCATCTCTGGCGCATCTCGTGACGTAGGTCCGGAAGTACCTGACGGTCCGCCGAATGTCGGCCAAAGCATACGGCGCGACGGGCTTGACTTTCTTGAGGGACCCATCAAGCCACTCCCGATCGAGTCTGTCGCCCTGGCGAGGAACAAACTTGCGCACTTCCAATTTGAAGGGTTCGGGACACATCGGTTGCATGATTTGAATAGTCCGAACTGTGGGAGCATCCCAATCGCCGAGGTCGGTGATGCGGCCGTTCTGCCACCGACGGGTAAGACCAAGAGAGCCAGCAGGGCGATGCAGGATGACATCGGTCACTTTGTACCTCATGCAGAATATTGGGCGGATGGTCTTGCGGGAGGCGCGGTCGACTCGAGTGCAGGTGAGGCAGTCGCCTCGGGGATTTTCTGGATTGGCAACACACTGTGTCCTTTGTTAGCATAGGTTATCGTCGCAGGGTAACGTAACCAAAAGCTACTCAGATAGCATGAGGCAAAGCGGGGGAAATGTCATGAACGAACCCGAACGCGCTGGATGCGACAACGCATGCATGCCTTCATACGGCGAGTCTCGGCAGTCTCTTGGCGTTCTTTGTCGGAAAAGCAGCCTCTGGTGATACGCTGACGATATGCGTCGGCGGGTTCTGACGTCGGCAGCCCGGACGGGGTAGTTTCGGTCGGAGCAGGCTGTGGGTCGAGGGTGAGACGGAGATGGATGGAATCTAGATCGACCCAGGACTCGTGTTCCGGCAGATTCGGCGCCGTGGTGCGGGTAATATCGGCAGATAGCTGCGGAGCGAGAGCGACCGACGTACCGGCCAGCTTCTGGCTGTCATGTGGGCCCGGAGGCATCGGTACCGTTGCTGTTGCCGTTGCCGTTGGTGTGTTATTAAGCCTCGGTTTGTGGGTGACTTGGGTTTGGGTTGTCTCTGGCTGTATCGAAGGCGCATCGAGTGTCCTCTGCGATCCGGTGCGAGGAGATGCATGGTGCGAGAATAATTCAGCTTGCGTCCCGACTACAGGAGGCCCACTGCCAATATCGTCGGCACTATCCTGCTGTCGCCGTAGGGTCATGTTTTCCAAGTCCGTATATGAACCAACGTATTGAAGACGGGGAGTACAACCGTCCTGGGAGGAGAAAGTAGGGAGGGGAGAGAAGAGATAGGAGGAATGAGGTGGGTAGACGGAGGGGGAAGGAGGGTGATGATAGGAAGAGGGTGGCCCTTGTTCTTCATGCGGCCAGAGTTGCAGTGACTGCGGGAAATAGGGCTCGGAGACGGCCAAGGTAGGACCTGAGAGCGGTGTGGTCGATGCCCAGACTGGCGTTTCGCTGTTGTGATCGTGGTGGCTTGGGTTGAGGCTGGCGGCGGCGGCGGCGGCGGCGGTGGCGGCAGCGGGATATGGGTAACACGAGTCTGTCGCATCAGAAGAGGACGGGCGAGGAGGTGCATGAAGGGCGACGGCTGGAGAGACAGGAGTCTGGGTCGAAGAAAGACGGTTGAGTGGCGGTGCAGAATGATCCGGTGGTGTGACAGATACGGGGATCGGCATCGAGCCAGAGACGTGAATTGGCCATTGACCGGGGAGGACTGGGGCGGTAGGATGCGAATGATAGGAGGACTGATGGGAGGGGTGATGCGAGGAATAATGCGAGGAATGATGAGAGGAGTGATGATGAGAGGACTGATAGGAAGGGTGATTACTACCACCACCGACTAACGATACCGGGGGATTGGGTCTCGTGACGGAGATTTCCCCAGGAGAACCGGAAGAAGAGGTGGTGCCGGTCCCAAGGCGATGGAGCATTGGTGCTGGATATTGCAGGGGTACCGGTAACAGGGCGTGAGGTTGAGTTTCGTACTCATGGTAACCAGAATGGTGGTACTGGTACCCAGGATGATACTCGGGGTGATGTTGATGTTCAGGATAATGTTGGGGATGATGCTCGGAATGATACTGAGCACCGGGAAGGTGACGGGGACTGGTATATTGGGCATGCTGACTCTGACTTTGCTGAGAGTGATTTGCCGTTTGTTGCGCATGCTGGGTATTTGCGTCAGGAACGATGGGGGAGATGGAAGGACATGTGGTGGTGGTGACGGTGGTGTGACCTGCTCCTTCTCCCACCTCGGACCTCTTTCCCTGTCCTCCGCTGATAGCTGCTGCCATGACTGTCGGACTCCCTTTCCATTGCTGAGCCTGAGGTTCAGACTGTTCAGTACCTTTAGTTGTCACGGTCGTTCCTGCCCGTTCATCAGTTGTAATTGCAGCAGCCGCAGTAGTTGAAGGTTGTCCGACTTGACCCCTACCAGTGCTCCCATGAGTCCTATTCGTGCTGCCCGTAGCGGTATTGCCTGCCTCTTCTTCGCCAGAGTTGTGCAGGCATGACTGACTCGGGAAACCAGATACATTCGTCCGAGACGGAATCACAAGGTCAGGCGATTGAATAGTTTCGGTGTGGATACCCAAAACGGAGCCTGGGATGTTGGTGGAGAGTGGACAATGATTGTTGTCCCACAAGACCGGAGACCGGTGAGCAGGGAAGACACCGCGCTGTTCCAACTGCGACTGTGTTTGCGACGGTGATTGCGGCTGTAACTGCGACCCCGAATTCGAATGCGAATACAAATGCCAGGCGGACTGTAACTGCCATTCCATACCGACAGCCATGCTCGTGGGTGGTAGTACCTGGCCAATTCGTGCACGACCAGATTGACATTGACGGTTGGAAGTTGGCGGGGCCGCTATCGGCGCACTAGGGGAAAGTGCGACCTCACTCTCTCCAAAATTCACCGTTTCAGCTTGCGACGTTTGTGACAACAGTGGCACAGTCTCCGTTCGCGTACGTGTTAACGTCGATGCAGCGGTCCAGTCATGCGGCTCATGCCCATGCCACGAACTTCGTAGCTCATTGTCCGGTTTTCCCCTTCCATCGTCTTGATGGTAATCGGCCTTGGGTGCTCCTTGATGGTACGAGGCATTTCCTAGCGTCCAAGTCGTTCCTGAAGGGGAATGGCGGGGGGAGTCCGGTGTTGGTTCGTCGCCGGGACGAGCCGATCCTAATGCCGTCGAAGCCGTCGAAGAAAAGCGTCGCTCGACAATTGCCAGCGTTTCCGGTCCTGTCTTCAGTCGGTGAAATGGACGGCTTCCATCGACGAGCGAATACCGTCTCCGTATGCTTTCGTGCGGCGGTCCGTTTTTCGACGTCCTTCTCCGTTTCCCCCCGGTGGCTTTTCCCTTTGCGTCGTCCGTTTCCTGCATACTTACCAACCGGCTGCTGATCGAGTCCCGTCTCTCCCACTGGGCAGTCTCTGTCGATCCATCGACGTTCGAGGTGCCGGGAAGTTGTGTCGCCTTGTCGTCTGTGCTGGATTCTTGCATTTGCTTTTGCCTTTGCCCATACATTGACGCGGTCTGCCCAATTTGTGTGGGTTGTCTGGCTCGGGCTCGACCGTCCGTGCGTGCTGTGGTCGACCACCGTGACCACCCCTGCCGTGGGCACAGCTCCGCCACCCCACCTACCACGCCGCCGCCACTGCAGCCTCCTAACTCACCGGTTGAAATATGTGGGCCAGGATCCTCCTCCACCGAGGCTACAGCAAATCCGGGGCCTCTGCTCCCAACGACCAAGCGTGGCGGGTGCTGAGGTCGCTTCCGCAGCTCGTCTTCTTCCTTGGCCAGCCCCGCCCCCTCAAACCATGTCGCCGTCGAAACCGGTGCAATTACTGCTCCTCGTTTGCGTCTTCGACCCTAGGGTGAGAAAATGCCCGTCAGTCGTCAACCTGATGCCAGAAAGAAAGCAGAAAGTGGGCGGGGGTGAGGATTTTAGGTATCTCGGACTCCTGAGTCCAGAAAGTCCGAGAACACCGGCCGCCGGCGCCGAGGCCGGGACAAAATCCAACACGGATCCCGTTGCAGAATATCAAGGTTATTTTCGCGGTGTTTGTTGACCGGATGGATGCCTTACTCACCGTTCTCGAGGAAGATAATCCCACCGCTGCCGTTGTTGCATCTTTCACTGCTGCGGCCGTTGCCGCCATGGCCACCACTCCGGACGAATCCATCAAGCCCATGAACGCCGGGGCGCTGCCGCCGTAACCCAAGGGTGACCTCCCAGCTGCAGTTGAAGAGGCCGAGAAGGTCGTAATTTCCATCGGTGTGTGGTACAAATCCGCCGTTGGATCTCACTCGCGACGAAGTATCATCAGAGCAGTAATTGGACGCCCTGCTAGTCGCGACGCCTGCACTCGAGAAATTGAAACGCGTCGGGACGCGTATAGAATCCGTCGAGCCAACTTTCCCGGCTTGGGACCGACTGAGGAGACGCTAAAGAGGCGATGGTGGATATAGTGAATACCAGGTGACGACAACACGAAGGCGATCGATCCAACATGAACTATTTGCCTCAACTCGAGCTCAAAGAAAGGGGGGAAAGGGGGTAGGAGGGCCGAGGGAGAAAACACGCCAATTGTCCACCCTTTCACCAATCTGTGCGTGCTCAACTAAGGTACCTGCCTTATTATTATGGTACTTTGAGTACTCTGTACATATTTGTACAGCAGACGCGTGACCTGAGGTACGTACGAGCACCCCTCGTCGCCCCCCCCCCCCCCCCCCCCCCCCCCCCCCCCAAGGCTCTCGACTTCCACCCCTTTCTTATCTTTTCCTTTCTTTTCTGTTCTTTCTTTCCCCCCCCTTTTTCACAGTTTTCGTCGATGTGATCATCTCTTATCGCCCCACGCCGCAAAAACTACCATGATATGGGCGGGAAAAAGGAATGGCGACAAAACAAGCTCCAAACACCGTACCTATCAGGACGTCGTTGGCTTGACGGGCGGAGCAACTGCGGAACGACTCCGGAACCAAGGGCAGAGACGGGAGATGGAGACGGAGACGGAGACGGAGACGATGGGCATGTTTGTCATCAGCAAGCAAAAATGATCACACCAGGAATCGATGACCTTGCAATATTTCCACAATCACATCACACCATTGGACAGCGAGGCCAGGCGAATCAGCACATTGCGAGCCATTTCTATCCATTGCCATCTCGTTCTTCGTGTGGTAAAGATACGTCAGCCCCTGCTTAACCCTTGCCCCGTCACGCTCGATTTCGTTTATCACTTCCTCTTCGTTTCCGAACAGGGGTAGACTCGAGAACCAGATAAGTTCGCCAAGGGTCCCTCCGTCGTATCTCTTCTCCCCTCAATCTGGATCTGGATCAAGTTGGCCGGAATGTGCTTCCGGTCACAGCCTGTCCCGCCTCCTGCGGCATATGATCATAGGGCTGGCCAACTACCTGAGCCAAAAGTGCCGTTTACCCTTCACCTTTCTGGCCAGTAGGTAATTACGAATCATCCCCCAACAAACGTCCTGACCCCTCGTTCTAGGAAAGGCTTGATACTCCACTATCTCGGACATATCCTCATGCACCGGGGCTAGCTTGCCGAAGAGACCAAGGGAAATGCGAGGTGGTGTGTGGAGATATGTGATCAAACGTTGTTCATAATTCATCAGATCCCGTTTGTCGGGTAACGGATTGCTAATATTTCGCGCGTCTTTTTCGGAAGCCAGCCACGAAACACGAAAACAACAATCGACTGGCTCGTGCAGCGTGTGCGTGCCCATGCGCTGGGCCAATAATCCCACTTGCTGCATTGCTTCTTGCCAAATGAACTGTTTGTTTTCTGCTGCTACTGCCACTTTCTCAAGATGAAGCCCTACCTCTCTGCTACCATCCTCTCATCTTGCTTCGTCTCCTACCATCTCATGCTGTCTTACTGTTGCAGCGCCATGTGTCTAAGAGCTGGAAAACTAGACACTGACCAGCCACGGGGTCCCCCGTGGCAGTATGTATGCGTTCCTTGCTACACAAAATGGCGCTCGGCAAGCCATAGCACGCCGACTCAGAAGATCTTGACTTCATTCTTGTTCCACTTATACCGACTCGAACGCTCGGAGGCGTGTGTCTAGCTGAACTGTCGTCACAATTGGGCCAGATGCCCACCACCATCGCCTGTCGGGCACTTCACCGGTTTCGCTCTATTACGATAGCTCTCCACCGGAACGACCCACGGTAATATATCCGCCGTCCTGTCACGGTGCTGACCTACTGACGCGGTGTTAACCTCAGGTATTGGCTTTATCATCTTTTCTCCCTCGTGTCTGGCGCTACACTTTCTCGACAGTCAATGCGTCCTTCTCCATCCGGTCTCTATTTGTGCGCCGTGTTCTCTAAGGAGAGGCAAGGTTCCCTGAGTGACTGGGTCTAGCCAGTTCTCTCGTCAACTTGCCTTTGTCAGATCAAACCACAACGTCTCTCATACACGTTCTACACTATGGCGTCTTCGAGCACCGCTGGAAATTTTGACACGAGCACCGATCGATCTCAATCCCAGCATGGCATTTTAGTTCGTGAGAGTTGTACGGAAGATACAACCACCGACACCCAACTTGATCGTCTGACGGGGCCTCTGACTTGGACGGCGGACAATTTCTCGGATCCCTCGAGCTACACGGTAGAGCTAGATGCAGATGAGCTCGCTGATATTTCCAATGGGCTGGAGACGTTTCTTCGTAAGTTTTCCTGGGAGACAGCACGCAAAATATCAACCTGCTTACACATGCCGTAGAATCAGGTCTTGACCCAAACGACATCGAACCCTCCACCTTTCCCCTCTCCAGAGCACAAGAGAAACTCCATCGCTGCGCCCAGATCTTGCATAACGAACATGGTTTCTGCGTTCTCCGCGGCTTGGATTCAAAACACTCTGTGGAGCATGGACTGCTTGTCTTCTTGGGCTTGGCTTCCTACATCGGGGACAAGAGGGGAGTTCAGAACAAACAAGGGCACATGTTATCGCACATTACCGATCTGAGACCACAAAATACACGAGAGAATTCGCGGCACGGGATACACACGAACTCCCCTCTACCGTTTCATACAGACATGGGAACAGATGTCCTTGCGTTACAGGTACGTGGGCTCGCAGCGCAAGGGGGGCATACTTTTGTGACTTCAGCATGGTCCATCTACAACGATCTGCTCTCGGAACCGAACCACCTACAAATGCTGTTGGAACCAACCTGGCCGATTCAGATATCCAAGAGACAAGCTCGTACTACATGCCTGGTGCGGTCGCTCTTGAATCCGGACTGGCCTCCACCCTCGTGCCGCTATATTCTCGCCCCTCTTTTCCAACTCTCAAGAGGTCGGTTGATGGTCAGTGTTGACCCCGCGCGGCTGGGACCTCAAAAGGCGGGGACCGAAGATGCACCGCCTCTCACTTCCGCTCAGCTCGCTGCGTTAGAAGCCCTTCAACGATCTGCAGCGAACCATCAAGTTTGCGTCCATACAGCTCCTGGTGATATTCTCTTTATCAACAACTGGGCTCTTCTTCATCGCCGGGACTCGTACTTGGACGGTCCGGGACAAACACGTCATCTCGTCCGACTCTGGCTGCGCAACTCAGAGCTCGGCTGGCCTATTCCTGACACAATGGCTATCCCTTGGATGTCGGCGTACGGGAACGACGTGTCAGATATCTTTTACCCGGTGGAACCCCTGGACATATATCCTGAACCCAAATACTCGGTGGGGTCCGCTGCTTTTGTGCTCGACGACACGGATGAGGAGCAAGATGAACAAGACAGCACGTCAAGATGAGGAAGGCTTGACGGCTATACAGCTTTTCTTCATATCCAACTTCACCTCATTTCAATGAAGCAACTGGCATCGGACGGTGGTTTGGCCTTAACCCTGGCGAAAAGAATGTACCTCTCAATAACTCCAGTTTCTCTTTTCTTTGCTTCTTCTCCTTCTTTCCCTTTTGTTAACTTTACTCTTCAGTACTTTATTTCACGACCCAAAAGTTCTCTTCCCAAAGCACACACAGGCCGCCCAAATTTATGGAGATGATACCGCGACAAGAGAATGGACATGGTTTAAACACAAGGATACCAGACTTGATATCAGTCATCACGAGCCTCCAGCAGCAGCTTTGGTCATTGCTCGGCTAAAGGGAAGGTAGGGGACCCGCACGGTTTAGGAAATCTTTGCGAATGAAACAAGATTGTGTGTCGAGTCCTCACAGACAGATTTTGGGTGCCATTGGGGAGAGGTCTAGCAGACGGGCTAATGTCTGGAAGACGCCGCCCACTTGATTGCATGCGGAGCTCAGTCGTGGCACGCCAGTCGTCATGACAGAAACCAGGCGCCCAACAACAGGATGCGTTCTGAGCCTAAGCTCGGGCATACAGGACCTCGGGCATACAGGACCTCGGGCATACAGGACCTCGGGCATACAGGACCTCGGGCATCCATGCGACGCTATTTAGGTGGGATCGTCCACTGTACTGGGCGCCCTGGCTCCCAAGCACCTGCATTTCGGGAGATAGTGCATTGCGTATCTCTCAAATTCCGTTCTGAACTACTAACCCGGACTGTAGGGGAGACTCTTGACGAGAGCAAGATCTAGGCAAGGTACTTTTGCTTCTAATGTAGTGGTTTAAACCCAGCTTTCTCAAGGCTCTGATATCACCCGCTCGTGAAAGGACTCTCCTGGTTTTACGTGCAGACTCGAATTCACATAAACACAAGCCGTTCGTAACTCGTCGAGGTGCAATCTTTCCCACACAGGCGGGGCTAGCCGGACACTTGCATGAACCCACAGAATCTAGCAAACATTCTTCTCCGCCCGAAGGCTCTTGTTCATTAGTGATATAACCAGACCCGCGACTTGACAGCGCCTAAGAACTCACTTCATTACCATACCCGGCAGAATGCGAATCTGTATACAGTCATAACAAGCCGCCTGCATGTGGTCTATGGTCTGCATCTAAGGATGAACAGAAGAGTTCACGTAACCTTTGGCCATCCAATGGGATATTCCCCTTCACAAAGCAAGCGTCAAGCTTGTCCAGACTCCTCTAGAACACCCTCCAAATCATACCATAGAGAATATCTGCTAGGGGGTCGCCGTCAGAAGATCTTGACCATGAGACCATCCAGACAATTATGTTCGTCGATACCGGCACAGAACTCTGATTAATTCTATTTTCATGACACTCTCATCCACCTTTCACCATATTGACAATGAGGGGGGACGATGGCATCTAGCCCTTCAGGCTTCAAATGTCTTGCAAAGACAGGATAGTCCTTGAGATACCACCTCGGTTCACTACTCCTGTATGATAACCCGTGCCCTTCCCAACCAGGATGAATGAATGACATTCGCTTAAGGCAGAGAGGGGACGGTCTCTCATATGTCATAAATTATCATTGTTAAACCCGGGTTATTGGCGGAGCTTCCCCCTCACTCTGTTTCCCAACAACGACTAGCCACGTCAACCCAACCCGTACAAGACACGGGTCACGACCCGTCCCGCAGCCTAGTGACGCACGCGGAGGTCCTTACTAGCATCCGGTCCCGGCTTGGAAACTAGCAGCTGTCGAACTTGGGGGAAGGGATTGCAGATTGTTTAATGCAGAGGTAGGTAAGTCTAGAGTGTGCACAAAGTCTAGCGAAGAGGGGTCCACGATCGACAGTATTGGCCCCGGGCCAAGGGACAGATCTATTCGGATGTCCGAACTCCGAACGCTAACGATCAAGGTCCCACGACCTTACTTCCGTGTATACCGTCGACTCCTGATAATGAAACTTTAATAACTCAATTATTAGCGTCATTGTTGTTCTTGTCGTGGTATCTCTGCTAACTTATATAGAGGTTTAAGACCGCCGATAAAGGCCCGGACATCGATATAGTAGCTTAGCTTAACCTTTAATTAGGAATTCGATTTTAGGTAAGAATAAAAGTAAGGATAATTATCTATAATACCGATAATAATAATAATAATAATAATAATAATAATAATAATAATAATAATAATAATAATAATAATAATAATAATAATAACAACGATAATAATAACAACGACAACAACAAAACAACAACGACAACAACAAAACAACAACGACAACAACAAAACAACAACAACAACAACAATAATAATAACAATAATAGTAATAAGGTAACCACGGTTCGGCCCTGTTTATATTCGGAGAACGCTTATCTAAGATATTAGGAGCAGATTACGGATCGGGGCGAGCTTCTCTTAATCTCTTTATACTCCTCCAAATACTAAGTCGGTATTTCTCCCATAATAAGATCTTTACGGCCCAGTAACTCGGTTAGTCTATATATGGACTCGAATAAAGGCGCCGCCGATACTGCGTCTTATAGTTGTTTCCGATACTCCTTTATATTAAGGAGGCACTAAAACAGGATTTCTCGCGGGCATATATAAGAGGATAAGGCACCCTGTCCTCCAATTGTGCTGATTCCAAGGAAGCATTATCCACAAAGTCCCCGGACATAGAAACATGAACGAAGAATTCGTTGAGATCGCTGAAAAGCTGAATAGTAAGTTTTCCCGTGAATTCGACGAGTTCCGTAACGTCGGGAACTTGATTTCGCCGGGTTTCTGGAGAAATGCTGATAGGAGGTCTAGACTCCAGACCCCTGTTGAGGTCTCGGATCTAATTCGTGGTTTCCTTACAAAGTTCAGCATAATAAGATACTGTAAGAAGGAAGTCAGAAACGGAGTAGCGAACTCCGCCGTCGCTTGACGAAACCTGATGCTTCTAGCACTCGGACTTCTGAAAAGCTTGAATATCATCTCCGATGACCAGGATAAGTCAGCATATTGTGCACGTTGCCAGGGTGTTCGTCATCCATTTTAACGCCGAGTCGCGTCCCTTATGATTTATCCGTCCTCAAGCCCAAAGTTGGTGTAGTTGCAAGCTCGCATTAATCGGGGTCCGTATCGGGCGCCGGCGCCGTCACCACCGCTGCTATACGTAGCTGCCTGTGGGAAGGTTGGACATCGTCCTCGAATGTGGCTAGCTAAATGGATATTAGACCAGAAATTTTTGAACAGGAGTCTAAACTTTATACCGCGATGTCACCGAATACGCGATGCTTGGCCGACGTGGAGAGGTCTGTGACTGTCATATGTGATTGTGGGCCATGGTTGGTGTGCAGGTCGAGGCGGGCGAAGGTTTAAGCAGGTAACTGAAGGTTGATAATGTGGAGCTAATGAGATTGCTCAATACCGTGAGGCGGGTGAGGATGCTCGGGAATGCAAACTGAATGCACACGAGCAGGTGGCTGTCGGACGTGGAAGACTCAAGAGGAAGACTCAAGAGGAAGAGGATCGCCGCCGGACGTGGTGGCTTTCGTCTCTTGAAGAACTGCTGCCTGCATTGGGCCATTGCGTCCTGGTACTTACAAACAGACAGATTTACTAAGTCCTTTGAGGTAGGTACCTGATCCTGTGGAAGAATCTTTCAAGTACCTAAGGTACCTACCTAAGGTAAGGTATCTTGGGTAAGGCACTTCCGACCTACACTTCCACTCATGATGAGCACGTATTGTCCCTTACCTATATAAACCTGAGCCTTCCACATCTGTTCGAGGGTGGAAATCCAAGTTCTAACCTGCCGAGAAAAGCAACATCACTACGATCGCCGTCGCCTACGTTTTATACACCTGCGGTCTTGCAGCTCGTTTTCGGTAACTCTCTACACCTCAAAGTAAGTCAATCAACGGACCTCAAATTTCTGTCCCTTTTCTTCATGTCGGCATCCGCATCTCAGCAACTAATACAGGTAGCCGAGGCTAGATAAGAGAACGTCACGTTCGCTAAAATGGTATTCAACCCTCTCCTCCCGGACGAGCAGATTATAGCGACCTCGGAGAAGAAAAGAACTTCTACGAGTGGTTTATCAAAAACAAAGATGAATACTGGGCCCGAGCTGAGGAATTTGAAGATGGAATGCCTGCCACAATTAAGTTCGTTAATATGGCATGGCCTGACCCCGAGGTTCAGGACCGATATCGCCAATGGCAATGCGATTGGACTGGACGTGTGGCCGATCGATTGGTGAGAGACATACCACAGTCTGAATTCCTCGACAGAGTCTTGGCAACGAATTTTGGGAGTGCTTCGTCCAGAGCCCAGCATCTTTGGATGATGGAAATGTTGAATACCCCATTCTGTCTTCTCGGCGAGAGCGACTTTGGTAATAGCGGCGTCTTTACCGGATACGCGATGGACCCTGGACCCGCCTATCTCTGGCCGAACCTGGAAAGCCAGCACGACGTCGGCTTAGTTTCTCCGAATATCCTGGGAATTAATCTCGGTGTCAGAGTTGAAGGTGACTTCGTTCTACGCGAGGGCCCCGCCACTACAGTGAGCCCGCGGAAACGACGGAGAGAAGAAGCACGCAGCTCGGGCGAAGACACAGTCCGTAGCGCCGATTCCAGAGATGCCGATCACCCTGGGGGGTTCATTTTTGTCCAGCTCGGCGCTCTCTATGCCTATAACGGCACGAAGCCTTGGGCCGAGGCCCGTACTCTAGGGCGCGACACTACCATCCCGGGTCCCTGGAGAGCGACCGGCTTTGGCGTTGTTCTGGAAATCGATGCTCGAGGACGTCCGGGAGCTGTGTGGGTTATCTACAACTTCCACACTATAGAGGACAACGACTCGGATGAACGGAAACATTGTCATATCCCGACAAGGGCTGAGGGCAGTGTATCGACCTTCCCTTACATTGGACGTCTCACGCCAGCATGCAACGAGACGTTCACAATCGCTAAGATTGCCGAAAGCCTGGCGGAGCTAAAGAACGAGAGCGCAAAGATTGACTTCCGGGTTATGGACACGGTTGAGCGTCAGATTGTTCGTGTCAAGACATATTCGTTGACGCCGGGAATGCCGCTTGTTCGTCAGTTTGCAAAAGAGTAGTAGCTTACTATAGAATAAAGGTGGCATCTCCTTTTCCACGTTATTCTTGCTCCCTTCTGTTAAAGCAAATAGCGCTAACATAGAACTTCCCCGCAGGATACCGTATGGTTCTGTCGAGTCGATCTTGGCACTTTTAAGACCGGTGGAGCGGCTGAGAATCTGATTATCTGAGATCATGGCCTGAGTTTATGCTATCCGATTCTGCTAACCGTAGGGATAAAGCAATGTCCTCAAAGTCCTCAGAGGTTTTGACGGTCTAAAGCAAGTCGTTGAGGTCCAAGTTCAGCAGGTCAATCTGCACTACCCGCATACTCCGCAAGTCCCGCAATTGTCGGGAGTCGGGAATGTCTCTTCACTTGTTGGCTGCTATGGCTGGCGAAACGATGTGGGAATTTGATGATCTCTTACTAGATCTGTAATCCGATGTGTAGTGTTCGTCCACACTTCGATGTAATCAAAGGCCGCGATGAAGAAATCTGGAACAGAATATCGAAATTCCGATTTGCTGGGCGAAACCTAGTGCTCCTAGGACCCGAACTTGTTAAACGCTAACAAGCTACCGAGGCAGCAACTACAACGTACCTTACGATAGCGGTGAGTAATAGGTCGGTTTGGAGCTAATTAGGCCACAAACCTATGTAGTACCTAGGTAGAGGCCCCAGAGTAGGATAAAGAGGCCCGCTAACGGTTCCTTAATAAACGAGTTACTAAGCAGTGTTATTTCTTAGTAAGGTAGGAAGGCGCCTACCTACCTTAACTTACCTTATTCGGCATTAAAGGTACACCTAGAGTACGGATACGGTGTAATCAAGGTACGTACCTCCTCCTCTAACATTCCAATGGCGCGGCGTTCCTTCAAACGGTCACAAGCCGTAATAAGTCACCCAGCCACCAAGCCACAAGCCACGAGGAGCCCTGCCCAGATATACTCCGTGCTGTACAACGTACGTTGTAATCTAAGGTACCTTATTATGCCGAGTAGCGGAAAACGCAAGGGGCCAGCCAGGGTCCCGCGTTTTTAGTCAAACTTATGGACGGCGGATCCTTCTCCTCCTGGTAAGGTCAGATAAGGTAGGCATCACTTCCATTTCTTCATCCTGTCATCTCATCGGCCTCTTTTTCTTCCCTTTGTCTCCGCTTCTCCCTTTCTCTTCCAACAAAAGTCAACTCAAACATAAGCACAAGCACACCACTAATCTGTTTCCATCTTGCTGGGAATATTTTCCGCCTTCTGACGACATTTACACCTCCTGACCTGACGATCGAAAACAACAAAGAACATACGACGACTGATTGCGCTCTTTCACTCTCCACCACCCAATTCGTCTCCCGTCAACTATCCACAACGACCAGATCACGACCGTCATTCAGCCCGATCCCCCCTTTTTCTTCTACGCTCTTCTCTTTCGCCAAGCTACCCGGCGACTCCGCATTCTCACTACAGCCCAGCTTTGGCCATCGATCGACGGCCTGTCTCGGTAGTTATTAGAGTCTAAGAAGTACCATCCCGACCCCGACGCAATGCCTGCCTCTCTGGAATCTGCCCGGCCCATCATGGCCCCTTCTGTGAGATCACATCCTTTCTCTTTCTCCTTTTCCCTTGTATCCTAGTCGCCCGTTGCCCCCACACGACCTGGTCGCTTTTTTCCCAGACATTTTGCGCCAGAGCATTTCTGTCCCTGCGCCCAACGTACTTCCAACCAAAACGCCATCCTACGCCTGTCCCCCGTTTCCTTGCCGTGTGGGCTTCTCAAATCCTTCCATCTTACTGTCCTCTGCTCTATCGTGTGCGGCCTACGACCTTCGGAGAACATATCTTCCTCTTGCAGCGACGTTTGGCTGACCTCTGCCCCTGCTCCCCAGACTCGCACCTCGGTTCGCCTCAGCACCTACAGCATGGCGCCCACCGTCCTCTCCACCGACTCGGCCCAGGCCGAGATCCGCGACATTCAGACCGGCCTCGACCGAATGGAAAACAAGGCCCTCGCCTCCCAGCGCGTCGTCCTCTCCGAGGAGAAAACGGCCAACCTCAACAAGCTCGCCCTCGGCGCCAAGCTCGAGCGCGCCCTCGATCGCCGCCTGAGCAGCCAGGACGCCGTCATGCGGCGGCCCATCCTCAAGGAAAAGCAGGAAGTCATCAGCGAGAAACAGGCGATGTAAACGCACATCCTTTTCCATGGGAAACAAATGCAATCGCGGGCCGGTGGAATTGGCTGATTGATACCCGCCGAGGAGAAATCAGTGGTGGACAAGGCTGGTCAACCAACATGACGAATAAAGGCGAGGGCTGTTTGTATATTGCTGCTAAATCCCATGCTGTGTCGTTTCTAGCGAGGAGGCTATTTGAATGGTTGGCAACGTGGTATCTGTGGCTTGGCTTATCTGCAGCGGCACGAGCGTAACGTTCTTCACTGCGATATTGAGTTTTCTTTTGCATCAGACACCGTCCGAGGTTGACAGTGTGGGGGTTTTTTTCACTTTTTTTTTTCTTCAGTTTCCTCTTTTTCCATTTGTCTCTTGCTGCAGGTTCGGTTTCCCCTTTTCCTTTCCCTCATTTCGGGTTCATGGAAATCATTGGGACAAGACATGTACTGGAGGAACTGAGAGTACCTACATATGGAGCATGGGTTTTGCCCGCACTCTACGCGCAAACTGCTTTTTGCATTTACTCAGGTATTGATCTGCCCATCCCACCGGCTACCTACTTCGTCTCCTTGATGCGTGCCTCCATGACCTCGTCTTCTACCCTTGGACCTCGCTCAGGGAACCATGCTCCGCAGACCTCACTGTCCCTGAACATAGCTGCCTGTTCCCGATGCACTAGCAGCTTCCTAGGCAATACGGGACCAAGAACCAAACGGATAAGAACTCGAAAACAAAAAGAGGAAGAGATAAAAGAGAGGAAAAGAAAAAGATGAAGACACAATGAACACCTAAACGCCAGAGAGCCAACTCCTGTGCCTTCCTGTTCAATCGCGCCCGTAGTACTGTCTCAGGAAACGATCCCCTGTGGATCTTCACCATAATGCCATGCCAATGTCTATGTTTTCCCAGCGCCACTGCGTCCACAGGTATTCTTCTTTCTACCGTTGCCGCTTCTCGTTTTCTTCTTGTTCCGCTCTTTTGGGATCGATCTCGGGGCCGCGTCAGCGTGCGACAGGTGCGACTCCTCGGCTGTCAGAGTGACTGAAGGCTGAGCACCCTCAGCAAGCGTCTCGGCAGTTCGTCTCGTAGGTTGCGTGTTCGAAGTCTTGACAGTCGTCACTTCGTCGGATGCATTGCCATTGACAGGCGCCTCCGCCATGACTCCGTTGGGTTTTCATGTATTCCGAGATGCTGTCCCGTTCACCCCCGCTTCAACTGTGGCCGGCGGAAGTCGATAACGGTACAAGGCCCTAACCCGAGGCAGCCGACAAGCGCTGTGGGTGCTGGCCTTCTAAGCCTTCTCCTCCTTCTTGGCGATGCGGGCCTCAATGTCGCGCAGCAGGGCGACGAGCTCGCCCTCCTCGCCCTCCATGCCGAGCGCGCGGCGGACCCAGTCGCGGGCCTCCTCGAGACGGCCCATCTCGACAAGGCAGCGGCCGCGGCGCCACCAGGCCTTGGCGTTGCCGACACGGCGGGCCTCGACGCTGGCCTCGGCGTCCACGGCGCCCTCGGCCCACTGTGTGAGGGCCATGTGCGCCTGGGCGCGGTTGGCGTACAGGCTGGCAACCTCCTCGCGGATGAGCTGGTTGGGCTCCCACTGCGGCCGCTGCAGAGCCATCTTGAGGCCGAGGGTGTAGAAATTGATGGCCTCCGGGAAGCGGCTCTTGCGGAACTCGCCGTTGCCGCTGTCGCGCAGCTTGGCCACGTTGGCGCTGCGTTTCGGGTTCACCGGCACCGGGGGAGGGGGGATGCCGTGCGGGGTTTCCAAGGAGAGGAGGGCGCGGTGGAGGCTGTTGAGGTTGGCGAGCTCGGCTTCCAGGGCACGCGAGGGTGTGGTTGCCGAGATGGCTTTCGACTGGGGGTCGATTTGGAGGGGGAGGAGGTCGAAGTGCGTTAGGGAGGACATGGCGGGTTGTCGGTGAGAGTGGGATTTGGATACAGCGTTAGAAGGACTGATTCAGAACAGAGAAAAAAGAAAAGAAAGGAAAAATGTATTATATGGGTAAGTTGGGGGGGGAATGGTGTCGTGGTTGGAATGTTCAACTTGACGATACTGGTTGACGATGGAGAGGACACTTCTCTGGAAGCGAACCTGAGCTTCCCTTATCGCGATAATGAAAGATCACGTGTTGATAAGCATGTTCTCTGCGATGGGAGTTTTCGCGTTGTTTCCTCCTAAAAGCGGACCTTTTACCGGAACAGGTAATCGGGGCTTTTTTGGAATCCCGTTCCAAGGTTGACAAGAGTAAGGTACCTTATGAAGTACAAGCTCAAAGTACCTAGGTACTTCATGTTGCATAATCACGTCTCGTCTCGTCTCTCCCTCGCGTCCCATTTCTTTGTGCCTCCCCTTGGCTTACCTCGCTACTCATCTCTTTCTTGCCGCCCTGACCAGCATTTTGCGTGTCAAATGAGACTTCCGTCCCTCTCCGTCTATTTCAACGTTTTTACGGTATCGCGTGTCGTAGCTCTGCATGCCGTTTCAGGAGACTACGGTAGGCGGGAAACTTCCCCGCTCTCGACAGTCGACCACAACCCCCAAACCCGCGAGCGGCGAGCCACGTCACACAAGCGATGCGACAATATACCCGAGACACGTCACGAAAAAAGAAAAGAGATAACAGAGGATCGAAGTGACCCTCGTTGCCATCTTGCCATGACCTCCCATTTGATATGGCACACAGCATGACCCGAGCTGCATCTCCATCCTTCGCATTCCCAACCTCAGCATATAACTGGATGAGCCGAGCTGCTCAAGATGCGACGGACGTTCCCCCGTCCCCTAGTCCTGCTTGAAGAAGTCTCAGCAGACTAACCCCAAGTTGACTTGTCACCCAATTGTTGCCAGCAGGAGGAACGGCTTAACCAGGCCGTCGGTACTGAGGGAACCACCGTGTGGATCGAGCCGCCGTTCTAGAATGGTTCTGCCACCAGCAATCCCAGTGGATCTTCGTGAAGTGGTGCAAGGTTACTCCTATTGACTTGCTGAAACGGTGTCTGAATCAACTCCCATGACAAGCAGCCAAAATATTCGTACGCGCCTTTGCATGCAGTGGCGGAGTCCGTATCTCGTCAATCGATATCCGCTTTTTCTCGCCGCGTCCTGTTTTACCAAAGCGTTCCACCGATATGCTGCTTCTAGAGTGGAGGAAGCGGGTCGGACTTTCCGAGATATGAACGAGCCTGCTTCTCTATTGACCACCGAGTTGGGATAGACAATGCGGAGACAATATCGACCAGACCCTAATTGACCATGCCCGAACTTATATGCCCTGCCATTCATACGAGGAACAGGGCCATGTTTTGTTTCGATTGTCCGTTAAGCTCAAGGCCACTTCTTGAGCAACTTGATGAAGCAGGCCAGTAATCTCTCCAATTTCCAAAATGATACTTCAACGGGCTATTCCTGCTCCGGTTTTTCTGGTGGGCACTGTAGTCCTCAGTCACCTCCATGGAAGCCTTGCCTGCGAGGCTGTAAAGACTCAGGCTCCGATCTCGGGCCACGTCCACCAGTGTCGACAGTCCCAGGAGCCGAAATGGTCTGATGTGAGTGTTGGGAGCCCAGAATCCCCTCATCCCATTACTCTGATGGCTCACTGGACTCTAACGACTTCCTGTCAGATTACACCTAGCAAGGAACTAGAATGGGTCCCTTGTTTTAGGGACAATTTTGAGTGCGCCAGGCTTGAGGTGAGCACCTAGTCCCGCACATTGTGTGATTTGCCATCAGCAAGACTGAGAGGCCCTGTGAGAGGCTCTGGCTCACCATGCCCATGATACCTAGCTCCCCATGGATTACGACAATCCCGAGTCCAGCCAGACAGTGGTCATCGCCCTGACGCGACTCCTCGCCACCGATCGAGACGATTACCGCGGATCCATTTTGGTCAACCCAGGTGTATAATCTACCAAGTCTTGCATATAAAAGCACGAGTCGGTTCACCATCTAACGTTATATCGCAACAGGGACCAGGTGTCAGTGGTACCAACTCAGTGTGGACATTGTCGCCGTTGTTGGGCACCCGCGTCGGAAGGAACTACGTGAGGAAACACTCGTCGACTTCTCCCGCTTCTGACCAGTTGGGTGACTGACGAGAGCGAATATGTACCACTTAGGATGTTGTGGGATGGGATATTCGTGGAAGTAAGTTCCCTCTTCTCAATCTCTACTTATATCTAAAACTGTACAGGTTGGAGATCAACACCGACAACCAACTGCTGGTCAAATATCCAGCGTCGCGCTGTCTGGCGAGAAAGATTCAGGGAACATTGGCAATGGCCTGGCATGTACGACGACCCCGCCTTCATCGGTCTCCTTCTCGCTCAGATGAAACTGGAGAAGAGTACCTGCAAGGACCTTCTAGGGCCGACGGGGATCCTGGAACACGTCAACACCGCCTATCATGCCAGGGACATGAACAGCATCAGGGAAGCCCTTGGCGAGGACAAGCTGAACTACTGGGGCGTCAGCTGGGGCACCGCCTTAGGAGGCTATTTTGCTTCCATGTTCCCCAGTAGGGTCGGACGCATGGTCCTTGACGGCAACATTGACATCAGAAAACGGGCACACGGCGACATTTCAGCCGACCACGGAGACTTTAGAATGACCCTCGAGTACTTTTTCGAGACATGCTCCGAGGACGCTCGGTGTGCCTTCCACAAGCCCACGGCGGCGGCCGTCCGCGAGCGCTACGAGACCCTGATGGATGATATTCGCATGCGTCCCCGTGTTTTTAATCCCTGGAACCTCCCGGGCCGAACACCCGTTTTGACTACGTACGCCCTGGCTAATATCATAGTCACTGACGCCCTAAGGGCCCCTTTGGAGACGTTTCCGCAGTTGGCAGGATGGCTCACCCGCTGGGAGGCCAACAACGACACGACGTCGGAGCATCTCGCATTGGGGAACAGTGACGCCTACCCCGAATTCAGCAACACTGTCCCTTGGGACGCCAACAACCCCGACTATGCAAACGACAACGACGCGCTGACCACTAGGCTGGAGTCTGAAGAGATAAGCAACTGCGCCGACTGGCCGGAACAGCCGACTGACCCGATCGAGCTGCAGACGCTCCTGAACGAGTCTCCGTCGCCTCGTCCTGCGGCAATGTTGGAGGTTGGACGAAAAATCTGGTGTGCAGGCTCAGCCAGGCCCAAATGGCGATACACTGGTACGGAATGCCTTGCTCATCACGGGCGCTGATATCTAGACCATTTGTTGAAATCTGTCTACATTCTCCACGGAAAGAAAGAAAAAGGCTGATCAAGGTGATGCGGGACAGGTCCATTTGGGAGCAACATGAGCACACCCATTTTGTTTATCAACGCCTGGGACAGCGTTACGCCCCTAATATCAGCGCACCGCAACGCTGACATCTTTCCCGGTTCTCGAGTCGTGCAGGTAGCTTCTTATGGCGTAAGTTGCTTTTGTGTTTGTTCTTTGTCTTGTTCTCACTTATAGCTCCGCGGCCTCTTACCTTGGGAAGCTCAAGAATAACGAAAGAGATGCAGCATTTGGTGGCGGCGAGCAGTCAGTGCGCCGTGGACCACATGTTTGCGTACTTCCAGAACGGGACAATGCCGGACGCCCACACCACCTGCACCGACGTGCCTGAGCTACACTATGGCGATGACTGGGTGCCACCGCCTCCCATCGGCATCCCCTCGTCGAGCTTTCCGCTTTTGCGTCGTAATATCAAAGGGCGCTTGCCTCCTCGGTTCAGCCTGGGTTATTGATTCCGCGGGAAAGGTGGTCCTGAAGAAGAGGGCGCGAAGGATTAACCGGAGATCTCAAGAATGAGACGACACCAAGTCATTGGTTCTTTATAACGGTGAGCCGGGAGCCTGGACTGTCATTAGTGGACAGCTGGGTTTCTATCCCCTCTGCCAACAGTCGTGATCTTGCACTATGCAATATTGATTAAGTGTTCTTCCCAACGTGAAAGGGCCTGCATTCGTACCAGAGGCGGTGAACACTGAACAGACTAGGTCAAGAGTAGGTAGCCAAAGATGTCAGGAAGTGAGAAATCATTACATCATGTCATTGAGTACAAGAAGTGTCACTACCGAGCCTGATCCAATCTGGACTTGCTCCTCAGCCCTGTCGCCGTCTTGTGGGTTCCCTCAGTTTACTCCACCATTATCCACAAAGAGTCAATAGATCCTTATCCGATGGTATCGCCATTATAGAGCAGCCTTGAGCGCCTTGAAAGCATCCTCACGGGAGCCCAGGAAACGTTCCTCGGCCGTCTTCCAGTTCATCACGTTCCAGATATTCTCGACATACGCGGCCTTGCCATTCAAGTACTGGTCAAACATTGTCAGATCTGCGACACGTAAAGACGAGAGAGATGGTGTGCAACAAGAATCCGCGCTCACCTGAAGGTAATAGGCATGCTCCCACATGTCGACTCCGAACACGGGGACGCCCTTGGTAATGGGGTCCTGGTCCTTGGTAGTGACAATGGAGAGACCAGTGGTCTCGTCTTTGACAAGCCAGCCCCAACCGCTACCGGTGATGCCCAGCAGGGAGGCGTTGAAGGCGGCCTTGAACTTGTCGAGCCCGCCCCATATCTTGGTGATCTCGGCGACGAGCTTGGGAGCCGACTCGGGCTTGGCGGCCGGGCTGGCAGCGGGGGTCAGGTTTTCCCAGAAGAGGGAGTGGTTGATGTGGCCGCCGCCGTTGAAGTTGATGGCGGCGAGAACGGCGATGCGGTTCTGGAGGGGGTTGGAGTTGTAGGCCTCGGTGGCCTTGTTAAGGTTGTTGACGTATGTCTGGTGGTGCTTGCTGTGGTGTAGCTCCATGATCTGGGCCGAGATGTGCGGCTCCAGGGCCTGGATGATATGCTTGGGTTAGCTGGACATTTGGACGACGGGAAGAAGAATCCGTTCCGCTGTTCTTCCGACAGGTGACGGGATTGGACGTGGAAGTAAATGACAAATGCAGCAACCAAATAAGAGCAGAAGAAGGCCGGTACTCACGTTGTAAGCGTAAGGGAGCGGGGGAAGTGTGTAGGCCATGATGGGCGTATCTTGAACACAATATACCAATGGTCAAGGTCTCAAGGAGAGGGGTCTTGAAGTCGAAGTGGATCGAGTCGATTGACGAGGAAGTTAGGAGAGAAAATAAGTTCAACCAAGGCGTAGAAGAGTGGCAATGATGTGGTTGGTAATGGAAAGGGAAAGAGGGGGGAGAGAGAGAGAGAGGTTGAATTTGGGAAGTTCCGGGAGAAAGTGGTCACTCTTCAGACTCCAGTCTTCACGCTTGACTCCGTATTTTGTTGCTTTCTCTTCCCCGCACCAGGAGTGGCGTGGTGGACATGGTGACGTCATTTAAAGAGATTAAGGATGGTACGAGCCTAGATACGAGGGGATGGGGTACCTAGGTATGTACGGGATGGTAAGGATATTAGAGTGTGAACCTTGAGGGCGCACTCTTGCTCTGGTTGTCGACTTGTCCAATGTCCGAAGCTCACGGCACACGAGTTCGCGGTCATCAAGGTATGTGGGGTTCCCGCCTGTCTTCGTCCTCTGGGAGGGGCACCAACGTCTCGTCACTAGGTGTACGACTACGGATTACCTAATTAGGAATCATACGTGTACGGATACCTCTTGCCACACTGTCACTATCCTAGGATGTTGCACTGATACGGGGAATTAAGCGATTTTTTATTGCACGCTTGCTGGTTCCTGGTCAGGGCCCGCGAGCGAGTCAATATTGATGTTATCAATGTCTTGCTAAGGTAGAGAGTTAGGAACAAGGAAATAGATGGAATGAATTACTTGCTCGAACGTTCTCAAAAGACTCCCTTGCACAAGCCCAGTCTACCGCATGCGACCCCACTCCAACTGTCCAGTAACCCGAAAGGGAAATCGCTCTGCTGTCTGTCCGTGATTGATTGGACCGGTACTTGGTTAGAGATGGCACTACGGTCGACGGTTTGCGCACGTTTCTCTGACCTCCACCAAGCCCCTGACTGACCCCTTGCATGGCCGCGACCCTGTTCTGTCCCGTCCCTTCGCCGTTGCCTCAAATCCGCGGGTCCAAAACACACCTACAAAAAAGAGGGGTTATAGGTCAGAGCTCGAACAGAGGATTTTGGGCGAGAGCCAGAGCCAGGACACAAATATTTCGGTTGGCATAATATTCTAAGACTGTCGACAGACTGACCAGTTATCGGGCTCTGACTTACAAACCCCAAACCCGGGTAGGCAGCCAGTATTAGAATATGGGACAAACGCGATCCATCAAGGTACAAACTCAGCCACTTATCTGACACATATTGTCTAGAGCACAAGCCTGCGCCAGGGGGGATGGTGGAGTGGTACACCACCTGGACTAGCCTCTTAATCCCTAAGAGGTCGTAGGTTCGAATCCTGCTCCCCCTAACCTATTTTCGGATAGGGTACCTTAGGCAAAGGGGGCTAGTAGTGGCCCCTATACCCCTGCTAAGTAGATAACTAATAGCCTAGACACCTATCCTTATTAAGATAGCAGGAAGCCTAAAAAGGAAGGGCATTCCTTACTAAGCTACTACCGGTATAGGGTTATTATAAAGGGGGGAAGAGAGGTACGGGGGGCTACCCAGGCTCTTAGGTTTTTTCTATAAGGTTTTTCCTAAAAAGAGGATTTACTAAAGTGAAGGGGTAGGGTATATAGAGTATTTACTAAGTAAATACTCCTAGCACTTTCCCTAACCCGAAAGTGGTAGTAGTATATCCTGTACCTAGTTTATACCTTTCGGTACCTCCGAACAGTCTATCATAACTTTAGGGTTATATACGGACTTTAATAAACCTGAATTAAAAAAAAAAAAAAAAGCCTACGCCAAAATGCGCAGGTTATGCGGAATTACGGGTATAAATGTTTAGGCAACCCAAACTCGCCCCTAGCCTTCGGGCCACAGTCCGGAAACCTCCATTTACTAACTGGCCCGCCATTTCGTTTTGAACGATTCTTCTCGACGCCTTCAGCTCTTCTCCTCTGCGGCCCTGCCTTACATATTGGAGTCTCTTGCCTACCTTAGCCACCCAAAGACGCCTTCCCGTACCGCGCTATCGCCTATCGTAGCTACCATCCCATTGTCACAGCACCATCAATAACAACTCGGGAATCACATTCTTAAGCTCTACGAATCATGTGCGGCCACGACATCTCCGACAAACCACGGGGCGGAGCTCTTGCCGTCCTCAGCCCCACGACTCCTTCGCCAGGACCGAACCGCGACCATCTCCCGCCATGCAGAGGAGACCTCGCTTTCCACACCCCGGGGTCACCATCAAGCAAAATTGCCACCCATGCTCGTTGGACACGCACACCAGGTGACGATGTATCTTGTGTCGAGGACCTCCTGGTCGTCATTCAGTACGTCGCTTACATTGCCTCTGCCTTTGGACCTCCCCTCTACACTCCTATATCGAGCATCGTGACTGACTCTAATTAACAGCGAATCCGGAGATCTGACCCATAAGCCCGAAGACTGCGGTCTCTTCCGCCAATTCGCCTTTTCCCGCAATACGGCTTCCGTGATTGGGAACGGCCAGGCCTTGGAGATTCCCCTCGCGCCACCCATATCTCTCGAGGTCGGACGTCACGGTATTATCGGCCGCCGGGTTTCTCTCTTCCACAACCTGCATAACCTGACCGACTCCTCTTTTTCTACAACTCGCATGAGCGTGGCAGCAGAGGGCATTGTCGGTTTCAACTTTGTACTGCCCGTTTCATCCTCTCTGTGAGCATCTACGTCGGTCATAAAGATGGAGATCATGTGTGTCTCTCGACTGTTATTATACATTGCGGGCTGCTGCGTTCGACTGGTCAGGGCGGGGAGTAACACGGAACAAGCTGGGTTTCATTTTCCTCCATTTTCCTTCTTGTCCTTCTTTCCCTTTGCACTCCAAAGCTTTTGCTTAGAGATTTTTGCATGCTTGCTTCTGTGGGCGTTTTGAGATAGGAGATTATGGTTGGATACCAGGGGCGACAGCGAACTATTTTTCGTCTTTTTGTCAGCTTCGTACTACATGTTATGTTGGATACGCAATCATAGACACCAAAAACCACCCTATTGGCGCTGAGCGTTTGGCACACAAGCGAATAGTTCGGAGCTACCCATCAGAAGATGGAGTATCGTGCTGCAAAGCGGGCTGTTATACTTGCACGCAGGCAGCCGCATGCCTAGTCTGTTGTTCCGTCTTAGCCGTGTTTGTACCTTGCCTCGGTTGCTTCATGCAACTAAGCGGACGTGACGATCCGGCCCAGTTCCCAACGACCTGGTTCTGCCACACGATCAACCTTCCGTGTTCCCTGGACCCCTTCATCAGGGGCAATGTGTGGCTGTAGCACAGAACTCGCAACGTGCTTGTGTTGTGTTGAATCAGTGTCAGCAACTGCATCATGCCAATGGCGTCTTCGGTTAGCCGGACGGATTCTCGCGGAATCGGCAATATGTTTTAGTACGGGAGGATTGGGAACACAGGCGATAGGGTATGTTGCTTGAATTGTCAACTGGTTAGAGTTGAGGTGTCTTCTCACAATCTCGTGCTCTGGGGTCGATAACTTATGATGAATAAAATAAACATACTCTGACTTTTTATTATACCGACAGGATAAAATACTTCTTGCTTAGTACGATACCAGGGCTTTGAGAACTTTCAAATTCCGGATAGTCTGCCGCAGACTCTCGTTGACCGCCCTGGATGAACCACTTATATCTTGCAGCCGCAGGCCAGGAGCGGGCAGACGTTTTGTGAACCCGTATATCAGACTTCCCCTACGTGACCCTAACTGAAGAAGTCGTGTCATGTAGTACCTGCCCATTAAACAGGTACACAAAGCTTATTATACGTGTTCGAGTAGATTCCTTTCACCACCCAGGCCTCCGTCTTGCCGAAGCTTGAATGGTGCAGTGGTAGAGGCGCAAACAAATACCCGACGGGCAAGCCTCTAGTCCCAGAGGGCTCGCACTCAAAAGGGTGGGCGTGAGGAGGAGCAGATAGCCCCATCAGAACACGCTCTGGTTCTTTCTTTTGTCCTTTGTTCTTTTTTCTATTTTTCACTTCTGATATGTCGCATGTTGTACATACAATATTGAAGACCTTTCTGCAGTTCCTAGTAGTACATCTCGTGCCAACAACATTTGTTTAATCTCCCTCTCTTTTTCAGGGAGTAGCTGAACATTACACAGAGTACATGACGGCTCCCGATCATCCAAGTAATAGCCGTCTCGGTCACAAACGTACGGGCAAATAACGGAAACATAACCGATACCCGTCGATCATGCCAAGAAGAGAAACTATGCGGGTTTCACAATTCTAGAGACTTTCAACTGGCAATCAACGTTAGTGATACAAATTAATCTCTTTTAGGTTCGCAAAGTGATGAATGGACCTCGGCCAGATATAAAGATGGTCCAGGAAATGCTCTGTCCCTAACTACCAGAGCAGGGAAGTTCTTCATCCACTGTTGAGTATAAACTCAAGACACTCACTTTATTACTCTGGAACCTATTTTACAATTGTGTCTCATTGCTTTTGTACAATCTTCTGGCTTTTCTTCCAACTATTCACATCATGAGAGTTCTGGTCCCCTTAGTGGTGTCTAGCATTGGGTAAGTGAGCGCCAGCGGTCATGCAAACCATGCCACAGCCCAAAAAGGCAGGACCTGACAGCTTATGTGATTTCTTAGCTGGGCCCTGGTTGACGCCCTTCCACATGGTAGCGCCGCTTTCACAGAAGTACCGTTAACCAACACCACTGGGGTGACTGTCACGGTCTCGGTTCCCGGCTGCACAACCACGACCATCACTCTTGCAAGGTCTTGTACCTCGTGGGCACCTTTCCCTTCTTGGGCTCCGACTCAGTCAGTTGTGGAAGGAGAGACCTCCGTCGACCGGGCACAGGGCTCCGTCACCTACACCACGGATACCCAGGGACAGCCTGTTTCGTCCACTTTGCCTCCGCTCGTTATCCCAACTAGTTTTGTCTTAACCGAGACAGAGACCGCGACTTGGTACTCTGATTATATTTCCAGCGTGGAGCCGACGGTGACAGAAACCATCCTTCCTTCGTCGAGAACAACATTGTCCAGTGATGCCATCCCGACATGGACCAACTCGAGCGTGACCGTTACTGTTACTGCTACGCAGACGCAGACAGAGACGACGACAGAACAAACCACTCTCCATTCCATCAGCACAGCACAACCATCTGATGCCGAGCCGTCTGAGTCACAGTCCACAGTCACGCGCACAGTTGTTGTCGTGGTGACGACGGTAGTCTCAACCACTACGTATACCCCATCCACGTCCAGCTCGGCCTTCTTCGAAGTCTCGAGTGCGCTGCCCGTCTTCTCGGACAGTGTTTCGAGTTCGGCTCTTCTCAACTATCCGACGGAAACCTCCGGCGGGATACTCATCACGTCGACATCGTAGCCGACGCAAAACATCCAGGTACCCTGTCATACCGGTGAGGAGGCTCATAGAGATGTCTTGTCTGAGGAGGGAGCGGCCTCGGCTCCTTCCCGCAGCTTCCTTAGGGCGAGCGAATAACAGATGAGGCTGGGGTATGCACGGAGTCGGGTTTCAAATCGGGCTTTTCGTACATGTTGAGAGGGTCTGGACATTGACTGGACAAATTTATGCGTAATTTTGTGAATGAGGAACTCGCGCAGGTCCGGGTCTGTCGTGCAATATGGCTGGCGGTAGACAGGAAGAAAAGACGGTAGTCCTATAAGTCCCCACCCCGGCTTTTGGAACACCCCCCCCCCCTTTTGGAACACCACTTACACTAAAAAACTGCTTTTTAGACCCCTGCTATTTTATTAAATAAAATAGTAAATATTATAAGAATAAAACCCTAGATAGACTAAAATTCCAGTACTAATATTCTGTCTATATCTTTGATATAGGCTTAGTAGAAGAGCTATACTATAGCTTAGAAGTTAGAGATTTAATTTTATTCGTGTTAATATACACTATATAAGGAATCCTTAACAAATAGAAATATATTAATGATAAATTGATAGATATAGATATAGCTATAAAATAAGTACTAGAAATAAGTTCGAATTCTATACTATATATCTCTATAACCTATCTAGTACTATATATTCTAGTTTCTATAATATAACCAAAAGTAGACTTCCCCTACTAAATCTTTATATAGGCTTATACTTATTACTTAATAACTTCTCGAATACTACATAGTGTTCTATAAGGTTTCTAATAGTAGTATCCACAAATCTTACGCTATTTTCCGATATTTAAGTTATAATTCTCACGAGTAATACTAATCTATTATGAATATTCTTAGTTATATTCTACGTTACTAAGAAAATATATACTAACATAAGTAAATAATCGAGTCCTAACTTCTAAGCTATATTATAGCTCTTGTACTAGACCTATATCAAAACTACCAACATAATATCAGTACTTGAACTTTTATGTATATAGGGTTTTATTTTTATAATATTTACTAGTTTATTAAATTAAACAGCAGCGGTCGAAAAAGCAGTTTTTTGGTGTAAGTGGTGTTCCAAAAGGGGGGGTGTTCCAAAAGCCGGGGTGGGGACTTAATCTATTAGCCTAGCATAGAACGACGTTGGCCAGATTAGTAAGATGGGTAGGAAGGCCGGTCATGATTAAGCACGGACCGGTTTTCGTTGTTATCGTGATCGGAGTACTATTGTCCGAGTTGCCGCCCCCCCCCCCCCCCCTTTTCTTTTTCTTTTTTTCATTATGCGCGTGCAGCCCTGAAGCTATGGCGCGGCTGCCGCCCCCTATTTCCTATGATAACGAGTGACGAGTCAACTACCTATGCAGCATCGGCATTTGCACTATGCTCTCCGACTTTCTTCGTTCGGTCTGCTCGCGTTGCAGATCGGTAGTTTGCTTCCTCTTCAGACCCTGGATTTGGCCACTTGTCTTGATCAGAGCTACAGGAACAAAGATCCTTGGGACGCATGCCGCCGCAACCCACACGCCTCAAGTAGAGGTCAGACACCTTGGACCTGAATCCAATCTAGAATTCCCTGCTGCTACCGACGACCAATACCACCAAATCAGGCAAAGCTTCATTGAATCGATAGACTTGGGTTTGATTTGCGCCCTAGCGTCACGCCACAACAACGGCAAATCTTGCCAGGTTGTGAACAAGGCCAGCGGCAGCTTTAATGTTTGCTTCTTCGTCGATTTTGATGATGACTCTGATGAGGGAACTAAATGGGTGGTGAGGGTCCCGATTGAGCCCGCTTTCGACGATCCCTGGGACAAGTTACTAAGCGAAGTAACGACCATGCAGTGAGTACTGGGTTTTGCACTCTCTTTGACATTTGTGACCGGTGCTCACGCAATCACAGATATCTCGAGCGCAACACTCGCATTCCCGTCCCTCACATCCATGCCTATGGACGCGACGTCAAATTGACCAAGGGCAGTACGGGGACGCAGATGTTCATCATCACGGATCTCGTTCCAGGCCAACCATTGAATAGGAAACTCTTGCTTGGAGGCAACGAGGAGCAACGAAGTGATTTCTTGTCCCAGCTCATCGATGTTCTAGCAGAACTTAGGAGGCTCGAGTTCCCGGCAATAGGTTCCCTGAGGCCGAATGCTAGCGGCAACTCCTATCCCGATCTGGGACATGTAGGTCCAGTCATTTCCATGTCGGCCGCCATGCTCAGCCAACCATCTTGGAGAACAGTTGCCTCTGCCACGCTTCGCCAGACGCATCGTGGTCCATTTACTTCGGCTGAGGATTACTTGAGATATCATTTCGGTCTTATATCAGACATGTTTTCGCTGCCGGTTTGTGACCATACTATTGAAGATGTCAAAGAAGAGATCTTCGCTCTCAACAGTATGGACCGGATATCTCTCCAGGTTATCGATCCTCGGTTGGACAAGGGCCCTTTTGTGTTGCATCATTTGGACTTACGAAGCGCCAACATCATCGTGGACGACAACCTGAGAATTCAGGGCATCATTGACTGGGAGTTTACAAGCACTGTTCCACGTCAGCTCTTCACCCCTCCATCATGGATTACCGGTCACGATTTAGACGAGACGAACGAGCAGCTACACACCGAGTTCCGCGCCGCTCTCGACGAAAAGAGTGAAACCGATGGTCTTTGCGACCAACTCAGAAGGGAGTGGTACGGTCAATCAGATTCGAACACCGACGAAGAGAGAGGGAAAATGGACATGGCATTCTGGGTTGCTCACGTCCTACGTCGTCCAACCGATATCACCGATATATTCTGCAACTTTATCGCCCAGAAACAATCGGACAAACCTGTGGATGAGTTAATCTCTGAATTTTTCAAACAGAATCTGGCGCTGGCTTTAGAGGTCCAAGTTCGTGCGGAACAGTGCGAGCGCTACACAGAGTACTTGAAGAGGAACAGGCTGTATGAGACCGATGTGGACAGATTGCTTGCCGAGTCGAGGGCATTGAAGGCAAAGTGGGGTTGGTCATAGAAGCAAGATAATGAATCGAGTTATTCGTCGCCTCTTATCCTTTCTTTTCGAGGTCCTCCTTTTGCTTCTGCAGATCGTTTATCTTCTCCCACAATCGTCCGATCTTCGCTTCTATATGATGTCGCTTGTTTTCATACTCTTCCTTTTCTTCCTTTATAGACTTAGTCCCGGCCTTTCTTCTCCTATTTCGCGCACTCGAGGCACTCCGTGACATCTTTCCTAAGTCGGCTTCGCTAATGCTCTCCAGATAACGCAAGATGTCATCCAACTTCTCTTGTTCCTCCGCTAACACTCCTATTATTTCGCTGATTCTCTTATTAAGGGCTTGGACTTCATCAGGTTTGCGGGTCATCTTGACGATAGTCTGCTGTTGCTGGTGCCGCTGCAGTTGCGTAGCTCTAGTGGAAACTGCGGCGTATATTCTGTGGAACGAACTAAGGATCGGATCAATATAGTGCGGACCTGCGGTAATATCTGAATATAAATATTCTGTCCGCAAAGTTTGTTAATAACCTCTCATGTATGAGTATCCGAGGAGATCGAAATAAGCGTAAGTACCTTGATTAATGCGCTACTTTGAGTTCCTCCCTGTTAATTTAGGGAAGTGTACCAGAACTTGTAAGTGGGGGATGGAAACGAAATAATGCTAGGACGATATATACGATAGGAGAATCAGCGACTTGCTCCTCCCCGCCTTCCCCGCCCTCCCTCCCCGCTCTCCTAATCATTGCCTCCACACCCATCAGTCCAGCCACCCGCAGCCTCAACAATCTTGTTGTTCTTCTAGCAACGTGCACAAACCCATACAGGAGTCCTAAACGTTGCTTTCCACTCATAACCTCCGTGTTCCAACGGATTGTCATGGTAATTGAAGTTCCAGTTAGTGGTACCAAGGTCGTAGCAGTGGTTCATGTTAGGGAGCAGAGTTTTCTGCCCCCAGTCGTAAGTGGAGAATCCGGCGCCTCGACGGTATATTCGCTACAAAGAAACTTGTGCCAGCCCTTGCAGCGGCCAAGGCCGTCCCGACCGCCTGGGATTGAGCTCGTAGGTGTAGTCGCCATCTTGGCGGATGTACTTGCCTCCCTGCTTCCAGTTCATGGGATTGTCAGACGAGTCGCACGAGTGGATGAGCTTATCGAACAAGTCTTCGCACTCGTCCCTGTCTAAGCTGCCGCGGCAGTTGGTCAGCGTGATGGAGTACTCGTGCTCCTCCGGGGTGCCCTTGTCGTAGGTCTGCTCGTACTCCCCAGTTGACCGTGTTGGACGGGTGACTCTCCTCGACCTCCTCGCAGAATTTCGTATACGACTCGTTGGCACGGTCGGCGCTGACGTAGTTCCTACTGTTACCCTTGGAGTGGCACGTGAACTCATCCTTGATTTCGCAGGACTCAGGAGGGCGAGGCGACGTTGAGCACCGGGGAACGGATGTCCATAAGCTCAGCTAGTGCGAACGAGGCGATAGTAAGATGCCCTTTTTCGTTGGGATGAAACTAGAAGCAGAATATTGTCATCAGCCATGGCTGATGCCAACAGCAAGAAGGGCAACAAGCCAACAACCAAGAAAAACAAAAGAAAGATAGAAAGAACATTGAAGATAACGACGGCAACAACGACGATAAGGAGGAGGAGGAAGAGGTTGAGCAAAAGGGGCTGGGGTTAAGGGAGCGGGGAAGGGGCATAGGTTCACAACTAACATTACGGCCGACGTGGTCCGGCATGCCTAAGCCAAAAGTTATGTCCGCGCCATAATCGCCAGGACAGCCCGGGCGGCCGGGCCCTGTCTCCCGTACTCCGTTGGCAGAAGACCCCTGGACATTTCCCCCTATTCTTACCTGCCCCTGAATCCCGTTGCGTCCTTGTACTTAGTACGAAGTAGGGATGCATTAGTAATAGAGACTGTCCAGGGGTGGCCATATCACGTGACATTGGACCAGTTCTTCAGGCACCCAGCACCATCGTATGGAGTAGTGATTAATCTTGCTGTGAAAACTGGCACAGATATTCTTCCTAGCATTATGCTTACGAGAATCGATCCAAACCAAGTGCAACACTACGCGAAACGACGGACTGGCCGAGTGATATGGAGAAAGTCAAGTTTCAACAACATGATTGATAAGCGGTTGAGGCTTCCCGCTTGAAATGCTGATGACGGGACGGGGTGAGGTTCATCGATTGAGAATCTAATTTTATTCAGTGTCTTGGTCTATCTATATCAATGATTCCTCCGCAAGTCTATTTCCAGTCGTGACGAGCTGGTCGCCTAGGTTTACTTGTCACCCGAGAAAGACATAACAGCCCACTTGCCGTTCCATGCCCACTGTCTGGCACCCGAGTCACCGCCGCCGCCCTCGCTGGCCTTAAGCTCCTCATCCTTGCCTGGCGGCAGTCCAACTACCACATCGGCCTTGCAGGTCCGAAGAGAGAGTATGTTAAGCCCGGAGCCTGGTCCCATGCCCTTGATAGTGTCGGTGAACGGAGTCGTGGGATCCCAGTCGCACTACCATCAAGAGTTAGCCAATTGCATACATGAAGTTGATGCTCGGGGAAGCGAAAACATGGAGAAAAGAAGGGATGGGAGAAAGACTGGAGAAAGACTCACGTCCCCGGTAAGTTTCCGGTAGTTGAGGTCGCCCTTGAAGATAATGAGCTCACTGGTTTTGAGGTCTTCGTACAGGTCCTTGGCCTCCTCGGGCAAGTTCCAGTACGGGTTGGGGTGCGTCCAGTAGCGGTTGGGACGGATGATGAGCTGTCCCTCGGCGTGGAAGTTGCTCCACTCCTGGAAGAGGAAGGCCATGTTCGCCTCGTCGACGGTGGACAGCGGCGCCGGCGTGGTGCCCTGCAGCTTCTCGTCTTCCGAGGGCGTCTCGTAGAATGGTTTGGGGTTGGCAATGAGGCTCAGGGTCTGGGCGAAGTCGGACGGAAGAACGTCCGAGACGAACCAGGGGATGGACTTGGGGTGGAGGACGACGTGCGTGGCAAGCCCAGCGGAGAGGAAGTAGCCGGCGAGGATGAGGTCAACGTACAGTTCAAAGCCGGCGTTATCGAGGATAATGTCGACTCTGCGTTCCGCCTTACCGTCTGCCTTGGCCTTCTTGAGAGTATCAAAGGCGGCAGGGAGGTCGTTGATGAGGATGTTCTTCTCCGCCGACTTGCGGGCCTCGGAGCCCTGCAGCTTCTGGATGTCCTCGTACGACAGGGTCGTGAGGAGAGACAAGTCAGTGGCGTTTCCCCAAAGGCAGACTTCGCACATCTCGGAGAAGAGGAGCCTCTCGGCCTCCTCATCGCGGGTGGCCTTCTTCTCGGACCGGAGTTCCTCGACGAGTTCCTTGTAGCGGGAGGCCAGTTCGAGGACAGCGGGCCGGGAAGATCGGAATGTGTTGATCTTCTGGCGGTTGAAGACATCGTAGTTCTTCCAATGTTTCGAGAGACTGAAGAAGGTACTCATGCGCCTAATGTCGACAGTCGACATTCGTCAGCGTGTCTTCTTGTCTGTGAGGACCGTCACTCGACCCCACCTGAAAAGATAGCACTCGAGGAACAGCCATGGGCCATTAAGCCAGCCCGCCGAGCCCAGTTCCTTCAGCTCTCTGTTGTAGAGCGAAACATCGGGAAATCCATCGTCTTCAATGGGCCTAGAGTAGTAGTTATTGTCAGCTACCGCCGTAAAATAGAACAAGGGCCCAATTGGGACAACCATACGCCAACGGCCGATCATGCTGAACCTCATACTTGAGGCTGGCGATCTTCTCGACGATTTTCTTGCCCTCCTCCCTCTTGGCCTCGTCTTTGCATGTCGCGACTGTCCGGTAGACGTCGTCAATCGCTTGCGTCTGTTTCGCACTGCTATTAGTATGGCAGCTTTAACGTCGCGCAACCTTGTCTTTGCATCGGGGAGAAATCTCGTACCAGGATCACGGGCCAACGCACCCGCGCAGTCTGCCACGCAAAGGAATTCTTATCGCCGGTCGAAGAGAAAGCTAGGATATTGCATTCTACGTTAGCTATGTGTCGCACTCAAGTTCGAGAGGGGCGGAATTTCGTGGGATGTCGTACTCGGCATCTTGAGATAAGTCGATGGGATGTGAATGCCAGTGGATGTTAGAATTGGGCTCGGGGAGAAGGCAGAAACAAAAAGTCAAGACGCAATAGAAAAAAAACTTTTAAAATGGTTAAAATCTTTTAATAATCAAGAACAACAAGACTGTTGATCTTGCCCTGCGACGTCCCGATGTGGAGGACCGGTGGAGGAGGGGTGGAGGGGTAGCGGGGCAGCCAAGACGAACAAGGTCCTCATAGTTTACCTAGGTACTTCATTTTTGTGTGTACCGTGCGTATCTAGTGTCCACGGACTGTGGGGGTCATGTGACTTGGTTCATGGCCTAAGATACGAAGCTTACTAATATATTGTTGTATTTCTCATACGACCACGGACCAACTTTCATTTCATCGACCGCTTGTGTCACGTCAGGCTTAATATCATCGTCTCCTCGCGGCCTACTTATACATCGACTTGGTTACCCCTATCGGGATGCTCATTCTCGTAGTAATCTTTCCACTCAGCACAGCGCTCCTCCATCTCCGTCAGCGCTCCGGCCTCCTCCATGAGGGGTATGATCTTCGACGTCTGCTCCAGGAGCTGAATGGAAAACCCAGCGCTAGAGTGCCAGGCAATGTGGCAGTGAAGCAACCAGGCGCCGGGATTATCCACCGGGAAAGCAATCCACAAATACCCGTAGATCGGGCAGTTGGCGACATCGCGTCGAGGCGGGTTGTCCAGATTCGGAACGACGCTCTCATTGAACCGGCCCTTGCCCTGTGCCAGGACGTAGACGTCGTGTCCGTGCATATGGATGGGGTGCACCGACCGCGGAATCACGCGAGGCGGGTTTCCTATCGGCATTTCATGATTGTTCTCAATCACCAAGTACACCCACTCGCCGGTTTCAAAGTCAATGTGCATCGGCTCAGAGTCTGGTGGAAACTGCGCTTCGTCGCCCGAGTTGAGGGTGAGCCTCTTCACGCTCGGCTCTCTCCAGTCGCTGTACATGGGACCCGAACCCAGCGCCCATTTGCGGATCAGAGAGTTGGGGTCGCTCGCGTTAGGCCAGCCTTCGAGTCCAATCTTGAGATAGTCGGCGGGTTCCATGTCGTTGACGCGCCTGCCGACCTGCTTCGGCACCACGGGCACAAGCTCATCCGGACCTGGGTCGGAACAGCCGTAGTCGAGGTGCGCTGGTGGGCCCGTGATGGGATCACTCTTGTCGCTCGAATCGTACCGCACGATGCCCACGTGCTTCTCCATAAGGTCAGGCATGTCGCAGTAGTGCGCGTTGATCCAGAAGTTGGTGCCGTTGGCAAGGTCCGCGTTGGCCTCCACAATGATCTCGTAACGTTGACCTATGCCGATGTTGATAACATCCGTCTCAAATGGCTCAATCTGAACGAAATCATTGGAGATGACGGTAAAGTTGTGTCCATCTATCCAGAAAGTCTCCGTGAGCAGCGAGCCGGTGTTGACGAGTCCGATCTTGTATCTGGTGCCAGGTTCAAAGGTCACATCGAACAGTTCGCCGTCGCCCGAACAGTGAGGGTCGCTTTGGGGATCGCAATCGAAAACGCCTTTGCCGTTCAGCACCATCGAGTTGGGGATGGGGGCGCGGTCAGTGAAGAATTCGCGCCAGATGAGACTGAAGGCATCATCATGATACCAGTCAGAGAGAATCCAGGGCCCAAGATCAACGTCCCAGTTTGCGCTGGAGGGCCCATGGATCACGAGTGGTCCTGTGTGTTTAGGGTAAGTAATCTATCTGTACAAGGAAGATGATATTTAGGTCTGTGTATTACCGTATGCACCATTGCTGTCTGTCTGCAAATCAGCTTGATGGAACGAACATGGCATGGCTTCGCTGGGGAAATCTTGAGACTTACACTGCAAACCGAAATGAGAGTGGTACCATGAAGTACCATACTGTCGGGCCTGGAACTCATACACTTGCGAGGTGCCAGGCTAACATCTATTCGTTAGAATCACCAAAACAGCTTGCTTGACAAGTTGATGTTATGTAAGGAGCATGACACACCTTGGATGGACATTGCGTGACACCAGGTACACCATCTTCCCAGACAGTATTCTGCTGTCGAATACCATGCCAATGAACAGCCGTGCCATTGTAATTGGTCAAATTGTTGTGAATGATGATACCTAGTTTTCGTCGGTCAGACTCGATGTTCTCAATTCCACAAGTTGAGGGCAAGAGACACGCTTACGGAGCGTATCACCCCAATCGGCCTCGATAAGGGGTCCGGGATATGTCCCTATAGAAAGTCAGAATCCTACAGGTCTCGTCCACGGCTACTTGTTGTAAGGGATTCTTGCCATTGAAAACTGTCGCATTTTTCCAATATCCATCGGGGTTGATCAGTTCGTTGCTAATGGTGAGTTCGTACTGCGATGATGAGTATACTATGCTTTCTTCAAAGACGACCCGTCCTGTGATGAGTGCCTACTCACTTCTCGCAATCTTCCCTCTGGTATTACGAAATCAGGGTCCGAATGGATGTCGATTCCCTTCTTCCAGCAGTCTCGCCTCTCCTGGCTGTGAACGCAACAAGTCGCATCAACCAGAGTCTGGTGGCCCAAGGCCAAGAACAGAGCCAAAGATTTCGTGATAGTCATTGGATTGTACGTCCACAAGATATTCATGCCAAGCGAGCCCTCTATAGGTATGAACCTGCTTCCTTTTTGGAATACATATAAACATTTCTGCTTCCTATCTCACACACACCCCGGCATATGACGGGTAGGGAGATGGTGACTAACCAGGTTTATTTTCACCGAAGTCGGCTTTGCGCGGCTGGGCTGCGTCGTCGTCGGGGATCGGGCCCCGGGCCCCACGCCGAGCTTGGCTGCATGTCCAACTCACCGAGGGCCGATCTCCGCGTGAGACACCGCCTTCCGCCTTTAGAGACGCGGAGGTGATTCTGACCAAGGATGGTCTTTGTTGATCTTGCGGCAATGTATCGCCATCCTGGCATGATAGAGTTCAGAACCACCACGTTCAACTATCGTGGGGCGTGTCCTACGAAACACAATCTTTGATGGCGTGTTTTTTTTTCTTCTTCCGGCTTGGACCGAAGGGTGTCGGTCAAGTTGCTTAATTCCGGTCTCCTCCTGTTACCTCGCCTTTATCCGCGGCCTTCTTCCATATATCGCGTCTCCGAGATACCGTTATGCACTTTGAATTTCGCCTCGCGGCTTGCCGTCGCTTGCGGAATGGTTTCTTTACAGGTTGATCAACCAGCACCAAATATCAGACTTTTTCTAAAATAAGATCAGACGTACAGTACTGGTGGAGTAAGAGGCACCTACCGACATCCGAAGACTGTTGGTGGTGTTAAGGACTAAATCCGCTACGGCTCATTGATTTGTAAGCTCACGTACCATGGTGGCCAACAGGATCATCATGCAGGCCGCATATTCGGACCCCGAATAGCGAATAATAACACCCTGAGACTATACACTAGAACTGTAGAAGCATGACGAGAATCGTGCAAACATGCAGGGGCAATGTACAGTGGGGGTCAGAAGTTATTGTACCTATTTATAACATCGAAAAGTAGAATAGGGCTAAATTTTAGGTATATAGTACATAGGTGTTCGTAGATGGGTACATTATGCCAGGAACTGTACGTAGCCCCTTATCCCCCCACCAAAAGAAGGACTGCTGAGACGCCCACATGTACCTATATTCAGGAGGGGCAATGTAATTACATTAACAATAGAAAAGAGGATTTCAAATAGAAAAGAGGCCATAATAGAAAAGGGGAGGGTAGGAGAGCCAACATGTTTTAAATAGCAGGTAGACAAGATTTATTCAAAGATTGAAGATCCTCCTTTCTGCATCTCCTCCTTGATCGCATCACGCATCTCCTCGTTCAATTCTCCTAACTTAGACCGAACTTCCTGCACAAATACATTATACCAGCATGTCCAGCCTCAAGCCAATCAAAGTCTGGGGTAAGGGCGGCCCCAACCCCCCCAAGGTCGCCATCGTCATGGAGGAGCTTGGCTTGCCTTACGAGGTGGTTCCTGTTCCCTTCACCGATGTCAAGAAGCCCGAGTACTTGGCAATCAACCCCAATGGACGCTTGCCGGCCATCCATGACCCCAATACCGACATGACATTGTGGGAGTCTGGCGCCATTATTGAGTACCTGGCCGAGAAGTATGACACCGACCACCGGATCAGCTTCCCCCGCGGCACGGCCGAGGCCTACGAGTCTATGCAATACCAATATTTCCAAGCCAGTGGCCAGGGGCCTTACTTTGGCCAGGCCACCTGGTTCAAGAAGTTCCACCCTGAACAGGTCCCCAGCGCCCTGGAGCGCTACATCAAGGAGATGCATCGTGTCACGGGTGTGTTGGAGAACATCCTTGCTTCGAAGAAGGCTTCCGCTGGCCAGGATCGAACGTGGCTCGTGGGAGGAAAGTATTCGCTCGCCGATCTCTCTTTCATTTCCTGGATCAATGTCGTCACCGTCATTTTTGACAAGAGCGACTACAATCTGGAGGATTATTTGAACGTCAAGGATTGGGTAGACCGCATGCTGGAGCGGCCGGCAGTCAAGACTGCACTGGGCAAGTAGACGTTTCAAGTCTAGTCGTACCAAGATGAAAAAGATCGATTCCATTAAAGACAGTCCCATTGAACGTAACTAAATAGAACTCCCAACTAAAATGGCATGGTCCCTGTCTCCCTTCCACACCCGTAGAAATATCCGGCTTAAACCGGCTGTGCCTTGGATGCTTGTTCACGCATGAAGCCCTGGAACTTGGGAAAGAATTCCTTCATAAAGGCCGAGTCCACCATCTCCTCCAGCTTTACAATTTCCGTCCCGCTTTCATTGAACGTAAAGAAGACTGCATAGTCGTTTGTCCAATCTCCAAAGGGAGTCTTGCCGGTAGAGAGTGCATACACGGCAGCCTTGTGCTGCGACACATCATGAACCACTTCATGAATGGTAAGCTGATTAGGATTAGTATCAGTATTAGTAGTTGCTGTTTCAAAATGTTTGCATGGAGGTTTGAACGCTCACCTTGTATTCTGTCACAACCTTTTGCAGCATAGGCAGAGTCGCCATAACCTCAGTACTGTTGCGCGCTGCATGTCCCAATGCAAATGGCAGGGTTCTCTGCGTACAGTCCGCAGACCAAGTCGCCACCATGTCTGCGGCTGAAGACCTTCGCCATCCGTCAATAAACTTGTCGAGCGTGGCTCTTTGGGCTTCTGCTTCCGCTGCCATGGTGAGAATGGAAAATGGAAAATTTGAAATGCTACGCGGTTGTGACTAATGCGAGTCAGATCAAGTTGGTTGATAAGAAGAAAAAAGTACACATTGAAGAATAAAATGAGAGTGCTCTTTGCTGGAGAATATGGAGATAACAGCAGCATTTTGAAGCATCCTGGCATTATAGTCGACCCGCGTTGTGCCGGCAGCTTCTGGCATCTTATCCCGACGTTATCTACAGCACTACGCAAACGCCCTCGGTATACGATTTATTCTTACACGTTTCCAGCCCTGCGCTCAGGGCATTCCCCGGCGTGCTGCGAAGCTATCCAAGTGGCCGCGAAGTGTCTAAGGGAAAAAATAAAAGAAGAACAAAAAGAAAACGAGAAAAGAGAAAATGCAAGGTGAGACGAAGACCCCACATGCCAAGTATTTCGCTCCCCGTGGCGACATCGGAGAGCGAACAATGACCTAAGCGGTAGGAGTAATTACGTTGTACGTGTAGAGTGCGTCTTAAGCCGGTGGGGCTATGCCAGTTGAATTAGGTAGGTTGGGGGTGGGGGGGGGGTGGTATGTTTAGCACTAAGACTCATCGGAGCCGAAATCCGGACAAGCCAATGCGAATAGTAATCAAGTATTATTATAGCCAGTATCCGACAAACCACGCAATCTCCGAGTTTTTCTAGACTATATCCTAAATTAAAATAATTCGGCATCAGTACTTGGATGACCCTTGTTTTGATCCCTGGATAATTGACGAGACGGATTAAGGAAAGAAAAACGACTGCTTACTTCGTATTATGGATCGATCGGTGCAGCAATGAGTAGCCCCCTTAATAAACTGGGAAAGACCACGTAAAAAGTCTTGGGTTTCTTTTACAAGACGGTAACCATTTACTCCTACTATATTCGAGAACAAGCAAACTCTTTCGACCGAGATACCAATCCAAAGATGGGCTACCATTGCTCCCTTAGAGCCTGGCTGCCAGCTCTCGCTGCTGCCAGCCTGGCTGTTTCGTCCAATTCTCAACCCACGACACGAATTGACTATCTCATCATCGGAGGCGGTCCTGCTGGACTTGTCCTTGCAGAAAGACTGTCTCAACGTGCTGCCAAGAATGTTGTTCTCTTGGAGGCAGGGCCAGACAGCATCGATGACCCAAACGTAAGCAGTGAGTTAGCACCCAGCACCCGAGTCATTCATCCATTCCTTTTATCCTATATTCTAACCAGATTTCTGTCATGGTTGTGCTTGGCTCACAGTACCGGCATACTATCCACTCATCCAAGACAAAAAGCCAAATTATGTGACGGAGCCTGACGCCAATCTCGGCGGCTATGCCCCTGGTATCGCACAAGGTCACACGCTCGGAGGCGGCGCAGCCGTCAATGGAATGGCGTACTGCCGAGGATCTTCATCTCTATTTGACGACTGGGCGGAGACCTCTGGAAACGAAGGGCTCGCATGGGATTCCATGTTGGAGGAGTTCAAAGAAGTCAGTCGCTACCGGGACCCGCCACACGCCGATTACGAGCAGTTTGTCAATGCGTCGGGGTATGGGAATGGGCCGGTCGAAGTGAGTCGATCGAGCGGCTTGACTGGCTTCGAGTTTCCCTTCGCGAGAGCTATTGAAGCAGAGCTTGGTCTTCAGCAGCAGGACCTGACGGATGGTACGGGAATTGGAATCGACCTAGGCCTTTCCTCTATCTTTGCCAAAAACAGGACCAGGTCCCATCCTCGCAATACCTTTGGTATCATTGCCGAGGGCCGGCCAAACTTACAGATTATACACAGTGCTCGGGTCACCAAGGTTCATTTCGAAGGGACGACGGCCGTCGGTGTTACGTACCAGTTCGGTGGAGAAGCCGTCGAAGTCGAGGCCGCCGAGATCATCGTCAGCGCTGGTGCCATCAACACACCCAGGCTCCTCATGCTCTCTGGTGTTGGGCCCCGGGAAAAACTGGAAGCTTTGGGTATTTCGGTCGTTTCAGACAACCCAGAAGTAGGAGCGAACCTCCGAGACCACCCATTCTCCATCATGCAACTCCAGGTCACACCAGAGGTCCTGACAGTCTGGCAGTGGTTGTCCAATGAGACTCAGGCTGTCATAGCCCATGAGCAATATGCTGCCAATGCGTCGGGTCCTCTCGGATGGAACAATGGATACTCGTTCGCCGCCTTCCGATTGCCAGACTCGGCTTGGCCCGAGGGCGTCGACAACACCCATTACCTCTCCCTACCCGAAGATCGGCCGCACGTCCTCATTCAGTTCAGCACCGTGCCATTCATACCGTCCCCCAACAGCACCATCATTGCTTGGGCGAGCTTGATGCAGCCTGAAGCCGCCGGATCAGTCAGCCTGAGATCGGCTGACTATCGTGACGGCCCTTTGATACACACCAACTTTTACGGCTCCGAGGGCGACAAGGCAGCGGCTCTATGGACCTACAAGAAGCTGAGGGAGATTCTGCGACGCCCAGAGGTCAGCCATCTGATCGTGGCGGAAAGGTATCCCGGGCCCGACGTAATTTCCGATGAGGCTATCTGGGCCGCCATGGGGCAGCAGACGTACTCTTTCCGGCACGCGGTCGGCACGGCGGCTATTGGAAAAGCCCTCGACTCGAATTGGAGGGTGAAGGGCCTCAAGGGGATCAGAGTTGTGGACTCGAGCGCGTTCCCTTTCCCGACAACCTGTCACCCACAAGCCGTTGTCTATGCACTGGCGAGCAGAGCGGCAAAGGACATTCTTCTCGGCGACTCATGCAAGAAGTAGTTCTTGTATTGCACTTTATATGTACTAGTTAGCATAAGTAGTGCTTCATACCAAGAAATCTCACTCAAAGCCATAACTGCTCGGGGGGTCATCTCTATTGTGATTCATAATCTTAGATTACGAATCTAAAGTGCTACAACTGCCGCAATGTATTTACAAGCCGAGAAGAAATGCTTCTCACCTGCTTCCGAAGATCCTCCTCTAGTTGACATAGAAATGTAGTCGAGAATGGAACACTTCCATCCGTACTGTCTTGCCTTTCCTTGACAGATGAGCTCTCTGCTCTCGTATCTATATCTTTACCGGGCCCAGTTTTGTTTGTCCTGAGCCGCTGAGACAGGGTATTCACCAGCCCCTGCACGCGGTGGAGTTTGACAAGTACAGCCTGGACGGCTAACTTAGGGTGGGGATTGTCCTCGTCGACCATCAGACGTCTCCCTTTGGTGGAGGAGGCTCCGTATAGAGAAGTCTGGGCCAGAGTTTCCGCGTCTTCCGTGGACCGACGAGCCGCATCCTCGTACCTGGCCAACGCTTTAAAGACCACCAGAGACATGAGAGCCAGAAGGTATCTGTCCTGCTGGCAGGGCCGGGGGCACTGTAGCATGGAGCGGATTGTTTCGATGGCGTGCTCCCCGTCTGCGAACGAAGCGTTGGCTGATCCAGTAGCGAGCATCCGGTCATGACTCGACACCGAGCTCCCGGGAGACCAGGCCATGGGAGAAGTCGGAGGCGAAGTACTAGTGGCGGGTTCTTGGAAAAGTTGGCTCACCAGGCCCAGCGTTTGGGCAACGCAGGAGCACGACGGGTCGTTGATCGCTGGTCTCGAGTCGGTTTTCTGCTGCTTCTGCTCGTTTTGTCGCTGATTTTTTTCTTGTTGTTGTTGTTGTTGTTGTTGCCCCTCGTGATCTTCCTGCGGCGGTCGTTGGTGGTGATGTGGCCGTGATTGTGTCTGTGATGGTGGTGGATGGTTTCTTGTGGATGATTGAGTCGATGAGATGGATGGCATTAGTTCCAGGTCTGCTGAACCATGGAGTGTTCGTAAATCACGGCCAAGATTAAAGACTGCCTTGTCCAGTAGTTGAGTCCAGGGCATAGTAGCATCGGGAACAGGATCTGGAAGACAGCTCTGCCCGAAGAAATACTCGGCGCCATTGCTGACATCTGATCCGTCCACCATGGACAAATCCTTAGGTGAAGGGTAGAAATCGTCAAAATTCATAATCAGCTCTCCAGGTGTTTGTAGAGCAGAAGAGCGAGATGAGGTTGTCGTCATCAGATCCGAGTTAAAATCGTCATAGTTATTGTTGGTGTACTGATCTCGGAGGACATTCACATGAATAGTAGAGCCAGCTGTTGCCGCCGCCGTTGTTGCTGGCGGTTGGCTTGTCGTCACATCGCTTTGGCTGCTTCTCTTCCACGCAGATGAACATGATTGAGCGGATTGTCCTGGAGGAGGTGCAGGTGCTGCTGAGGCTGGATTTGTTTCTGTGCTGACTTGAATGCTGCTCTTGCTTGCGTGTTTCCTACCGGCTCTCCGTGTGACAAAATACTGGCAAGATTTGCCGCGTTTGGCACAACGAGAACATGTCGGTTTCTCTTTGGTGCACCGGAGCTTGGACGAGGCACAAGCGTGGCAGCTGTCTCTAAGCTTAACCGTCGGCGTGGTGCTATTTGTAGCATTGGAGGTGGAGGGACCGTCCGGTGTTGGCAGTATAACTGTGGGCAACATGACGAACGACTGGCCACTGGAGGCGAGGATTCCTTTGGCGCACGTTGGAGCGGGGCAATGGGAAAGTTTCCAGTAAAATGTAATGACCTTTCAAGGTCACTCGAGGCCCAAACGTGATATATACTACCTTTAGGTAGTACCGAGATACGAGACTGCCACGCGTGCGGCGTCGACCGTCTTTGGTAGTCTAATTGAAGCTATCTATGCCAGCAGATAAATGTTTCCTCCCTGCTCTCGGCCGGCCCTCGGCCCCTCGCCACGTAAGGCTGCACGGAAGTTCACTACCGGCCCATCTCGCCTCTGTATACAGTATACCTGCCTCAAATGAGATACCTGCAGAATATGGCTGCATGGCACCCTGTCCTTGCCTAGGACGCCACCCGTCTCAAATGCCACGGATAGACGAAAAGTAACAAGTTTTACCGGGTGGGTGGCAATATAGGGTATAGTATCGCCACAACGAGTAACCGAAGGTGCTAGATTCCCTGAAATTTCCGCCCTGCAGGGGTCAGGGCTGGGCGAATCAGGACCCTTACTTACGCCCTATCAGGCGTGGACGATGATAAGGAGGGATGGAAGGCCTCCTTAGTAGGAACAAGCATTCGCATTCTGGCGGGGACATATGCATGCAATCTTACATGCATAAGAGGGGGAAGCTTGTCTAGCCGCCCTCAATTACTTAAGGGAGTACCTTTTGCAGTGAGCTTTTCTGGACCGCTGATGCCTCGCTTAACTCGCCTTCGCGAGTACGGAGTACGTAACGATTTCATGAGGATCTTCAAGACGAATAAGAGCAAGTTATAACTACCTACGAGTGGATAGCCTAATCGACATGGGATGAAAGCTCGATGCAAAATGTTGATGGTGAACGAGTTCTTTCTCAAATTCTTTCTTTGCATATAAGAAGTCATTGAACGGACAGCCATTCGGTGGGAACTACTAGCAATCTCAACTAACTAGTAGTAGTAGTCTCTATCTTGCATGGATTTCATCGCCCAACTCATCGCCTCCACAACGGCCACGGTCGCCGATCTTAAGAAATTCGTTGCAAGCTGTCAAGAGACATTGGGAGGGATATCTAGCGAACCCGCGGAATTACCACGGCGCCTTTCGAACGAGCTTCGCCAGTCAAAGCAGGTGGTATTAGCCGATATTGTGGAACTACAGCGCTTAATCATGGGCCCCTCGGATTTAATTCAGCAGCTCGCATGCCACGTACGTCTCTCTCTCTTATCTGTTTCCTGTGATGTCGCTGCCCCAATACTTCTCTGTTTTTTTTTCTGGGTTCACAAAAGAAGTCAGGCCAACCAAAAAAAAAAAAAAAAAAAAAAAAAAGGAGAAGAAATAGTAATAAAAGAAAGAGAAAGGCTAAAACAATGTTCTTAGGCCCAAATACTGGCTTGCCTTCACTGGCTATGTCACTTTCAAGTTCTGGCTTGCATTCCGCTCCGCGAAAGCGCTTCGAGCAGAGACATCGCGGACCTAGTCGGCGTCCCCGAGACTCAATTGAGTCGGATTGTACGCATGACGGCGACCTATGGTTTTCTGCGTGAGCCGGCGCCGGGCAAGGTCGCACACAGCGCATTGTCGGCCGAATTTGTCACGAACCCGTCACTCCTGGACGCTGTCGTGTTTCTGGCCAATACGGCTGTACCTGCAGCCCTCCACATGCCAGCCAGTACCCAGCAATTCTGCGACTCCAGATTCCCGTCGGAGACGGCCTATAACCTGGCCAGCAACTCGCCCGTCCCTTTCAACACCGCGTGCGAACAGCGACCCAAGCTCCGGCGACAGTGGGCCGCCTTCAAGGAACACGGTACGACAAATGTGGACGGGACCCTCGTGGGGCTGCTGCAGTCGTTACAATGCGCCGATCAACTCCTTGGCGAGGCTGGTGTCATTGTGGAGGTATGTAAAGTCTCAGGCAACTCCTGCCTGGCGGTCTGGATTTAACCGCTGCTGACATTTCCCGGCCCCTCTCCCCCCGCTCTGAAGATTGGGGCTAGCTCAACATCGGAAGCCGTCATGATCGCCAATCATTTTCCTTTACTCAAAGTCTTTGTGCAGGTGGAGGATCAGGAAACCAATCCGGTCTCTCAAGGCCGATGGCCGAAGCCCCTCGGCCCGAGCTCAACGCCAGAACACGTGCAGCAACAATGCCTTATGGATGGGCGGGTCTCTCTCCAACGGCGTACCATGGGTACCCCCCAGCCGGTACGCGATGCCACCGTATACGTTTTCCACCTAAACGGGTTCGCAAACGGAGGTTTAGGCCCCACAGCTCTGGAGCGTATCCAAAGCGAGCTCAAACAACTCGTGGACGTATTGAGGATGAACAGCACGGCAACCCTCGTCCTTACCTCCGGATTGCTCCCGGACCTGGGCAGTGTAGGCGTCAGAGCGGAAGCTCGAGCTCGTTTGCGTGACATGACGCTTTTCCAGCTCACGAACCAGCACGATAATGAGGTGGGCGAAATCCTCGCAATGTTGTCCACACTGAGCGACATTACGGGCCGGCTGGTTCTGGTCAATAAGAATTGCTCGCCGAGAACTGGCGATCTGGCACTAGAGCTCAAGTACCAGGCGTTTGCATAAGAACGGAGTGGGTATACTAGGCGGGGTGCTTCGCAGAGAGACCAATAACAAGAAAATGTTGCCGCCATACCCAGTCGATGGCTCTTGGACTGTCCTGTGCTGATTTCTGAACCCTCTTACCCCCACGCACGGAGAATTATACCTAGTCTTAGCCCCTCCCTGATCTATTCCCTTGGCGGCGCTAGGAAGGCTGTGCCTCGCGGCCCGCTATGACCCGCTATGACACGCCCGATGTTTTGTGAATCTAGCCGAGCTTACGGTATAGTTCGTACGGGTAAGAATCGGACAATCCTATATACCGAACTAAAAGGGCGCTAAATCCGTGACTTCTTATTGCCTAACAGGCGCCATGCCAGCTGCAGGACCCGCCTAAGACATAACCTGGAGGAACCAATCGGAAATAGTAAGATATTGGGCTCTTAACCTAAAAAGGTAAGGGGAGAGTAATATCTAGACGTACTTCTTATACCTGCCCCCCTAATTACACGTGTACCTAGCATGCTCTTTGTACACGTATATACCTGCTCTGTTTTACGGGTCCGATTATATCCACTTTGGGCCCAGTTTGAGGTGCATCCTACGAAAAGTCATCCGATATTTACACCTGCAACCGTTGGACGGTAGTATTTGTCGTATCTCTGACCTGTCCGCGGTGGGTGATGCTTGATGTTGTTTGGTTCCCGCAGATAGTATTAGCCACTTTTGGATGTACCTACACATATACGAGCCGCCGTACCGTTGTTCCCAGAACTGCGCCAAGACAATAGCCGGAATCCGAAGAGACATACGCTGATAGCGGATCCAGGAACCCGTAGGTAGGGCTGCTAAGCTCTGAATTATGGCGCCATACACGGGACGCGTTTGCGCTAAAGAACGCCACAATCGGTAGGAAGACAGACATAGGCCCGATACCGACCCGTCTAGCGTACATACCTCCAACAATCTAGATTAGGAATATTGTAGATGGTTAATAACGCTTAGCGAGAGCGGAGGAGTTTCGATACCCGTGTAAATGTCTTACTAACGTTAAGGGGCAGAGTATCTATTATTAGCTTTACTCTAGTATTATAATAGGCTATACGATAAGAGCGGCGATCTAGTATAGTTGTATCTTATTTGTATATCTTCTCTCGGCCTAAGTAGCAGCGTAGGACGGTAAGATATAAATTAACCAATACAATATCGATTATGACTTGTCGATTTTCAGTTGGTCGCCCAAGACTACTTTGACTCTCTAACTCTAGACTATATAAATGTCGGCAAGAGAATACCTATGGCTATTAGCGTGATATAGTAAGCTTGTTTAATATACATGCTGATTAGTTAATGTTACTTAAGTTTAAGGGCCGATCCAGAAAATAAACTAAAAGAAAACGGCTAACGGATTCGCCAATCATGATCCCGACAGTCGACTTATCCGCTGCACGTGTGCATATCAACTCGAGTCTAGGTAGACTCCGAAAGACAGTTATGCCCGGCGCCCGGCCTTTATTGTTGGACTTTGGCTTCTCGGGCATGCCGCTCCCGCCACTCCTAATACCCCGATACTAAGAGGCGAGTATAGACGATAAACCCCCGATAGATTGCTACCAACGTTACATCTAGACTCTTAAAGTCGGAAGGCCGAGTAGGGACAAAATATACGGGACTGGTGCTTCTACTCAGTATATAATGTTCCTTTCATAATCGAATTTGTAAAAGAAGTAGACATCTATCAAACAAATCAACCCCCTCTGTTGACTTGATCAAGGTTACTACTGCTACTCCCAGAGATACCATCGTCATGTCTATCACCACGACAACTGTGGAAGCGACAGTTGAGACGCCATTCACTTCGGGCGCCGTCAGGAGTGGCAGCAACATTGACTTCTGGCGGTCGTACATCGAATCCCGTCCAAACCCTCCGGAAGACTTCTTCCAGCTCATCAACGAGTACCACCAAAAGCACGGAGACAACACATCCGACATTGCTCACGATGTCGGGACGGGCCCCGGAAACATTGCCGCGAGACTGGCAGCTTACTTCAAGCATGTTGTTGGTTCCGATGTGAACAGCGACGCTCTGGCGGTAGCACCGGCACTCATGCCACAGCACCTCAGCGGCAGGCTTGCCTTCATCCACTCTCCGGCCGAGGACTTGGCAGTGAAGACACCCGCAACCTCCGGAGGAAACGGAACCACCGACTTGATCACCGTCAGCGAGTGCATGCCTCTCCTCAATGCGCCCAAGGCGCTCAAGGCCTTCCATCATCTGCTTCGTCCGGGGGGTACGCTAGGCATCTACTTCTACGGACCTTGCATCTTTGCGGACGGCGATGTTGAAAAGTGCAATGCGGCATACGACAAGGTGGCCACCCGGATCTGCACCTTCAACCAGCCGATGAAGGGCACACCCGGCTTTCCCTTCCACCTCCACGCCGCAGAGACTTTGGAGAGCTACATGGACAACATCGCCTTTCCGGCCGAAGACTGGGAGAACGTAGTTCGTCACAAGTGGAACTGCGACATGCCCCTTCTTTTCAACTCCAAGGCCGGATTCGACTTTGACTTTGGTGCGGTGGATCGCAGATCCAAGGACGAGGGGACGGAAGAGGCCATCAACCGTGACTTCTGGGGTGCAGAGTGGTCTGTTGCCGATATCAAGGCCTACCTGGACTCGGTCTATCCCAACTATCGCGACAAGGCCGGCGCCCGCTATGCCGAAGTTGAGGAACTGCTGCAAGAGCTCGATGTTGCCATGGGTGGGGAAAAGAGAAAAGTGAGCTTTCCTGTGGTGCTGCTGCTGGCGACAAAGAAAGGAGCCGTGTTCACAACCAAGCCCAAAGCTAGTCGGGTTCAGCTCTCGGCCGATTGCGGGAGCCTGGGTCGAGTCAACGAGATTCCAAGCGACGCTGTGCGAAAGACGGAAGAGCTGCTGCAGAAGAACCACGACGAGTTTCATATTTTCTGGCGTGACCAGAACGGCCACAACCACATGGCCCACTCTCTGCTGACGACGTTTGCCATCGGGGGCGACGCTGAGGATGTGCAGCGTGCCTACGAAGACGGTTTGCCCGTGCAGCGCGCCCAGCCCGAAGCCAACCCCGAAGTGATCAAGGGACTCGCCAATGACGAAAACATGTTTGCCATCCTGGGTCAAGTTGCCCAGTATACCAATGTCATGACCTTCTTCGAGCAGCTGATGGACCAACGCGACTGGAGAGACGTACTCGACCAGTACTGCTTCAGCGGCACCAAGCTGGCCGATATCATCTTGGCTCGGATGTACGAGGGCGCCTATCATCCCATCATCCACCTAGGCCTCGGCGTGGAGTTTGAGCAGCCGAGTATCATCGCCGAAGCCCTTGCCCAGGCGATTACGCATCCGGTGTCCGGTATTCCAGACTGTCTCCTCGCCAGCTCGGAGATTGCCGACCAGGCCAACGGTGGTCGGATGGACCTGTCTCTTGTCGAGTTGTTTAACATGGCTCGAGAGAATGATATTATCTTCCGTGGTCCACGCTGGGAGGACATGACTCTCAAGATGAAGGACGGCGTCTTGGGCAGGTCAAGAGAGGCCATTGTCAGACTGGCAGCGCAGCTCCGAGTGGACCCGTGTGACATAGAGCGACGTGCCGCTGAGTCCGTCAACGGCAGCGCTTACCTCGCCGGCGCATCCCAGCGACCCGGCAAGGCAGCCAAGATTGACTTCTTCCACATGCACGCCGTCACCAGCTCCATATTCCTGACCGTCTTGGTCCGGCAGCCTTGGATTAGCCTGGAGAATAAGGTCCGCCTGGTCGAATGGAAAGGCCGTACCGATCTTTTCTGGTATGCCGCCAGCGGATGCAGCAAGCTCGACATCCGAGAGATCAACGACTACAAGGCCGGTGCGAGCGCCGGCATGGGCTGGAGCGAACTGTACCGCAGCATCAACAAGATGCACGACGACGGTCACGTAGCCAAGTTTGTTCGTGCGCTGAAGAGCGGCCAGGAAGTCTCTAAGCCCTTCGAGCAGGCCAACCAGGCCACTTTCCGCCTTCAGGGAGACGCCTGGTTGAATTTGGCTCGTATGGCATATGATTCTACTATCGGCCTGCCTGACGAGATTAAGTGGATTTGGGGTGCTGGATTTGCCCAGGCCTGGGGTAATGTGGCTGCCAGAGCGTAAGGATGCGAACGGCATATGTTAGTGAATCTCCAAGGTTACCTTAGCTCCTTACCTTCGCTCAATGTTGCGAACATGGTTAATAAATGGCTACTCGTCAATGTCAATTGGTTTCAAAGTGCAACCCGAATTTCATACATATGTCATCAGCTTATGCCGTGCTCAATCTGTGGTGATGGCGAGTACACCGTACATCATCACTTGCTGGACCGCCGAGTCTCGACAACATCGTAGAAGGCAGATAATGACCTCGAAATATTTCGCTGGTGGCATATAGGAGGGGGGGCATAAATGGTTCGGACAATCAAACGAGAAAACAAGAAAGAAAAAAAAAAGGAAAAGGAAAAAGGAAAAGGGGCTATATGCAGTCAACTTTGCGCAGAGAGAATCCGTCATATATATTAAAGGTTGTCATATAGCTCGCCATCTTAGAGGCCACATGCAAATTAAAAGTTACTCATCCACTCCGGGTGGATAAGCTCAAGCTTCTTGCACAGCTCGTCCCACACTCTCTCTTGTGCCTTCTGCCCTTCCGCACTGGTCACAAAGGCGGACGGGGCGCCCGTTCCGCAGTCCGTCATGTACTGGCCATGGGACTCCACCCCTTGTGAGGCGGCGTGCACCAAGGTCCTACTGCCAGCCTCGGTCGACCGAGCCAAGAGCAGCTTGATGAGCCAAAATGTCCATGTCGGAATGTCACGGCCAAGCTCGGAGTGGCACAACCCCGGATTGACCAGGTTGATGGTGACGGGAAAGGTGGAGGCGGGATATCTATTGGCCAGGGCTCGTACGGCGAAGACGCCAAGGATCTTGGAGACGGGATACTGCTCATCCCAATTCTTCTCGCAGGCCTCCTTGTCGCTGACGGCCTCCAGGATCTTCCCCTCGGGCGCCGACTTCTGCGGGAATGTGGTGTGGGCGTGGACATCGGACGACACAATGGTGAGCGTGGGCCTGACCTTGTAAGCTTTGGCCGTGGCCTTGAGCTTGGGCACCACGAGGGCGGTAAGGAGCATGGTCGAGATAAAGTTGACGGTAATGCTTGCTTCGTTGCCCTCGGCCAGCGTGTATTTCCCCGGGGCGATACCAGCATTGGCAAGGAAGATGTCGACGCGGTCCAGTTCGCTGTTGACGCGCGCCGCGAACTTTTCCACGCTCACGTAGCTGGCCATGTCCACCTCCCAGATGTCGATGACGTCCTTTGTGCGGCCCGTCGTGCTCAAAATGTCCTCCTTGGCCTCCTGTCCTCGTTGGAGATTGCGCACGGCGAGAATGAGCTTGGCGGCGCCCATGCGAGCGAAGTGGCGCGCTGCTTCTTTGCCCAGCCCTACATTGCTGCCTGTGATGACGATGGTTTGGCCGGAATAATCGCCAGTTGGGTATGGCAGGTGCTTGAACAGCTGACTGTATAGGAAACTAGGGAAACTCATGTTGACTCGCTGAGACTCCAATGTTGGATTGGCAAGTGCGGGTGTCGTTTGGCAGCCCTTTTCTTTTTCTTTTTTTGGGGGGAGTTGATTGACTATGAGGAATAAGAGAATACCTAGGTAGCGAAAAAGTCGGGGCGAGGCCGTTGGAACGGGGGCGCGCGTGTGAAAGGAGAAGCCCCGTTACATAGGCGTCGGCAAGTGTGTGTTGTACACTTCGGGTGTGTGCCTATGAATTTCATGTGGATTTTGCCAAGTTGTTACAGTGTCCGGGGTCCCCTGTGAATTGCCTTACAGGTCCACTTCGCTCACCGAACTGCATACCGTACAGGTCTTTCCTCTAAACATCCGATGGACGATGCCCTCATACGAAGCAGCCGTCGATAATTGTCAATAAATAGCAGTCGGCCTTGTTTCGGAAGTGCGGTACTGTATTGTGCTATGCTGTGTACCTAACCTTAGTAAGCGGCCGATATCCTAAGTCCCATCAACTACCCCGTATACATCGGACAAATGTAGCCTGCTCAGGAATCAGGTAGCTACTTAGACTCACTCTGACGAGCACCGCCCCTCGCTCCCTTCGACTACACCAATCCTTTTCTCTTTGCCGCATAGTTACATATCTACAGTCTTTAGCAAACACACTACTGGCTGCCAGATCCAAACCGTCAACTTCCATTGTTCAACATGGTCTCCTATGCCATCTTAGGCGGCACAGGAAACTGCGGGTCTGGCCTGATTCAAAACCTACTCCGGTCGTCAGATGCAGACATCAACGTTTACTGCCGCAATGAAGCCAAGTTGTACGCCATGCTTCCAGAGACGGCCAACAACAAGCGCGTCAAGGTCTTCGCAGGCAGCATTCAAGACGTCAAGCTCATGGAAAATTGCATTCGGGGCACCAAGGCCGTTTTCATGACCGTCACGACAAACGACAACATCCCCGGCTGCTCCCTGAGCCAGGATACTGCCTCGAGCGTGATCCAGGCGCTGCAGAACATCAGGGCCGCTTCCCCCGATACCTTCATGGCGCCCAAGATGGTGCTGCTGAGCTCGGCCACAATCGACGACCACCTCGCTCGCCATATGCCCTTCTGGTTCCGCCCAATCATGCTGACGGCGGCTTCGCACGTGTACCGCGACTTAAGGCTCGCCGAAGAGTATCTGCGGCGCCAGGAGGACTGGGTAACAACCATCTACATCAAGCCGGGAGGTCTCTCGCTCGACATCCAGCGTGGTCATCAGCTAAACTTCGACGAGGAGGAGAGTTTCATCAGTTATTTGGACCTGTCGGCTGCTATGATTGAGGCCGCAGACGACGAGCAAGGACAGTACGATAACAGGAATGTTTCGGTAGTGAACAAAAAGCGCGGTCAGGGAGCCAAATTCCCACGGGGGACGCCAAAGTGCATCATGGTCGGCCTTTGTCGGCATTTCTTTCCATTTGCTCATAATTGGTTGCCCAAGACGGGTCCGGCGTAGTGGACTTGTTGGAGGATCAGCCCATACATGTAGTTACAACAGACAGATAATTGACAGAGTAGCGACGACGATCTTTGGAATTGGGACCATCTATCATCAAGAGAGGCACCCAAGAATAGGGCTATGCTGCTGTTACCCCGGGCCTATAAGTCGATGTCGGGGTACAGGAAAAAGTACTACAGCAACACCGGGTTGGACGTACCAAAAGACCACATTTAGGTACCATCATTGATATTTATTCTGATCGTACAACATACTTTATACGTAAAGCTATTTTAAGATGGGCGACAGGCTGTTCAAGTGAGGACTACACCTTCGGATAATACCCTTAATAAAAAGTTACTGTAGCTTAAACTATCTAGACTAGGTATGGATGGATCATGGATAGAGAACGTAATATTTAGTGGTGAATGCGAGGATACCTTGTATTTCTAGCTCTGGGTGTGTTTTTTCCTGTACCCCGATATCGACATGGAATGATGGCCCATGGGTTCTATTTTTTTATGCCTCTCTCGACAGTCCCTTGGAAATTGGGCCCAGTCCCGTTTGCGAAAGCTAACCAGTTGGCAGAATCAACTGCGCACGTCCGGAAGATATGACATGATTGACATCGTGCCCATATTGATGCCCCGAAATCTAAACGTCATGTCCCTCGCAGTGCAGCCCACATGAATCGGGGAAAACGGACCCCGAGGGGCCGAGCCCGACAAAGACCTATCGGGCCTATCGCAATCTTTTGGTGACTTTCTCATCTCACTTTCCCAGATGTAGATAAAAACGCCCTTCGCAGCGCCCGTCATACCCTCCTTCAGGTCACAGCAACACGTTTCCTGCTTTGATTATTAACTTACCACAAGTTTGAACCCTCCGACTCGGTCAAAAAAACCAGTAACCATGGCGAAAACAATCACCGGAACGGCTGCGGTTATTTCGGGGTCTTTCCTCTCTGGTTTGTGACACCCAAAGACATCAATTATCGCAGATGTCTGCTTTACTAGAGCAAGTACACACAACTAACACACTCCTCTCAGGGGCAATGATGTCTCTTTGCTTTATCATGGTTCCCGTCCTCTTGGATGTCGCAGCCGGCCCCACCCTCTTTGTTTCCCAATGGCGACACATGTACTGGTACGGCCACAAGACAATGCCATTCCTGGCTATCGGCACTTTCAGCTTGTATGCCTCGCGGTGCATCGGTCTGCGCCGGGCGAGACAGTCCTGGGGCGTCCCCGCCCTGGCCGCAGCGACTACACTGACCATGCTGCCGTTTACTTGGATCTGCATGGCTCCCACGAACAACACGCTATTTCGACTGGATGCTGAGGGACAATTGGGAACACTGGACATTGGTATCGAGGAGGCAAAAGGGTTGGTGGTGAAATGGGCCTGGCTCCATTTCGTGCGATGCCTGTTCCCCTTGTCAGGTGCGCTCATCGGAGCGTTTGGACAGCGCTGAGTCGCTAGTTTGATCTTGTCTTGTACATCTGGCTCTGCTCTTCCACTTAGAGTTGTCAACTTGTTAGAGCAGAGTATAGACTCTCGAGGGGCGACGAGAATAAGTAGGTATATGTATGTAACAGAGGGCCCGTAGATAGGTAGCAGCAGGTCCAAACAAGTGACTGTGCCAATCTCGGAAAGGCGTCATATAAGGAAAAGACCCCTATTAACTCCCTTGGCGCTCCCTGCAGATTCTGGGCTCTGACAAGAATCGCGGCGTCTTTAGAAGTTTAGATCATCTATTACGGACCAGAGTCCATAGCACCGGAAACTTAGTTTGGAGCAAGCGAACATAAACGTGATTAGGATCTACATAAGCCTTCTTGTTAATCTATCATGATTCTTGTATTCTTAAACGGCTGGATGTCTCTAACAAGAGCAAGGACGCCTAAGGCGACTGCTCAACATCTACATAAATGGCATGCAGTGTGTCAATAGAGTCACGAGCCAAAAACCCAACCAGAACAGATAGAATAATCGCAAGTATACACTGTAATGAAAACCTAGAGGAGCCAGAAGAACCAAGGTGCGGCCGGACTGAATGTGAATATGGGGAAGCCTTCTTCTCATGGAATACAACCCCATCCTTAATCAGTTCCGTGACCCAGCCAATGGTCATCATGCTCCGCTTAGTATCGGCAAACTTCTCATGGTCGCCCTGTAAATGCTCTTTATACCACGGGTCCTGCTTCATTCGCTTATAATCGTCCACGTTGTGGAACACGACCTGGCTGAAGCAGTCAAAGTCTGCGAGCCGCGTCATCTGGTGGTCAAAAAGCCGTGTCATAAGACTACGCGTGTCGGTAGTGTTGTGGATCTATGGCTTCTGTTAGAAAACGAAAATGGCTCGAGAAGATTAAGAGAATGCGGGTGCTTTATGCGAAAAGCAAGATGAAAGAGGAGTAAAATATAAATTGGCAATGCAAGGGAAAGACGCTCACCATCGTCCACTTTTTGACGCCATATTTCACCATCAAGCCACTTGTCATTGGTGCCGAAACTTTAGTCATGTGGTGTCTATAGTCCTCCTCGCTCATGCCAGGTCGTCGATAGCCGCAGATGGTCAAGCAGAGGAATTGAGTGGCAGGGTCGCCAGGAGGGGCGGCGGGAATGTCTTGATCACCAGACATGATGTTGCACGTGAGCTTCTGTAAAGGAAAGTGCTGAGTAATAGCAAATGTATCGTTTCTTGGAAATCCGTCGGTCTTTAGTAACTTAATCCCTCTGGCTATATGGGGGAGCTTTCTAGAGTCTGAGGGCAGAGTTACTAATATCATAAGTGATGGATTTTTGGGATCCTATGGAATCTGGTTAGACCGAAGTTAGCTAAGCCACTATTACTAATAATTGCCCGATCGGTTCGGCCCGAACCGATCGGGCGATTTTGTCCCTAGTCCGAGCCCCGACTCCCGATCCCCGACCCCCGGAGAACATTGACGCATCGGCTGGCCGAGTTATGCTGTACATATCACATGCCACAATGACATTCACTAAGAATTCCCAAGTCGGACTATGGATATCAATTTGAAGAGGAAAAAAAAAAAAAAAAAAAAAAAAAAGAAGCAGACAGACCCTCCAGAGACCGGGAGACCGGGGGAGAATTAGGCCGCAACATCGACTGCATACCACTTCCTCTCCTTCTCCCCCCGTCGGACCTGAAAACCAACCCGATAGTCCCCCGCCAACTTGCGGAGTACCTCATCAATAAAGGGCTCCAATGCCAAGGTCCTCGTGCTCTCGTCTAGCGATTCGCCGTAGATCTCCGTCACAATCTCCTTGACAGTGACAGTCCTCGAGCCATGAGTCCCAAGGCTCCTCAGCGCCTGCATGACCTGCCTTTCTCGTTTCAATCTGCTCCCCAACTCTCTGTCTATCTTGGCCGGCAGGTCCCTTATGGTGATTCCGTGCGCAGGATACCCGATGGTGCAATGTTGATCGTCCATTTTCTGCAAGCTGTTCATGAACGTGCCCAGGTCTTCTGCCACGCTGGTTCCGTGACCGAGAACATTGTCACCTGTGAACATGGCATTCTCTTCCTCGAGTATGAAGCACATGTGATCCTCCGAGTGTCCAGGGACATGGAGAGCCCGGACAGTCGCACCTTCAACCCGGAACACCTGACCATCGTAGATGTCCTGCTGGCCATACTCTGCCTCGTTCTTGTAAATGGAGTCACCCAGATGTGGATAGAGTCGGAGCAGGTCCGGTACGCCGCCGGTATGATCTCCATGCCAATGGGTCAGTAGCACGTGGGAAAGTCTGATGCCCATCTGTTGCAGTGTAGATGAGATCAGTTCAGCCCAAGCCGGTTCCCCTCCGCCCGTATCCACAATAAGTCGATGACTTCCGGTTCCGACGACATAGGTGTTTGTCCCTTGATAGGTGAACTGCGCCAAAGTGTGAGCAAGAAATATGTTTGTCGAAGCACAGCGTAGTAAAAGTGTGACAGTGAATATTATACCTTTCCCGGGTTCTGGCCCAATATGCGTAGGACGCGAGGAGTGAGCTGTTCGACGTCTGGGAGATTGGGAAGATTTGCTGTCTGGCCGTTGAGATAGTCTTCGAATGCACAGATATTCAGGGACTTGTTGATCTTTCTGTAGCCGCCCTTGTCGGCAAGCATGACTTCGATGTCTGTTGTGTGTTTCATTTTATGTCTTGTCGACTTCGTCCAATCCGCACAATATTGAAAAACGGGAGTGAGTGCCTAATCCAGGCAGTAGTATTGATTCTTTTCAAGATTTTGCAGCATGTAATCAAGCGATGAGCAAGAAGTATGTCGAATATGGCAAGTCGAGGTTCATACCATCCATGCTCGCAGAAACCATGTAGACTACCTCGCATGGAACGCTGTGGGAACTGAAATGGAGACGGGTAATCTCTTGACTGCTCGGATAAGTGAAAACATTCCTTGGTGAGCTTCAGTCTTAGACCCGTCAAGTTCGGAGTCCGATGCGACCGCCCTAAGTTCTGAAGTTCACATGGCATGGCGACGTCCATGCATCTAGCGGCTAACCGGCCATACTTTTTCTTTCATTATACTTCCGGCGAGGACTTCTTACAACCTCTTGATAGTAGGAAATCCCGAATCGGCCTACAAGGCATCCGGTCAGAAGTCACATCATGCTCGGGCGCGGTGTATTTGCGTACACCGTAGTCACCGACACCCGGCCACCACTTCAAGAGTCGGAGTAACACTCTAACTTGACCGACACGGGGTTTCGGGAAAGCCAGTATCAGTGTCTAATGTAGACACAGAGCACAGAGTCCGGTCTCTTGCAAACAATACGCAGAAGACACTCAGGTCTGATCCACCCCACTAGTCCCGTCTCTGGCCTCTAGCACCGATATCATTGTACAACCACTGCCGAGGCGGCAGGTCGCTTATGTTCCTTCACCGAACATAAGGTAATAACTTAAGCATAATTGCATGTATTTAATGTATATACAAGAGCTCCTCTTCCGCATTTATCAAGTTCCAAAGTCCCGACAATAGTCTCAGCCGCGGAAACGAAGCGTCCCACACCCTATCGAGATTCGACACGAATCCTCCCAACTAGAGCCCTTGTCCGGATCTTGAAGTGTACTCGCGCAAAGTTGTTTCGTTGAGCTGGGCACGTGCTAAGACCCAAAATCCTCCACATTTATTCATTCTTTGATTGATTCGCCCTTTTACTCCTGGCGCTCACTATATCCCCCGCCGCCCGCCATGGCCATCTACTCTTCCAAGACACCATCATGGAGTGATCTTGGTAGCGATATATGCAAAAAAATGAGTTTCATGTACTTCAACAACGACTTCCCTAGTGGTAGTGTACAAGATCAGTTACGCCATCTACACAACCATAGCAAGGACAACAACCACCCAGTACTAGCTCGATTCATTGCTGAAGCGACGCGGGTGATCAAGGAAGAGATCCAGTGTCTGCCGACGGAGCTGAAGACCTTGATTCTGCCGTTTAACAACGTCTTCAGCTGGGCCGAGAATGAAAATCTTCGAGAGGGTCTTGTTTGTGGTGCGGTCGAGGGAGTTCTTCTCGTCACACTTCAACTCGCAGCGTACATTGGGTAAGTGTCATGATGCATCTTCATCGCGGGCTCTCTTAAGTTCCATTGCTTGTTTTTCCTTTCTACTATAACTAACTCTCATTGAAAGCTATCTCGAAAAGAACCCGGCCGATTTGCGTGATGCCTCCGCCTCCGGGCTCTGTGGATTGGGCGTTGGCCTGCTGTCCTCCACGGCCGTCTCTTTGTCACCCACGGTGTGTGAGCTGGCGGTGGCTGGTGCGGACGCGGTCCGATTGGCATTCCGCTTAGGCATTCATGTCATTGGAGTCTCAGAGAATCTTGAAGCCAGAGACATGTCAGAAAAGCCCGATACTTGGGCGTATGTGGTGCATCGTATCGATCCGGCCGAAGTGCAGAATGAGCTCGACTCCATCAACACGCGGTCCAATACCCCAAGTACCGGCAAGATCTTTGTCAGCGCTGTCAGTCCCACCTCGGTGACAATCAGCGGACCCCCTTCGACACTGAAGAAGCTGTTCAGCAAGTCCGAGTTCTTCCGCAAGGCAAGGTCCATGCCTTTGCCCGTATACGGAGGCCTCTGCCACGCCCCCCACGTCTATGGTCGCGAGGATATGCAGAGCATCGTCTACGGCAGCCAACTAAGCACTGTCACCGCCAAAACTGTGCCTCTGATTCCGGTGTACTCAACGAGCACCGGACTCCCATATTCGGCAGCCGATGCCGGTGCTCTCTTCGAGTGCGTCGTCTCCGAGCTGCTCGAGAAGGCAATTCACTGGCATCAAACCGTTGGCGGTCTCGTCAACCGTATCAAGCGGATGGGAGCGGAAGATGTGACGTTCCATTGTTTCGGGAACTCCCTCCCCCTGAACGATCTTACTGCCCAGGTGAAATCTGCCCTTCAAGAAGCAGAAGCGGCAGACTCGGAAGTCTCCATTAATGACTTGACATCCTGGATAGACCAAGCTGCGCCGGCTGCTTCTGTTCCCCGCAGCCCAGGCCAATCCAAGCTCGCCGTCGTGGGCATGTCGTGCAGGCTTCCAGGCGGCGCGACTAGCAACGAAAAGTTCTGGGAGATTCTCGAGAAGGGCCTGGATGTCTCTCGCCAGATTCCCGCGGATCGTTTTGACATCAGCACGCACTACGACCCAGAGGGCAAGCAGATTAACAAGACCATGACGCAGTACGGCTGTTTCATCGACGAGCCTGGCATGTTTGACGCTCCTTTCTTCAACATGTCCCCTCGCGAGGCGCAGGTCGTAGACCCCCAAATGCGGCTTGCTCTGGTCACGGCATACGAGGCGTTGGAACAGGCCGGCTTTGTTCCCAACCGCACCCCGTCCACGCAGTTGAATCGTATCGGCACGTACTATGGCCAGGCAGCCGACGACTACCGCGAAGTGAACCAGGGTCAGGAAGTCAACACCTACTATATTCCCGGTGGGTGCCGGGCTTTTGGTCCTGGTCGAATCAACTACTTCTTCAAGTTTGCCGGTCCGAGTTATAGCATCGACACGGCCTGCTCTTCGGGGCTTGCGGCAATTCAGGTATGTGCAGTCATTGACTACCTTTGAAACACCACACTATATCCAAGACACATGTTAATATCATCGTCTATTAGGTTGCCTGTCAGGCTCTCTGGTCTGGTGACATCGATATGGCCGTCACCGGTGGTGTCAATGTCCTGACTAACCCGGACGGATTCGCCGGCTTGTGCAATGGTCACTTCCTCACCAAGGGCCCCAACGCATGCAAAACCTGGGATGCCACGGCCGATGGGTACTGTCGAGCAGACGGTATCGGGTCCCTGGTAATCAAGAGGCTTGAAGACGCCGAGGCGGATAACGACAACATCCTCGGGGTTATCCTGGGTGCCGGGACCAACCATTCCGCCGAGGCCGTGTCTATTACCCATCCTCATGCAGGCCATCAATCTGATCTCTCTCGTCAGGTCCTCCGGCAGGCGGGTGTCAACCCGTTGGATGTGTCCTATGTCGAGCTGCACGGGACAGGCACCCAGGCGGGAGACTTTGAGGAGCTGCAGGGCATCATGGACGTGTACGCGCCTCTGACCAAAGCTCGCAGCAAAGATAAGCCCCTTTACATCGGCGCCGTCAAGGCCAACGTGGGACATGGAGAATCTGTTGCCGGCACGACGGCGCTGATCAAGGTGTTGCTCATGTTGCAGAAGAACGCCATCCCGCCACACGTCGGCATCAAGACCGAGATCAACCCTCGTTTCCCGCGGGACTTTGACCAGCGTAATCTTCACATTCCTCTTGAAATGACCGACTGGACGCCTGTGGGAGGTAGGAAGCGGCTCGCTGCGGTGAATAACTTTGGTGCCGCCGGTGGCAATACGACTGTGGTCCTCGAGGAAGCGCCGACGCGCCTGGCCACGGAGCCGGACCCGAGACAGACCCACGTCGTCGCCGTATCGGCAAAGAACAAGGTCTCTCTGGCTGGAAACATTAAGTCCTTGATTGGCTATCTCGAAGATCACCCCGATACCAACCTCAGCAACCTCTCTTACACTACAACTGCACGCCGGTACCAGCACACACATCGCATCGCCCCCATTTGCTCGAGTGTAGATCAACTGAAGAAGCAACTGACAACGAGTCTTGACGGCATCGAATCCATCCGCCCGGTTTCCAAGTCGGGCCCGCAGTCCATCGCCTTCGCCTTTACAGGCCAGGGAGCTTCCTATCAATCCATGAGCCTCGAGTTGTATCAGCATGTTCCCGTCTTCCGCCAGACCATTGACCGCCTCGACGCTCTCGCACAGCGGCAAGGATTCCCCTCTTTCATTCTCGCACTGGATGGATCGCATGGCAAAGACCACGAACACTCGCCCGTGGTTACGCAGCTCGCCTTGGTCAGCACCGAGATTGCCCTCGCCAAGTACTGGGCTTCGCTTGGTGTCCAACCAGACGTCGTCGTCGGCCACAGCCTGGGTGAATACGCGGCGATGCACGTAGCTGGCGTCCTCACCGCCAGCGATGCCCTGTTCATGGTCGGTCGTAGGGCCGAGATGATGCAGAAAAAGTGCACAAGAGGCAGCCACTGCATGATGGCTGTCCGAGCCTCCTTGAGGCAAATCGCCGTCGCCGCACCGAACGAGCGGTACACCATCGCCTGCATCAACAGTCCTTCCGATACAGTCCTCAGCGGTACAACCCAGGAAGTGGACCGTGTCGCCAGTGTCCTCGAGGCAGCTGGCTTCCGGTGTATTAAGCTGTCCGTCGCCTATGCTTTCCACTCGGAGCAGGTCGACCCTCTCCTCGATGATTTCGAAGCCATTTGCAAGACCGCCGTCCGTTTCCAGGAGCCCAAGATTCCCTATATCTCGCCGCTACTCGGCAAGGTCGTCTTCGACGGTAAGACGCTAAATGCCAACTACTGCCGTCGCGCAACGAGAGAACCAGTCGACTTTGTATCCGCCCTGGGGAACGCCCAGAACGTTTCTACTATCAGCGCCGAGGACACGGTCTGGATCGAGATTGGTCCTCATCCCGTGTGCACCGCCTTCGTCAAGTCCACCATTCCGTCGACTCTGCTTGCCCTGCCCTCTATTCATCGCACCCAAGATAACCTGAAGACGATTGCTGAGAGCATGGCTGCCTTGCATCTTGTTGGGGTCAAGGTCTCGTGGACCGAGTTCCATCACCCCTTTGAGAACCGACTTCGACTGCTTGATCTACCCACCTATTCGTGGAACGAGAAGAACTACTGGCTTCAGTATAACGGCGATTGGTGCTTGACGAAAGGAAACACGTTCTATGGCACTCAACAGACTATCGGAGCCAAGCTTGGGTCCTCGCCCCCGAGTCGTCTCCAAACGTCGACGGTCCATGAGATTATCGAGGAGACATCTGACAACTCTGGCTGTTCACTCGTTATCCAGTCCAATCTCATGCAGTCTGATTTCTATGCTGCAGCATACGGACATCGAATGAACGACTGCGGCGTTGTTACATCGGTAAGTTTTTGGACGAAAAACAGGAAAACATTAACGTGGCTAACACATCACAGTCTATCCACGCTGATATCGCCTTTACCCTCGGCGACTACCTCCACAGAAACCTCCTTCACCTTACGGGTAACATGGCCGACATGAACATTGCGAACCTAGTCGTCTCAAAGGGTCTCGTCGCCAACAGCGATACTTCATCGCCTCAGCTGATTCGAGTGACCGCAACCACAGCCGACACGAAATCCGGCGCAGTCGACTTGACATGGCAGAACGTAGCCAACGATGGCACTGCATCGGAGCCATTCGCCACGGCCAACATCTTGTTTGGCGATGCAAGCGAATGGCTCGCATCGTGGAGTCCTCTGACGCACCTCATCCAGGGCCGCATCGAGGCACTCGAGCGCATGGCTGCTGAAGGAAAAGCTAGTCGCTTCTCTCGCAACATGGCCTATACCCTCTTCGCCAGCAACCTGGTCGACTACGCTGACAAGTATCGCGGCATGCACTCCGTCGTGATGCACGAGCTTGAAGGTTTCGCGGACATCCAACTCACCAGCAAAGAAAGCGGCGTCTGGACCGTGCCGCCCTACTTCATCGACAGCGTGGCCCATCTTGCCGGGTTTATCATGAACTGCTCCGACTCGATGGACTGCAAGAACAACTACTGCGTGACTCCCGGCTGGAAGACAATGCGTTTCGCGAAGCCGCTACTGCCTGGCGCCAAGTACCGTTCTTACGTTAAGATGATCCCAACCGTTCAGGATCCGACCGTCTACTTTGGCGATGTGTACATCATGCAAAACGACGAGATTATCGGCATGGTTGGCGGCATCCAGTTCCGCAGCTTCCCACGCATTTTGCTCAGTCGTTTCTTCTCGCCACCAGATAAGAACGGCGCACATGGCACCAAAGGGAAGACACAGACCACCAAGTCCTCCCCGCACACAACCGTGGCTAAGGCCAGACATGACGATGCTGTGAGCAAGCCATCACCGCCTGTCAAGGCCACAGCGACTACAACGCCACCACTCCCTTCACAGTCTGCATCTGGCACACCCAGTGAACCCTCTGCCACCTCACCCTCCGCCGCCACTATAGGAGCTCAGAGCGACAGCCTGGCCGACAAGGCGTTGCAAATCATTGCGAGAGAGGCAGCCATGGAGGTCGCTAGCTTAGAGGACGATGCCAGCTTTGATAGCCTGGGCATTGACAGTCTTATGTCACTGGTCATAGTGGAAAAACTAAAGATAGAGCTTGATGTAAAGGTAGGGGGTAGTCTTTTCCTCGACTACCCAACTATTGGGAATTTTAAGCAGTGGCTATTAGATATAGCGTAGTTAATGTTGTTAAAATTAAAGACTTTAGTTATTTAATTATAAGACTACTTATTCTAACTAGGGAATTTATTTATTCCGACTAGCGTATTACTAAAAGCACCTAACGCTAGTAATATAAAGCTATATATTAAATAGTATTGGTTAGGGTTAGGGTTAGGGTTAGGGTTAGGGTTAGGGTTAGGGTTAGGGTTAGGGTTAGGGTTAGGGTTAGGGTTAGGGTTAGGGTTAGGGTTA